TTGTGATTACTGGACCTAACAGATACAAAGAGTAAAAAACTCGAGCAATTTCGGGCAAAAACAACCGTTCCCTGGTATGCTTCTTGATCTTCATCACGGAACAACCGGTAAACACTTAAAAATCCATCGCGATTCTAATTATAACCGTGTGCAAACAACTAATTAAGAAAAGCAGAATTAGCAAACTATACAGAAATGGGTAATTTTATGAAATTTATTCCCTCGTTTTTTTGCAGAATATTTTTAACTTTGTAAAAAGAGTTAAAATACGTTAAAAAAACGATTTGGTCAGTAAAAATTGCAGTTCGAAATCTGCAATAATGTTAGCAAGAAAATGCCATTTCGAAGAAAAGCATGCAATACTGAAAGAAGAATTTACTGTAATAAGTAGAGTATTTTTATTTCCTTGTACTATGTAAAGGAACTATTGTAACTGCGAAAACCTTTGCCTATATTTCAAAGGAAATATCCACTTAAACTGATTTTTTTTAGCTTGACGTTTGTATTTACTCACAGTATAAAGGACGTTTTCCCCAAAACGGATTGCAAAATGGATTCAAAAGAGATTTTTTTTGGATATTTGTATGTCCGTATGCCGTACGTATGTATGTACCTCGCATAACTCAGAAACGATTAGCCGATGAACGTTGAAATTTTGTATTTGGGACTACTACAACATCCAGTTGCGCAACTCTGTCTTCAATTCCAATCGCCCATATCAATGTATATGTTACCGTGAAAGACCGAAATTGGAGAATGTCGACTTTCACTGGAGAATGTCAACATTCATCAAATACGTCTGTGAAAGATCGAATATTTCTTTACATTCTTGTACATTCAGACCCTCACCGGTGTATGTCGACAATCACAGATATGCTCTGGTTAAGTCGAAAAGAGAGGAATATATGTACACGCTGCCATTCCAAAAGGAAGTGTTCCACAAATAAATGCAGTTGTAAAAGCAAGGGCCTCTTGTGCAATTCCAAATGCCATAATAGTTTAAGTTGTTGCAATAAATAAGATTTGAATCACATAATTTGGTAAGTTTATAACTTCTATTATTTTCCTTTCTCATTTTGAATGTACTGTGTGTTTTAAGTTCTTATATTCTTAAGTTCTTATTCTGAGTCTCAAGTGCGTTTTTTCGTGAATGAATTACGGAGAAGGAAATATAATATTCTTATATGTTCAACATTCACTATTAGTACATGGTGAATGTCGACATTCACCGGTGTAAGTCAGAAATGAGAGTATTTGGAAAATATTTCGGACATACACCAAGCGACTATGTGAATGTTGACATTCACCGGTGAAAGTCGACATTCTCCAGATTTCGGTGTTTCACCGTAACATATATATGTAATAAATTCAAGAGCAGAAGCAATGACCAGGAAATTGGGGGCGAATGCAGATTAAATCTTCAGTTTTATTTTGAGCAACATGTTGCGGCGACAATCAAGTTGGCATATTAATTGGGCTTATTCCAAGAGATTTTACATTTTAGATAAATTTGCAATAAGAAAGAAAGAGCAGACAGACTTCAGTGCGGCCAGGCCAAAGCATATAAAGCAAGTTCAGGATGATTGTTGTTGAACTGTATTTTATGGTTTAAGTGACAAGAACTTGATATTAATAAATAAAGGTAACACACAAAATGCTAAAAAGACGCCCTTTGGACGTAATTAAAAATCTAAAGCATTTCAGTTTTTTTTTTTTTTTTTTTTTTTTTTTTTTTTTTTTTTTTAAAGGGGGACTTTGTCCCTGAAGGATTATTGTTTTCGTTTTGCGATTTTGCGTTGAATCACTATAAATGTCCTTTTCACTTTTTAAACTGTTGCCACCAAGTATTAGAGTCCTGCATCATTTTTGAAGAAATTAAATAATGAAAACTCTGCATAAGTGTATGTCTATTTCTCGCATTGTGATAAAACAACGGTACATAGAGCCATCGAATTTTGAATGACGTAATCCTACTGAGTATATGGAATGCGGAAGACCAAATTTGGAATTTGCTTTATTATCGATTTCATATTTTGTAAAACCTTAACGAAATTTTGAGTAACAAACTCAACGATTTCAAAGCGAGCAATGGCAACACTCTACGGGAGAAAAAGACCGTTTTATCTCCAGCGCGCGGAACTGTGTATCGGAAATTCTAAGATAGGTTCATTTTAAAATTATTTTGCGACATTGCTATTGAGCTGAATTTTATAGTTTAAGTGCGAAGAACATGATACTTGATAAATAAAGGTAACACACAAAACGTTAAAAAAACTTTCCTTTGGACGTAATTCTTCTTGTGTTGGGTTTGATCTGCTACCAAAAAAGGAACCGACGCCTGGTTTAGGATAAATGAATATAAAAAATCTGAATTTTAGTGTTTCAACTAATTCTTTGAAAGAACCGCATTACAACTAGAACGCGACATCGTGAGAAGCAACGCAGATTCTTTCTCAATTTTCTTTCATAATTACTAATGCGACTTGCTGAAAACGTACAACCACGAAATGGTTTTTAGTTGAAATATATTTCCCTGATGTAGAACATCTGAGAGCTCACCATTAAACGAGTGGATCAAACTACAAAACACTGATAGTTCGACCTAAGTTCAAATCTCAACAAACAGGCTGCCTTAGTGGCATCTCTTTTTTTTTTCTACTTGTAGTGTGAATATGAACCAGCTTCCCTGCGAAAATCCTTCATGAAGGCATCTTGCACATTAAGCAAGCAACACTAACGTGCTTTGCTTTAATCAGTTAATAAACTGACTAGTGGGATACCTCAACTGCACAGCTAAAATAACTGTAAAATTCAAAATCTGAAGATACTGTACGGAATTCTTTTGTATCAATTACATTTAAGACTCGTCATTCTGTGCTCTTTTTCTCTAAATATCTTTTACATTGATTTAGTTACTACATTGGCATTAGTTACTAGATAGGCACTTATTTATTTCTAAACTCCGTATCCATAACAGACGAGTGAAAGCAAGTTCGAGCGGTGACCAGTTACCACATCGATATGAATAAGGAAAATGATAGTTTATAGATAGCTTCACCCTCAAATTATTATCGTTTTGGCTAATTATTCATACTGATAACTAACAACAGTTTGATTATTTCATATTTAAATTTAGAGCTATTAATTAAAATGGAATGAAGTCTGTGTCTTTATAAAACTCAGATTTAGATAAACTTGGTAAACATGTAAATTTACAGTATTTTAAAATAAAATTCTATTGTATTATTAGCCCAAAGGGAGGGGGGCATTTGCCCAGATGGAATATGAATTTCGTTTTGGCATTTTGCATTGGTTCACTATGAATGTCGGTTCACTTTCTAAACTGTTGCCACAAAATGTTAGAGTCCTGCATTATATTTAAAGAAATTAAATAATGAAGAATCTGCATAAATCTATGTCTGTTTCTCGCATTGTGATAAAACAACGGTACCTAGAGCCCTCAAATTTTGAATAAGGTACGTTTCCACCCGAATATGGGCATCTGGAAGTCCAAATTTGGAATTTGCTTTATTATCTATTTCATATTTTGTAAAACTTCAACGAGTTTTTGATTAACAAACTCAACGATTTAAAAGCGAGCAATGGCAACACTCTTACGGAGGGGAAAAAACCTTTTTATCTCCAGCGCGCGGGACGCATATTCACAAAGTCTACAGACCGTTTCTTCTACTGTTTGCTCGGATTGGTTAAAACAGGAAACGTAGGGTTACAGTATCTTGTACTTGGCGCCTTTTACTTCATCGCCTATATTATTTGTATATCAGCCTCGTGTACCGAAAAGAGTGCGAAAGCTAACGGCGAAACCGCAGCTCAACGGTAATGAGGATGGAAGTATTTCTGGGACTTCTAGATCGCCGGTTCTATACCCGCTTGTGAACTTTTACGAACTCTGCCCTGGACGGATTTGTTTTTATCCTCACTTTATTGAATGACTTTGTCATTATTGGTCTTTTTGCCTTCGGGTGCGGTGTTAAAAAACTTAACACCTTCATTTTCTCTATTTCTGTTAATGCTAATTTTTCTTATTTTTATCTACTGGTTTGTACTCTTTGTAGTAGGTACTAGTAGCAAGATTATGATCCAAGATTCCGACAAGCGTTTCAATAGAAACAGTGCATAATGGAATAAAATATAATTTTAGTTATACTTACTCATAATTTAGGCTAAACAAATAGGTATCCGACGCCCTTAAATGTTTATTGAATTGATTGATTGTATTGATTGTAAACACATTTTCTTGCAAAACAATTATTGTACTTTTAACAGTTTAAATTCAAATACAAATAAACTATTAATAAGATCAGTAGGTTATTTAAAATATATTCCACACGATTCCCCTCAGCTTTCATTCATAAAATAAAAAAATTATCGAATGATATAAAAGCTGTTTCTTCTCGCTGTAATGAAAACCTACAAGGTTTGTTTGGCGTTAATTACGACGCCTACAAGGCGATAACTCGCCAATATGACCGACAAGCAGATGTTTCATCCAATGAGAGCAGACCGTAGAAGAAATGGTCTGTAGGCTTTGTGAATATGCGTGCAGGACTGTGTATCGGAAATTCTAAAGATATGCACATTTTAAAATTATTTTGCGATATTGCTATTGAACTGAATTTTATGATTTAAGTGCGAAGAACATGATATTTAGTAAATAAAGGTAACACACAAAACGCTAAAAATCTCCTTTGGTCTTAATGTGAAATCTGAAAGCTTTTTAAATTTTCATTTATTATTATTATTATTTGAGTGAGAAGAAATATAAAAATCTTTTAAGCTGTACTAGCAAACGTTTTTACAAAAAATATTATATTTCTAAATAAATTGTTAAAATTTATACAGAAGTAGCCAACTAAATTTGCAATGAAGTACCATTGAAAAACTATGCAAATTTTGCTTACGTCATCGTCTGTCTTAACGGACTGTTGCATTTGCTGGGTAAAATAAAATGAACCACCTTTATTTTGTGAGGGATGTTTCCGATATTGAATAGAAGCAATCGGTTTAATTTGGATTAACAGGGGAGAAATTTTTACGTTTGAACGCTTGGAATCGCTTCGTTTATTGTAGTCGCCATTGATGACGTGAGTATTTTTTTATACTGGCAGTATTAGCTTTAGAAATTTGTACAAAATTTTGTGTTTTGAAAAGCCAAGCTTTGTTTATCCTACAACAATGTAGTTAATATAATTTTAAAGAAATTTTCGAAAGATTTAAAACGAAATGTTCTTCAACGCATAGTATTGAGTAAATAAATAATAGCACGTAATTAGTAATTATTATAATTATCTTAGATATATTGATTTGTAGTTTTACTTTCAATGCGACACGGGTTTTTTGTAAATTGATTTTATAATCTTGTTTAAGAGCTGTAAATTCTACCTGCAGTTGTTCGCTTATACTGCGCATATATTTCGTTATGCCTGTAAATTCAGAGTGATATCTCTGCCTTAAAGTGGCTTAAAACATTTTTCAGTCAGAAAATGTAGAAATCCATTCTTTCGAGAAACTGATTTTGCTTAAGTTTTAAGAATTTCTTTTCAAAATGGTTCTATTGCTAGATTTCTACCTGAACTTTCTCAATTCTTATATCGCTTTAAAACAGCATTTGGCGGTGAAAGTTAAAAAAAAAAAAAAAAAAAAAAAAAAAAAAAAAAAAAAACCTTAAATATGGAACAATTCTGTAATGGTAAAAGCTTCTTTCTCTTTCACGTTCTTTCTAAAAATACACGCATCAGAACATTAAATTAATGTCTACATTTTTGTAGCTATTTAATTTCTTGAAAGACTTCTTTGACAGTTTTTGAAATTTTTCAATTACGAGTATTACAAAATAGAAGTTTCTTAAAGCAAAACATGCAATCTGCGTTTACTGAAGCAGATTCTAAAACATCGTTTATGAAACATACTAGCATTGAGATCAAATTTAACGGTATAATTAAGACTTTAAATTTGAAGTTAATTTTTCAAATATAGTTTGGCAAAATAATAGAGTAATGCATCAAATATTCCGAATATCTTTCTGGAATCTTTAAATTAAAGCAAATATGCGCGGGTAACATAGATTAACATTAGCCATAGAATACGGCGTTTATACGTTAGAATAGTTTGTACGTTAGGCGTATATACGTTAGAATACGTATTTTGTTTTCTAGAAAATATGGCTTAATTTGATAGTCGTGTCCTAGGCGTACAGAAGTTACAACAAATGAGTTTTTTGTTTGTTAAATGAATCTTCTATTCATCGATCAAACTAAACTTTCGATATTTTTCAAATAAAATTTTTTAATTTTAAATATTAACATTCGAATGCAGCAAACTCTCCAAGATTTAGATGTCCCATCCGTGTTTTTATTAAATGCCTATACTTTTACTAATAAAACAAACCATTTTCTTTCAGCCCGCAATGCTTTCCTTGATTGCTTTATGTGCCCTCTTCTACCTTGCAGAAGGGAAGGCTTTACGTCAAAGGTTTGGTGAACCTGCAGGTAAATTACATTTTGTATCAGTCCATTGTCAAGTTAACTTTCTTAAAATACTGTTGCAATGAAATATTTAACAATACTCTAAATTTTATAAACATTCATAGTTTCCAACGCAATCTATCGTTTGCATAGGAATTTGATCTAGCTCCATATTTTTTCTCCTGAAACTAAAGTTAGCCTTTGTAATGGTTTGAAGTGTATCAACAATAGTTTTAATGCAATCGTTATTTCTCACGTTTTCGTTCTAAATAAAGTAAAAGAGCAAAAGTCGTAACTTTGTGTCTGATTATAATTATTGAAATTTATATTTGCGTACATATGTAATAAGCATCAAAACTGGGTATAATTAGACACTCGTTATCTTTCACCATTTAATAAAACGTTTAATATACTGCTTTCATAACCTATAGAGACAAATGAAAAATTTATCTGTTAATAATAAAATAACATCTTGGTTTCGATTAAGTTTGGGGGAAAAAAACCTATATACGTATAGAAAGAATTTGGGACGCACATTAGCCAACCAGTGGCCAAGTACTGAATGCTAATAATTCATATGGGCTCAAATCTCGGCGAGTGGTTTGGTTTTTGGGGTTTCCTTTATGTGTCACTTGAATAAGAGTTGGTATCCTTTAGTCTGTGGTTTCCTCATGTGTAACGTGTATACTACCCAGTTCTCTTAGAAAGTCCTCTACGAAGGCATCTCCCCTCGTGTGCTTTCCCGTAATCTCAATGAATCAAGACCAAGCTTTTAAAGGTCTTGCACTCAGATATTCTCCCCTTAAGTAGATAGTTTTCTAGCTTTTGCCGTAGATAATCCTAATCTTGAAACTCATCTCTTCGAAGACTTAACAAGGTTTTAAGTATTCATTTGGAAATTTATTCAGCTTCTGTCTAAAATACCTCCTAGATTTAGTTTTATCTAATTATATCGAATACCAATGCTTTGAGATCTGTTTGTCATAGATATGTACATTTTAAATAAGTCAACGTCTGTAATATATCGCTTGTTAACCTAAACTACGAAACTTTTTTAAATATAATGTTCTGAGCTAAAAATAAACTATTGCTTTATGCGCGAGAAAACTGTACAGTTCTGAAGTACTTACTTTAATAGATCTTTTCACGAGAGTTTCTGCACAACAGAAATTTATCAACTGATAAAGGAATTCAATCAACTATTCACTGCCTAATAAAATGTTAAATTTGCACTATTTTCGAAGTTGGCGTGGTTTTTGATATTTCATGTTCTGTCTACGCTTACATGTCGTAGTATTAAGCGCTGTTCATGTGAAGTTTTGTAAGAATTTCGTTTTTCCAAAATTATTAGTTACCAGTGGCTTTAATATTTTCAGATGAGCCTTAATGTTTTATAAAATAACTTCGCTTTTCTAATGCAATTGAAGAAATCGTGTTCTTATGGTAAGGGAGTTTTTTGTCCTATAAACGTAAGCTGTAGTATACAGTAGGAAACCTTATTTTATTTACAACCTCCTGAACGAATTATACTTCAAATTCGGTTATATCGCCTCGGAGAAAATGTTTTCCCTTCAAATGGAGAATATTACTCGTGAGTCTTCACGAAATATTCGCCAAAGGGTACTTACTACCCGTATTTGCATTGCTATGATATTATGCCACTAGCAGCATAATTTGTTTGCTGCGGCCGAGCGGTAAAGTCTCTGAACACTGGTAGTTCGGTTGAGGTTCGAATCCCGCGAAAGGGCTGGCTGCATTGGCATTTGCGTGTTTTTCCATGTGTAACGTGTATACGTGTCAGTTTTCCTTAAAAAGGTCTCCACGAAGGCATCTCTCTTCTTGGGCAGATAGCCCTCGAGCTTTTACCGTATAATACATATTAAACCAACCCAAAACATTTGTTTCGCCGTCCAAATCCTGTGCTTTATTTACCTGAATTTTTGTTCATTACCTATTCAAGACGGTGTAATAGAAATTGTATTATAATAGAAACTGTAAATCTTCGTAGAAATGACTACATATTCTACAAAATTGTACTAATCTCCCCTCTTGAATTCTGAAGGAATTAAATAAGCAGTTTTCGACACCCTTTGCTTTCGTGCTTCGTAAGCAGGTTTTTGTCCATTTCTGGCTTGTTAGGCCCTAGCATGTTACCGGAAGCTCTGTTTGGAACGCTAGGAATAAAAACTTCTCTTGAGTATTGTTTCAATCTATTTTTTTCGTTACGTGCAACTGAGTATATCTTATTAATACACTCACGTTTTATGGTAGAAAGCAAAAACTTTAAATTTCATGCACTGTTTGTTATGTATAAAGCAGGTCCCAAAAGTTAATCAGTGTTTTCAGAAGGATTAGAAAATTGATATCTTTAATTCATAAAATTAAAATTCGACTATAGTGAATGGGAAGCCCTACATCAAAGAAAGGCGCACGTGTTAAGAGTTGCTATGTCAGGATTATCTAGAATTCATGCTAAATCGCATGCCTCGCCCAGGGTCACGGGCTTATTCACAAAGCCTACAGACCGTTTCTTCTGCTGTTTGCTCCGATTGGTTAAAAGAGGTAGGGTTACAGAATCTAGTGCTTGGCGAGTTTTGGTTCATCCATTTTACAATTTGTATCTGAGCGTCGTGTACCAAAAAGTGAGCATAACTTACCGGAGAAACCGCAGCCCAGTGGTAACGAGCGCAAGAATAATTCAGACTTCTAGGTCGCTGGTTCTATCCCCGATCGTAGCTTTCATAAACTCTGCTCTATACGAATTTATCTTTATTTTAACTTTATTGAATGACTTTGTCATTATTTGTCTTTTCGCCTTCGGGTACGGTGTAAAAAATTAAACGCCTTTAATTTCTCAATTTTTGTTAATGTTAATTTTTCTTATTTTTATTTACTGGTTTGTACTCTTTGTAGTAGGTACCAGTAAGCAAGATTACGATCCAAGATCCCGAAAAGCGTTTCAATAGATATAGCGCATAATGGAATAAAATATAATTTTAGTTATACTTACTCGTAAAAAGAATAGGTATCCGACACCCTTAAATGTTTACTGAATGTTTTCATTTGGTTAATTTTTTAATATTTCTTTATTTGTATAAATTAATGCGCTATGAAAATTTACACGACACTCTTCCTAAGTGAAATAACGAAAAAGTGCATATGCTGTCTCGATATAAACACCTTTTCTTGTAAAACAATTACGTACTTTTGAAAGTTTAAATTCAAATACAAATAACTATTAATAAGATCAGTAGGTTATTTAAGATATATTCCACACAATTCCTCTAAGCTTTCATTTATAAACTTAAAAAAATATTGAATGAAATAAACGCTGTTTCCGTTTGTTTGGCGTTAATTACCACGCCTACAGGGTGATAACTCGCCATTCCAAATATGACCGCCAAGCAGATGTTCCTCCAATGAGAGCAGCCCGTAGCGAAATTGTCTGTAGGTTTTGTGAATATGCGGGTCACGGTCAGCGGAATAATACAAATACAAACAAAATGCAATAGGCCCACCAGCGGCCGAGTGTTAAAGACTCTGAGCACTGGTAGTTCGGTCCGAGGTTCGAATCCCGCGAACGGGCTGGCTGCATGGGCATTTCCGTGGTTTTACCCATGTGTAACGTGGATACGAGCCAGTTTCCCTTAAAAAGACCTCCACGGGGCACCCCTCCCTTTCCGTGTAGTACCCAAGGGCGGAGCACGTAATAAGGAAATAAAACAAAATGCAATTAGTCTTTCTTTGCCTGCAGTGCACTTGAAAATTCTGCTCAGCACTCTAATGTTAAGAATTTGAATTTTTGCATTTTTATTGAAGCATGCATCTTTACTGTTTAATATTGTATTTTATGCTTTCCTTTTCGTATTTCATTGTATGAAATGTTAGTCTTGCATAAAAAAATTAACAATCTAAATTTCATTCATTTTTAGTTAGCTTCATATATGTATATGAATAGCAGTATTTTAAATTCATATTCTTGTTTAAATTCTGACCATCTGACAAACTGCTCACCAGAAGTGTTTACGTTCTAATTATAGCAAATAAAAAGTAAAATTGTTAAAAATTATAAACCTTGTAAGGATTTACTTCGGATGTTTGAACCTTTTTAGATTTTTCCATTTGCTTTAATTTGCAACCCATTCTTTAAAACTAAATGTGTTCTTTCAAAATTACTGTTTACCTAAACCGTAAGCGAAACGGATGTTCCTTTAGTACCTTAGTTTCGTTAAAAATTTGTGCTCAAGTTAAAATTACAGCTTAGTTTCCATAGACCAAGCTCAAATACTTTAATTATACTTCCTTAGATGATCCTGGAATTGCTGCCTATAACGTGAATGATGGAATGAATTTCCTCTCTTCGTATTACCAAAATCAACACTTCCAGGATGCTTACTCCAATTCTGCTTCAAGACCACAGCATACATTTGAGCAGTATACTCCTCTTTTTAATGGAAAACCTATAGTTATATCACCGCCTGAAGTGATGGCAAATACGCAAGGAATTAAGCCCGGACGGAAACCTAATAATTACGGTGGTATAATTGCAATCGAGACCAAAGATAAGACTAAACCCAGTAAATATGAAGATATAAGTCCATCTGAAGAATATTATGAAACCCCAATGATAATTGGTGGAAAAACGGATGAAAAACCTAGCAAATCTGCATATAGCGAACATTCTGAACTGAAAGAAAATCCAACCGGGAATGAAGTGAAATTCCATGACAATGAAGACGATGCTCATGTGATAATTGGATTTACCAAAACAAAGCCTATCAAACCCGAATTGGACGACTATAAAAAGGTTTCAGTCCCTCAGTCTTCCCACGAAGTGACTGATTACAGTAAGCCTGTTGTGGAAAAGAAACCTCTGAAAGTTCATAATGATCAGATTGTAGCTGAATTATCTAAAGATAAGGCAAAACCCAGTACGCTTGAGTATGGGAATCCATTTGAAGATTATGAAACCCCAGTCATAATCGGAAGCAAAAATAAAGAAAAACCTAACAAAGAGTATAATTATCAACAGCTCGAGTCGATGGAAACTCTAACAAAAAATAAAGAGGATGACTATGATGATGTGTCAGTCATAGATGCACTGACCAAAATAAAGAGTAGCAAACCCGAGAAAGACAACTATAAAGAGATCACGATCCCTGTTAAAACAGACTCTGACAAAAAGACTGGAAAGCCTAAATATGATGCGAAACCCAATGCGCTTGACTATGAAAGCCCATTTGAAGATTATGAAACCCCAGTCATAATCGGAAGCAAAAATAAAGAAAAACCTAACAAATCTGAGTATAATTATCAACAGCTCGCGTCAATGGAAACTCTAACAAAAAATAAAGAAAAAGAGGTTGACTATGATGTGTCTGTGATAGATGCACTGACCAAGATAAAGAGTAGCAAACCTCAGAAAAACAACTATAAAGAGATCACCGTGCCTGTTAAAACGGAATCTAACAAAAAGACTAAAAAGCCTAAACATGGCGTGGAACCCAATGCGCTTGATTATCAAAGCCCATTTGAAGATTATGAAACTCGAACTATTGTAGGCAAAGGTAAAGAAAAACCTAACTTATCTCAGTATAATTTTGAACAGCTTGCGGCGATGGAAACTTTAACCAAAAATAAAGCAAAAGATGAAAACTATGAGGATGTGTCTGTGATAGATGCACTTACCAAAATAAACAACGGTAAACCCGATAAAGATGACTACAAAAAGATCCCCGTTCATATTGAAGGTGGTTTCAATAAAAAAACCGAAAAGGGCAAAATTAAAGTGAAACCAACTACTCGTGATAACCAATATACTTTACTGCCGGCTGAAGTTCTGACCAAGGATAAGTCGAAAGATAAGACCAGCCCAATAAGAGATAAATCCAGCAATTACGAAGTTAAAGCAACTGATAAAAATATGGGATATGAAAACCCAACAGTTAATGCTGACGCCAAGACTAATAAAAATGCTGAAGAGAACTTTGAAAGTCCAGTAGTAGTTGAGGTTTTAAGTAAAAAGGAAGCAAAACCAATCAAATCAAACAGCTATGACTATGAATCTCCTGTGGTAGTTGAAGTATTGAAAAAGCAAAAAACGGACAAAACTGAAGTGATGAAAGATAAGGATAAGTTGAAGGAGGAAGATTATGAAAATTCTGCTGAGATGGTAAAGGATAAAACTTCTAACAAACCCGATGACGCCAAATACAAGAACTCGAAGCAGACAGAAACTCTAAATTTTAATGCAGAAAGAACCACCTTGGACAGGGAACGTAACGAAAGTCCAGTTGCATTAACTCCCGTTAAAAATAAAAAGCCTGAAAAAACCGACAAAAGTGAATACTACGAAAGACCCGCAATGGTAGAAGCTTTAACTAAAAAGGAAAAGCCTGACAAGCCCACGGACTACAACCAGAATCCCAATGTTGCAGAATCGTTTACCAAGAAGAAGCCGGATAACCTGGATGATAAATATGCTGAAAAATCCACACCAGGCAAAAGTAAGGTTAAAATTACGAAACCGGGAAGCACAGAGTACCGTTCAAATCTGCAGTTTTCAAGGGATCTGGTCAAAGATGAGGAAAATGACCAAACACTAGGCAGCGAACACACGCCTGATGAAACGGAACTCGCGTTAAATCAGCTGAGTGACAGTGACGATACGAACTTGAATGTCTGGACTGCAGATGAAGACTCTAAGTTTACAGAATGTCTGGAGCAAAATGATCCTGAACTTAAAAATTTGTGCAGAGAAAACGAAAAGCTGTCAATACAAGAGAAAACTACCGAAGGATACAAAGATGTCTCGAGTTCAGCGCAGTTCTTGTCGAGAAGTTTCGTTTCCTCCCTTGATTCCGGTCTATGGTCCCTCTTGCCCAATTCCAAACCACCGAATAGGCGAAAGTTTAAGCAGTGCTTGACTCGAAAAAACGAAACCGGAAATTGCATGCCTGTTCAGTTCTGCTCTTCTCTAAACACTGCTGGCAATCTGGAAGAACTTTTTGGCAATGTCTGCATCATCGACGACATGTTTCTTGGTGTCTGCTGTCCTGCGTTTCCTGTAGAAAGGGTTGCTGTCCAGTGGGATGACTCTGAAGAACTGCAAAGCGACGACGAAGATCAATTCAACACATCCCAAGGTAAGTTTCTGAGCAAGAAGCATAAAATTTTGGTGCATAATAACCTGCTCTGATGAACTTCCAACTAATTAATGATATCTTTCAGAGTGTGGGGAAATATCTCGAGACGCTAAAAGGAAAGGGGCATGGCCATGGATGGTGAGTATCTGATCTAATTTACTGCTGTGCTGTTAGCCTACAATGATATTGGGGGAACTGAAAGTTATTGGTACTGGTAAAGACTTGCTAATATACCAATTTTGCTTTATTTCCCAGGCTCCTCTTATATCTGTTTCAACTGGTAAAATGTTTTGCGGCGGTGCTCTTATCAATGAGAAGTACATCCTTACTGCTGCCCACTGCACCACAAAGTAAGATTTTTATTTTATCCAAAGAATGGCTTAATGTTTAAGTACCTTTTTAATAAATTAAATCCTCTATGATACGCCTTCAGTGACTTTGAATAAAATATGCATTTGGACTTTGAATAAAATTGCTCTTACATTTATAATATCCCTGCTGGAGAGAAATTCGAGTGCAGAAAATTGCACTCGTGGGCATAATGAATTAAGACTTCCCACAGTTTGTGCTGTACGTGTTTTAAATTGCTCTGCTGCTTTTCTAGATTGAAATAAATTTTAGGCCTACTTAACAGGTAAGGCAGCGCTTTTAAAACCTTAAAGGTGAAATGTAAAACATTCAATCAAATTACTTTGTACTGAATTTAAAATCGATATTCTCTTATCCCATTATTAACCGCGAGTAGGAAGACTAAATACTGGTAGGTGGATCTGAATTCAAATCGAGCGTACCAGAGACCGAGCGATAAAGTAGCTGAACAATGTTATTTCGACCTGGTTAGAATTCTGTATGGATATTTTCGTACTTTTCCCCATGTGTAAGATGGATACGAATCGGGTATCCTTAGAAAGTCTCCATGAAAACATGCCTTAGGCGGCTAGCCGTGGAGTGTTTTGCCAAAATTAAATAAGCCAGACTCGAAATCGCATTCGACAACCGAGCTGACTGCATAGTGGAGGGGGAACCACGAAAATGTCTATCCATAACATGAATAAGAGACCTTTGCCCCCCAAAGGCATCCCTTCCTTAAGCAGATGAACTTTGAGTGGTTTGCATAGTCTTGTAAATCAAATTCACTTACTAAAGTACTTTTAAATAGAATTATTTCATTGTTCACAGCTGCTCAATTTCTTAATTTTAAGTAAATTCTAATCAAGGAGCTTTGCAGTTGGAACCTTATGAACGTTCGTAACGAATTTTCAGCATTTCTCGGAACTGAAAACCCATCATTAGCATTTATGTTCAGTTTAAATTTTTCGTAAAATTGCTTTACTAGGAAATAGTAATTTATTACTCGAATAGCAATTTATTTCTTCGTGGTTGTAGTAAAATTGATAAGCCATTCGCTGAATGTGCTGATTATTAAGTAAAGCGTTTTAAATTAAATGTCCCTTTGGTACAGAAAAATGAACTGGTAATCTGCACAACAGAGGATACGTTCCTGCCAGCGGCCGACCGGTAAAATCACTGAACACTGGTAGTTCCTGGCTTCAAATCTAGGCGAACGGGCCAATTTCAATTAGAAAGTCCTCCACTAAGGCATATCTACCCTTTGGCACATAGCCTTGGTGTTCTTTGCCATAATAAAACTAAACCAAGCCTTAACCTTTCAGCAGACTATTTTGCCTGCTTTTCCCATGATGGCAATTTCATTATTGGAATATGCAAATTTGCGTCTATTTTCATCGCTTGTCTCGGACTCTAACGATGTCTGCTGTTCAATCAATCTGTTCTTCAGTCACTCGCTACACTGTCATTATATCGTTTAGGTACTGATGTATTTATTCGCATTTCGAATGCAACTTGGCCCACTAGTGGCCGAGCGGTAAAGTCACTGAACACTGGTAGGTCGGTCCGAGGTTCGAATCCCGCGAACGGGCTGGCTGCATGGGCGTTTTCGTGGTTTCCCCCATGTGTAACGTGTATACGAGCCAGTTTCCGTTAGAAAGTCCTCCACGAAGGCATCCCTCCCCTTAGGCAGATAGCCCTAGTGTGCTTTGCCATAAATAAACCAAACCTTAGAAATAAGAATGTTATCAGTTATGGAGCAGGTTTTTAAATTTTAAAATTTAAATGTCTTGCGTAAGCCAAGTAAAATTCCCAGTGACGTGATTAATATAGCGGAATTTAGAAGAACATTACTTATCTATTTTCAAGATGTTAAATTTCCTTTGGTACATCTTGACTTGAATCTTTTGCGTCATACTGATTGCTGATAATTTTAAAATTGTCCAAGATTGGAAGGCAGTTGTAAAGAACTAAATTTTTATTTTTTAAAATTACTAATTTTCGAATCTGATCTTGATAGAAGTATACCTTACTTTACATCTGTGACCACTTGGTTCGAAGGTGTATCTATCGTGAAGTCTCCGAGATTCGAATCTCGGCGAAGGAGCTGGCTGCATAAGCATTTTCATGGGTATCGCCATGTGTAACGTGGTTACGGGACTGTTCTTTGGAAATCTTCCACGAAGGCATCCCTTTCCTTAAAAAGGTAAGCCCTCGAATGCTTTGCCGTAATCAAATCAATCGAAGCGGTATCGTGTTAAAGAAACAAGTCTCTATAAAGAAGGACCGGTCCTTCTTTACTCCCTAGGAGTAAATTAAATTACTCCCTAGGAGTAAATTGTATAGAGGTGAAGTTCGGGAAATGGTAAATCTCTTGATAGCAAAAATCTTAACATTATCTACTTTTTATGTAGTTAACTTGAAATTTCTGCAGCTTTGGATTTTTCAGAAATTGAAACCCTTATCTTAACTTCTTACATATGCAAAATATAATGGTGTTTTTCGTATAAAATTTCTCAAAGCAAAATTTCTAGCAGGAGTTTTATATTGAAAAGTTCGTATTATTCGAGCATTGATTAAATGTTGGACAAATGCAATTGTGTATTTGAGTACTAATTAATATTTAATCAGTCTGGCAAATACAAAATATCTAGCTTGAGTCCTGTAGAATAACCTGCACACAAGTTGCTATTTAGTCACTTTAGTGATACTTATTCAACTTTTTTCAGAATTCCTCGGAACCAGATTCTGATAAGACTAGGACAGCGTGACTCCAATGATCATAGGTCCGCCGTTGATTTCAAAGTTGTGGAAATCAAGAGACATGCTGGTTATAATCCAAGAACACTCGAAAACGATATCGCTCTCCTGAAATTATCTCGACGCGTACCACTTGGACAGTTCAAAGGTATTGTGTGTCTTCCTCAAGAGGACAGTGAAAGTGATTACAGTGATCAGAGAGCAGTTCTTATCGGCTGGAATGGATTCTTCAGTAAGTTCGTTGATCTCTCACGTGTTTCAGCAGTTTAAAATGTTCGCTCGTAAGCGAATTATTTTCTCCAAAATGATCTTCAATTTTTTGCTAGTGTAATAACATTTAAAATGGTTCACGTAATTAAATTTAGTACTTGTTCTGTAAATGACATTGACTTTCAGATTTGTACCTTATTTTACTTCTAATTCTTGGTTACAATTTAGGTTACTTCTTTTTTATAACGGCCCCTAACCGTATTTGGCGATTTTACACTTGCGCCAAGCACGCTTGAAGCGCGAATGTTAAAATAACATAATATATAAATAACCCATGTCGTTTTCTAAGAATATTTTTAGATAATCCTCATTTTATCCAAGTTTTTAGTGAACTGCAGCATTTTGGTACACGTTTAGCTGTTTGTTACACCATTTCATGGACGTCAACTTCTCTGCCCAAGAATGCATAAATCTAACCAGCAGTAACTAACGATATTCCGGAGCCGCTGAACCAATTTTCAACATGAAGGCTCTTTTTTGTAATTTGACATCAAAATGGTGTCTTCGTTAACACAGATATAACATGATAGTTCCACATCGTGGCCATTTTGGCATATTCGTGTGTCAGGTAAAGGAGCTCTTTCTAGAAAAAATGGCGTTCATTTCATTACTTGGTAAATTAGATTGTTAACGTCATATTCACAAGAAAAGCAATGAACGTTTTTAAATAAACTATGCAAATTCGAAAATTGTCAAAAATGAATATAACACGCGGAGAGAGCAAAATTACAATATACGATTACGTGGCGAGATACAAGAACGCGTAAAATATTTTGGCGAGATATCTCCTTTGATTGGCGATCCAGTCTCAAGAGCCGCTGCATCAAAGTACTCGAATTGGTCTTAAATTTCTGCAAAGAATTTTTGGTACTTTTCCGTTTCGCCGGCGCAAATCTCGCCAAGCAGACTTTATTGGCGACAACATACAGTATACACATAAAAAAATTTTAGTTCTAAGAATTCTTTTTTTTTAAAGGCATAAACATTTTAATATCGCTTAAAACTTTAAAAGCCAATAAAGACGATAAATTTGTAAAAAGACTAATTTAAGAATTTTCTGTTTTCATGGTTCAACATCCTAATTCGCCGGTTCATATCACGTGACCCCAAGCGATCTCATCTCACGTAAACTACTCGACAAAAATCTAATGCTCTCAGTAATTATCTACATTAATTTCAAGTTAAATCTTAATTTGAAACACAAATTTAAATGAAAGAAATATTTCAATGCGTACGAATAGCTTACTCAGAAAATATGTAAAACTGCAGTGCTTTACTTCACTAATGCATTCTCATTAGAATTGGTGAATTTAACCCTTGACTTTCCTTTTCTATATTTTCGGCTTCGGGTAAGAACTGTGATAGCATCCTAATTGACCTAATTACCGAAAATGGCCTTAGACATAAAACTGAACTATCTGATAAAAATTCTATGTAATTATATGCCAGTATTGAAAGAAACAATCTGATAAGAAAAAGCTGCGACTTGTTTTGAAAATGAGGCGTAAAAGATTACCAGCGAGAATAATCCGTTTGGCATCGGTTGTACCATTATTGGCGACTTTATCGCTTGCGCCGGCAAAACGGAAAAGTACCGAATTTTTTCAATTCGTTAAATTTTCATTCGGATATAAATGCTTCACAATCTGAAATCTTCATCTGGTTAGAATTTTCATAATTGGTATTTAAATAATTTTGTTTACTGTTGTTAATGAGGAAAACTTAACAGCCGCTTTTGAAACAGAACGAGTTTTATATATGAATCCAGAGTATATCTGAATATTAATTTTCCATTGAAATTGTCACTAATCTAAAACATGAACCGGTGGAACGTTTAGCTCGATGTTAAACTGCTATAAGAGTTTGCTTAACAAATCTCGTGTAAGTAATCAAATCTTAAATCAGAGTCACGAAAAGGGTACGTTTTTAAAAGTCCATAATGTTAAATATTCAACCTTCATAAAATCTTCAGTAATATCAAACTCTTTAATTATCTTCAGCAAATGTTCCCGAGTTGCAATTATTTAACTGACATCTCATATCAACAGTATTTTAAATTATCGCTATACTCCAGCTAAAGACTGAAGCTAGGGCACACAGCCAGTTTATTGTAAAGAGAATAATTAAGATCCATGACTTGTGAATACACATGGCTGCAAACTAAAGTTCTTCTATAAGAGCACAATCCTAAGATTTGCAATAATCTGTTAATAATTGTTTTGGACATAAGTTTTGGGTCATTGATAGATATGTTAAAGTAATTATCATTATTTTCCAGATGAAAAGGCAAGGAAGACTGAGTTTTTGACGGTGATGTCGCAGAAGGCTTGCGCAGAAAAGCTGGGTTTTAGCGTTGCTGATTCTATTTTATGCACAGAAGCCCGAGAAGAAGATGAAAGAACATGCAACGTACGTAATTTTAACTAGTAATTTTCAAGTGCTAGTTAATTTAAACTTTTGTTAGGCACTTCCATTTAAAAATTTTTAAGAATTCGATTGTTAGTTTTCTCAATTACTTGATCATCAAAGGTTTTACATATGCTGCGCATTCTTAATTTAGTTTTCCTATTATGCAATGTCTGAGTAAGCAGCAAAAGAATTGTTTACAATTCTTGAACACTTCCTGTAGCAATACTGTACACATTCAAAATGAATGTTTCTGGTATTTTTGTCTCTGTCCATAGTTGTACGATTTTAAAAATCATTCAAATTGTTGATATGCTTTATCGAATCTCCTGAGGACTCCGCTTTAAATTTAAAATAAGAAATGTCTGTAATGTGCGTTAAGTCTCAATTCCCATAACATTATCTCCAGTTTGGAGACCATGAATATTCCAAATCTCCGTGAATTTCCTGTTTTTTCCAGTAAAATGGTATATAAAGTAGAATATCGCCTGTAAGTCTAGAAAATGAAAGATCTTTACTAGAAGTAAAATAACATCCTTAAAGTAACCATGAGTTTTACAATAAGATTTTAGTTAATCATATGCAGTAATATTTCTTAACACATTTGTAGAATGATGTATAACATTTCCTGACAAATTAATGTTGATAACTATTCTGGAGTTAAACTATGTTCCGATATACTGTGGGTAAAAAAAGTATTTTCACACCTACATTTTTGTTTGCAATTCATAAAAAGAAGCGTTAAGAAATAAAAAAATTGGTATTGCCAAATCAGAATAAGTTTAATCATCCAAAACAGAAAAATTACAATATAAATAACAATGCTTTTTTGTAACAAAATTAAAATATCTATCAAAAAAAGTATTTGCACACCTGCATGAATACAAAAGAAATAAAATATGTAAGCAAATTTCAAATAACTAATATTTAGTATGCATGCCTTTAGCATCCATTACTGCTTGTAATCTTGCAGGCATTGATTTAAATTTTCTGTAACAGTAGGATCAGTATTCGACCACTCTTCAATAAGGGCTTGTTTAAGGACAGATTTGCTTGAAATCTTCCTTTTTCTTATTTTTAAATCCAAAGAATTCCACAAATTTTCCAAAGGATTTAAGTCTGATTGTGGTAGAGTGGCAAATTTTGTGGATACATTATAAAGCAACCACACACGTGTTATACCGGCAGTGTGCTTAGTATTATTGTCTTGCTGAAAATAGTAAGAATTACTAATACCCAATTTTTGCATTGTTTTTTTTTTTTTTTTTTTTTTTTTTTTTTTTTTTTTTTTTTTTTTTTTTTTTTTTTTTTTGTTTTTTTTTTTTTTTTTTTTTTTTTTTTTTTTTTTTTTTTTTTTTTTTTTTTTTTTTTTTTTTTTTTTCTTTCTTTTTTGTGGCAAATTATCTCGCAACACTTCTATATAGGTTCGAGCTGTCATATTCCCATCAATAAAACACAAATTACCAACTCCTTTGCTAGCCATGCACCCCCAAATCAACAGAACCTCCTCCATGTTTAACTATAGGTAACATATTTTTGGTATGAAAATCATTACAAGGTTTTCTCCAAACTAATTTCCTGCCATCTGATTTAAAGATGTTGAACTTACTCTCGTCGGAGAATGACATTTTTCCAGAAATCAATTGGCTTATTGATATATTCCTTAGCGAATTCATGTCTCTTCAGTCTGTTTCGTTCAGTTATGAAAGGTGTTTTCCTTGGTGATCTCTCATAAATGTGTGCATCGTGCAGGACATTTCGAACACTTTGGGCACAGATTTGAACTCCAGATGTTGAAGCGACATCGTTGGCTAAAGTAATTGCACTAACAAATGGATTTTTTATGCTTCTCTTATGATTTTTCGCTTCATTCGCAATGAAAGTTTCTTTGGGCGTCCAGAGCGGAAATTACTTGATGTAGATCCTCTTTCTTTATAACATACCAAATAGTAGAGAAGCAAACATTTACTTTTTTACCTATTTCTTGATAACTTAGGCCGTTTTCACGTAGAGAATTTTTTCTCGCAATGAAATCGACAATTCGGATTTCTTAGGTGTCATTACAATTTGAATCGGCAATCAACTGATAACGTTTTGACACCTCCTTTTATAGTCGACTTAAGTATGTTATTTACTGCGAGATTACTGTCAAATGATAGCATAAAAATGCAAATTTGCTAAAGTTGAGTTGAGTGTGCAAATACTTTTTGACATAAGCTATTTTAGTATTGTAGCAAAAATTGCTTTTATTAATATTATTGAATTTTTTGTAAGTAACTTAAATGAGTAGGCTGTTATTTTTTAAATGCCAATTTTTGTATTTCTTAATGCATTTTCTTATAAATTGTAAACAAAAATGTATGTTTGCAAATACTTTTTGTACCCACTGTACGCTTAAGTAGCTTTTGTTCATAGATCAAATTCAGTTTTGGAGATGGGAATCGGCAAATGGTAAATCAAAACTTCTTCCAAACCTCTTCGTAAAAAAAGTAGTTAAACTTCAATTTTTAAAGAAACTTATAAATTTTAACTTCCTGTTAAAGGAATCGCCATCAGGGTGGTAAATTTTACTTTCCTTCATGTAAGATTAGTTCAAAAGCTACCCTGGATCTTAAAAGGGTAATTATTCTTGACTCCAGTGTTCGTTAGCATTGAATAAAATTAAAATGCTTTACATGATTTGGATGCAATAGTTAAAACTCTTGTTAAAAAAAAAAAACACAACCAACTTGAAAAGAAAATGCTTGACATGGGTGAACTCAAATGTACAACATAAAACATCAAAAAGAGTTTTTTGTTTGAAATAGTTTTAACTTATGCTTTACTACTACTCTAAAAGCAGTTATTTGTATTGCTTAGTATTTAAGGGACTGGTTTCGGTGTCAAATTCGTGTCGAACATTTTCTTCAGTACTGCAGCATCAGGTGAGGAGAATCAGTGGTACATGTATACTATCCTGTCGACTCTGAAAGTTGATTGGCCCACCAGCGGCCGAGCGGTAAAGTCACTGAACACTGGTAGTTCGGTCCGAGGTTCGAATCCCGCGAACGGGCTGGCTGCATGAGTGTTTTCGTGGTTTTCCTCATGTGTAACGTGTATACGAGCCAGTTCCCTTAGAAAGTCCTCCACGAAGGCCTCCCTCCTCTTAGGCAGATAGCCCTCGAGGCTTTGCCGTAATTAAATAACCTAACCTAACCTGAAAGTTGATTACCATCCGAATGATGAAAGCTGGGGGAGATCCTGCTGAATCCTGAAGGAACTAAAATCTCTTTAAACAATCTGTATTTGACAGTCTTATTTTTTCGAGTTTCGTAAAATGGCTTTGGTCGATCTTTCCTATTTTGTTAGGCACTTCCACTTTAAATTTGTTTTAGAATGCAATGAATACAAACTTTCCTTTAGGTAATTGTTTCAAACTATTGATGTTCTGTGTGCCATATTCAGCTGAACATATCGCGTCCATAACTTTAAAAATATACTGCTTGATGCTTTGTGGAAGACGGGTCTTAAAATTTTAAGGGAATTTCTCTTGAGGTTTGAAAAACCTTTTTGTTTACTGTTCATAAAAACAAAAATCAACCTAGTGAGAATCGGTCGTGGTTACATAACCGAAAGCGTTGACGTTTTGAATGTTTTTCTCGATTATCCATTATTGGCGACAGTTTAAAGATCGACGGTATAATATCCAAATAATGAGTTATTCATTTTTGTTTTTCCAGGTGGACTCTGGAGCTCCTCTTATCATAAACCCTGACGATGAGGATTACAAAGTGATCGGCGTTCTTTCGTGGAACAGAAATGATTGCGATCAGAAGTTTCCTTCAACATTTACCAGAGTATCTCACTACCGCGAGTGGATTAAACAACATGCTTCTTGAGGTGACTTTCGTATCGGATGCTTAAATTCAGAACCCATACACAGCTGAGCTGTTTTAAATTTTATCCAACTTTTAAGTTTTTGTCCCTGTTTTTAATAAAGTTTTTATGACTAAAATCTGTGCTCTGTAATTTACTTCACACTTTCTTTTGAGATAACGTATCACTTTCCAGAGTTTTTCTCAATTACAAGCGAAAATTGAATACATTTTAGCAACGTTTATTGAACCACAGAAGCTTTAAAGAACTTCTACCTGCAACACTATTCCTTGAATGCTTAATTTTTAAATGTTTCTTATTTAAACTTTTTCTCATGTTTTGTAATATTTTGTGAGGATTGAAATGTGTTACCTATTGGATTGTTCCATTCACCATTTAACAATGAAGAGTATGAAGTACTGTTTAGCAGTTAACATGGCATTTAAAACTGCAATTTGCACGCTTTTCGCAGAATTCCACGACAATGTTTTTTTAATTTTATTCAAACTTTCAGCCAGAGAAACTTGTAACTCTTCACCATATATTTACTAGAATGTGCTAACTGATTCGAAATCGACTTCTCAGACAAAAGTTTGAAACGCAGGAACTCTTTTTCGTTATCTTCAAAATGCTGTTCGATTTAGGCTCTGTTCTGCGGATTTAAAACAAATTTCTGAATCTGTTGCCATCGGTCAGGTGTGAAATGATAGACTAAATTTCCACTCGTAAAACCGTTTCTGAACGCTTCACTTAACTTTATATTATACTATGTATATAGAATAAAATAAATTGCAACATTTAGTAGCTTAAAATTAATTTCAATTTCATAGATCTCTAATAAACTTGATTTAACCCTATAGTAACAAAAAAGAAAGCTGAACTTCAAAACCTAAAGCATGCCACTAATGAGTAATTTGGGTTCAGAATTATGAACTTGTTTTATCTTACTTTAAAGACCAGACTCTAATTTCGTTTAACTTTACACTGACGCCAGTTTATGCAGCCAAGTATCCTGAGGGTAATTACGCGATTTTAGCGCCTTGGCTAACGGTGTATTCCTAAAACTAAAATACCCATAACTTCATCTTCATCTTTTAGTTATAAATTTGAAACTTCTCGAGGATACCTGTCGCACTCCCAGTAGTTGAACTCTTTAATAAAACAGTTTGAAATGTCATTTTGCTTAATTATACAAGATGAAATTCGCGTAGAAAGTGGATAGACGGTGTAGAACAACTGCTTATAACGGTATGTTTTGAAACCTCGATGCAAAATTATATTAAACTTCTGTGTAATATGCTAAAAGGATAAATTTGTTTCATTACAGTAACCGATCTCTCATATAAATTCAACAAAGCCAGCCCTCGAATTCATTGTGGCAAAGAGTAAAAGATTGCGTGTGCCGTTAGCAATAGCCTTGTCCACCATATAGTAGGTGTCTGTACGAATTTGACAGTTCTAATCGTATTTTAAGAGATAGCAGCCATTTCCCGGAATGTGTCCGAGGATCTCGCTGCTCTTTCCCTGATACCCCCAATCCCTCCCCACGAGGATATATTTAGAGAGCCATTATTGATGCAAACGCGCTATACATTAACAAAGATCTATGCCTTCTCCGGGATTCAAACACGGGCTTTCGTTACGGTAGTCTGTCGTTAATCGTTTTCGAACGGCAAGTATAAAGTTATAATAAATAACAGCCAGTTTTATTCTCCCGACACAAAGGGATCCTTTGTCATAGGCCGATAGCCTTCAAGTGATTTCCCGCAATCTGACAAACCAAGCCAGAGCGGACATGAAATCTGAAGAGATGTCTGAAGACAGCGTTTGAATCTTGGTGCTTAAATTTCTGTGAATATACCCAAGAGTACCATTAACACAAGTCGAATTTTCCCGAAAAAACTCCACAGAAAGGTACCCTTCCCTGTAGTCAATTATCCTTCAGGTGATTTATCACATCCAGTTATCACTAATGGATGTGACACATCTGTAACTGTGCAGACTAAAGTAAAATTAAGCAAAAAAAGATTTTGGTCATGACTATCGATTTCAAGGGCTGAGAGGTGAAGTCTCTTTATCAGGATCAAAGAAATCTGCAGATTTAGAGGAATCTGTACGTGTTGGCCTTTGAAATAGTCATAACTAAACTCCACACTTGGCGAGAAGTTGTTTTTGCTTAATCTTGTTTTACTTTGGAGTTTTTATCTTGACGCAGGCAAACTAGAGATTAGCTTCTAGGTTGATGGCAAAGTATTTTTTCACGAAAATAAATTCCGCCCTTTTCATATTTGGCTGTTTGCAGCGTAATCGATAGCGATATTTTCCATAAGAAGATTCACTTGAGAAACTGCATTAACGCGAGTAAATATTTTAAATATATCAGCCTTATTCTATTAGTTTATAAATACTTTATCTTGCATCGGGTCTTGACTTTCTTTTAACCATTGCACTTTTCTAAAATGTACGAAATTACTGAAGATCTTAGCATGTGTATTTTAAAGAGTTACGTAAGCAACGTTTTAACACTTTTAATCTTCGCTTTAACCACTGGTTTCACGCAGATAACCTTGCATGATTTTATGCTAGAAATTGCAGTACAAATGGGTTGTTTTGTGAGATTTTTCTAATTACAATGCCGTTAAACGTACTCTTTGCTTTCCTAGCATTAAGATAAACAAATTCTTTCCGAAAGTTACATGCTCAGTTAATACATACAGCGGAGCACGAACTCAATTCTACACTGGCCATAGTCCCTTCTCACATTATCTTAGGAGATTCGGCAAACGAGCATCAGAATTGTGTGAATGTGATGCAGATCACTTCATTTTCAACTGCCCACAAACCAATAAACTGCATTTACAAATGTCAAGCAGTGAGTGAATACTGGCCGCAATGGGCGAAGAATACCTGCGTCAACAAGCAGACGAAAACTAAAATAGAGGAGGTAATCAGGCTATGCTCAGCAAGGTACTAAGAAATTCTGCCCCACCTATGAGAACTGTTATCTTCGCAGCATAATTTTAATAGCAATTCTAAATACTACAACAAAAAATCAACACTAGAAAAGTAGCTCACCCCGTAGAATAGTAACAGGACTGCAAGAGCAAAACTATTGTAAGCATATTACTATCCAGTTTGTATGTACTTGATAAAAATATTGTAAAGCAGTTCAAATGATATTGAAAATCCAGTCAATGTGTAAATGAATTACAAGTTTACTTTGATTATCTCAGTAAAAGTATTGTAAATATGAATTCAGATAATGTTTAAATGTACACACAGCTGTCCTGATTTTATGTAATTATCATATGTAACTTGTACAAGACAATGTTTTGTAATCAACATATCTATGCTTATACACAGGCCTTGTATGCCCATGTGATATTTATATTTTTACACGGAGGAAATTTTCCCTTCTGACAGGATGACTATTAACGCTGTAAGACTTTTACGACAAAGTCAGGTCAGTGGTTTATCTCAGGCGGCGCTCAGCATTAAGATAAGGAGGAACTGAATAGGAAATGCGTTAGCTATTTGCGATTTAATCATTTGTAAAGCAAAAATCGCTAATATATACCAAAGCTATTAACATGTAAGGGAGGAGGACACTTGGTAAAACCTTCCTATCGAAACTTACTCGCGTTCACGTTAAAACTCGAGACGATCACAAGAACCTAATGCAGTATCCACTCAACCACCGAGTCTGAGATTAATTACCGGTATATAGTATAGCGGCTTTGCCTACTCAACCAAGTGGTCAAAAACTAGTGGTTCTAAAACTACATTCTTCTGAAGGAATGCCTGAAACATTTATAGAATTTGGATATTTAAATACTAAGCTGGGTACTTTTCCATTTCGCCGGCGCAAATCTCGCCAAGCCGACTTTGTTGGCGATAACATACAGTATACACATAAAAAAATGTTAATTCTAAACATTTTTTATTTTGAAGGCATAATCATTTTAATATGGTTTAAAATTTTGTAAAAAGCTAATAAATAAAGACGATAAATTTGTAAAAAGACATAATTTAAGAATTTACTGTGCTTTCATGGTTCAAATTCCTGATTCGTAGGTTCGTATCACATGACCCCAAGCGATCTCATCTCACGTAAACTATGCTATAAAAATCTAATTCTCTCGATAATTATGTACAGTAATTTCAAGTTAAATTTTAATTTGGAATACAATTTTAAATGCAAGAGTTATTTCAGTTCTTACGAATAGCTTACTGAGAAATTATGTAAAACCGCAGTGCTTTACTTCGCTAGTGCATTCTCATTATAATTGATGGATCTAACACTTGATTTTGCCTTTTCTATATTTTTGCCTTCGTGTGAACGGTGTGATTGCATTCTAATTGACTTAATTACCGCGAATGGTCTTAGGGCATACAATTTAACTATCTTGTAAAAATTCTATGTAATTGTATGCCAGCATTCAAAGAAACAATCATTCAAAGAAACAAACAAGAAATGGCTGCGATTTGTTTTGAAAATGAGGCGTAAAAGGTTACCAGCGAATATATTCCTTTTGGCATCCAGTTGTACCATTATTGGCGACTTTATCGTTTGCGCCGGCAAAACGGAAAAGTACCCTAAGCTGTTCATTTTCAAAATACTTAAATCCAATGACATTAATTTTTTATCAGTTAGAAACAGAAAATCGGACGTTATTTAATTTTTTATACCGCTATTTTATTGGAAATACTGAGTCAACAAGATTCAGAGTAATATTCATACATTTTCGGGGCTAGTTTCAAAGGCTTAATCATCGAACCTCCTTCGGCTGCAGGAATGCACGCCTGAAGAAAGTTCTATATTTAAACCTTCGAAACCAGTCTTGTAAATGTACGAATATTGTACTGATTCTTGTTGTCTTAAAGTATCTCCAATAATTGTTATTTAGTGTTATTTAACTCTCATTTCTATTATAATTACAAAATTAAAATATCTTCAATTGTTTCTTTTCGACTATGAAATAATATTTTTCTCACAAAATTAGTTCTTATATCAGTTATTAACAATCTGATTTAATATCCCGTTTTTACTTAGGCCCATCAGCGGTGAAGTTACTAAACACTAATAATTCGAACTGGGACCGAATCGCAGCGAAGATCTCGGGTTCGAATCTCTGACTAGCTGCATGGTTGGCTTTCGTGGTTTTCCTTATGTGAAATGTGGATACGACCCAGTTTATCTTGAAACGTCCTCCACAAAGGCCTCCTCGTAGGCAGATAGCCCTCGAGTTGCTTTGCGTCAATCATTTAATCTAATCTATCTGCTTTTACTTTTCAAATTCTGTTGATATATTCACGTTTAAAGCTGAATTTGTGCGTTTCACAAGATTATTTTCTTTCATTTCTTTTAAAGAAAAAGATGTTCCTTCTATTACATTCGTTTATTGTTGTTGTAACTTAGCTCACTTGTACGAGAGTAGCATCAGAACAAGCCCACGAAATTTATCGTGGCAAGGAGTGCTACATTCCGCCTGTCCTTGGCAAGAGCTTTGAGCACCATACGGGTGACAGTAGGACGCTGCTCAGTTTCGCCCCCCCCCCAGTTTTGATGAACAGCACCCCGAAGGACGCGTCCGAGAGTCTCCCACTCCTCTTCGCCTACTCCCAACGTATCGAGAGGACCTTCGGCTCACCACATATTTAGAGTGCCCTCATACCGCACAGACACTATACATTTACAAACATCCATACCTTCTCGGGGATTCGAACCCGAGCCCTTCGGTACGGCAGTCAGCTTCGCTAACCGGTATTCCAGTTGGGCGGCATGTTCGTTTGTTTACTTCAATATGGAAAGGACACTAAGGCTTTTTTGTCCAAGGAGAGGGATATCTTCGTTAAGGATTTTCTAGCGGAAAGTGTCTTGTGTTTACTTTACACACGGAGGTAAGCGACGAAATCATTCATGTAGCCAACTGATTCGTAGGGACTCGATATTATGCTGATTCCTCTGTTATGTATGTAATTAGTTTTTGACTTAGGATGATTTAATTCCGTTTTTAAATACGAATTTTAAACAAGTGTTTCTATAGAAATCTAGTGGGAGCATATTACCAGATGTTAAAAAGTAGAATAGGTAATAGCCACCAAAAGAAGTCGGTTTTATCGTTATCAAATTTGCAAAATCCTGATAATGTATTGCTTTGGTTTTGGGTTTTGTATAGTATATATATATAGTATATATATAGCATGTATAGTAAGCGTGGAAATTCTCATATCTTTCTTGACTACAGCTTTATTTACCTTTTCTTTTTCTTGAAGTATTAAATTCTACGAAGACATATGTAAAACTTTAAATTGGTTTACTTAAAAAAGTTATTAGTTTCAATCCATTATTTGACGCCTTATAAAATTTCAACTTTAGATAAACAAAAAGTAATAATAACGAACTAAAAATTACATAAATTATGCGATAAGGACTTTCCCGTCTTACCTTAAGTATTTAATCGTTAATAGTTATTAAGTTTTTGATTTGTTTCGATTAATTGATGAAGGAAAGGCACGTGAACACGCAAGCGCTGAAGAATGTAGCCTCAAATGTGCCATTTAAAAATGGCGCTAATTTAGCGCTTTGTTTACCGGTTCACCTGAGGGAAGTGTTTAACTTTTCGTATACTTTTGCTGGTTCTGTAAGCAAGAAATGCTAAAAGATTAACTATATTTTTACTTATAATTTATTATTCGTTGTTAATTACAAATTTAAAAGTAAGTTACTGTAGAAATATGTTCTAGCAGCTGCATATTCTCAGATAATAGCATTATTGTGGGAATAGTCACTAAAGTAAACAGTTTTATCATTATCAAATTTGCAAAGTCCTGATAATGTACTGTTATCATTTAATTGCCCAGTCAAAGTTCTTGCCCAGTCAAAAGACGAAATAATGATACGGCTACAGGACGAGGAAAATCTGGAATAACTTGCTTTGAACTAGTGAGAGACACTGGCAAGCCTTGCCCTTAGCTTCATTTAATGAGGCAAACCTCCTCTTAAATTATAATTTAATTATGAGATTTGTAGAATTAAAAATTATATGGGTCTTAGTGGTTTGTAGAATAGTCATTCCTTTCTTTGCCAAGAAATCGGCTCTTTCTCCGTCGATGCCACAATGAGCAGGAATACACTTGAGACAGCTAGACTGTTAAGAATCTTCCCACATTCGTAAATTGGTCCGGAAGTGCAACATTTATTGCTGGAGATAGCCTGCAAGGCGGCTTTGCTATCAGGCAATGATAAATAATGTAAAAAGTGGAATCTGAACTCTCCGGCATTTCAAAAGTAGTGCACACGACCAGTGCCGTCTTCGGCCTTATCGGCACCTGGCCAACCCAGTGTGCTGGTATCCATGATACGATAACCATTCACAGAAATGAAAAGTAGATGGATTAGCATGTGCCCTTTATGTTCGTGCCCCCCCGGGTAAGTGCCAAGCGGGCTCATGCGCTATGACGGCCATGAAATATGATTTGAAAGAAATAGATTCTGATTAGTTTAAGGAAATTATAAGGATATGACACGTGTGCATTAATGTTTACTGATAATCTTTCTGCTATGTGTTTCAGATATATTACCTTCCACCTGCTCCTGTTTATGTACCTGTTAACGTGTATAGTGGCAGAGAGTGTGCAATTCCGTCTGTAGTGGAAATGACCCTTCAACATCATATAAATGGCAGTACGACTTTGTTCACTTCCGCCCGTTTTGAAGGACTTCGCCCCGGGAGGCGCATCCGAGGGTCTCCCATCTCTTTCCTCTGCTACCAAATCACTCGAGAAGGCCCGGCAGTCAGCATTACTAACCACTAAACCGTCGGCAGTGTAAGAAATAATGTGGAAACTGGGGGGGGGGAATTGTATTAAAGGCAACAGCGTAATACTTGTTGCCGTTTTGTCCATGTATTTCATGGAAGAATGGTTGCCAGAGCCTCGAGGAGGTTGGACTTCTCTTCCACCCCAATTTTGGAGAGCCTTCCCGGGGGTGGTCAGAGGGTTTCCATCTGTCTTCCCTACCACCAAACCACACGAGAGGACTTTCGGCTTACCGTATATTTGGAGTGCTGCAAAGACATGTCGCAAATACCCATGCCGCAAATTTACCCATGCCGCACAGACACTATACATTTACAAACATCCATATCCTACTACTTCGGTACCGCAATAAGCTGCCCTAACCACTATACCGTCTGGGCGGCAGCGTTTTACTTCCCTTTCCATAAATGGTATATTTAAATTGCTCAAGAAGAATTCCTTAGCCCTAGAAATTTTTTATAGAGTTTTTGTTCCAGTTTGGCCTTAATGATCTATCGCCATTTTGTTGCAACATTCTGTGGGTTATGCTATACCATGAATGCATGCTAAAGTCGCATTATATGTAATGCAGTTCTAAATTACATTTTTCAGCTTTAAAGTTAGGTAGCAAATATGACCAATATTATAGTATTAATCTTATTTGGTCATGTAGTTGGAATTTCGACCTTCCTTAAAATTATTGCCATTTCGATAAGAATATAACAAATGCAATTTTAGAACAAGTCTTAGTTCTATTAGCCCTTGTTTTCTGAAGTTGTTTACAGGATTACAGCTATAGGTTGAGCCGTAAAGTAATTTTCAATCCTAGTATAATATGATAAATCACATTTACTTTTTTTTTTTTTCATCCCGAAATGCATTGCATTTCATATTACTATGAATACATATGTGTATCCCGCTTTTGCTTACAATTATTCTTATTGATAATATTTCGCATAATTTTAGACCATTATTTTTTTGAAAAAAATGATGCATCAACTAACACAAAAGGAAGAGAATAAGACACCAACTGCTTGCTTGTAACTGTAAACCGTGGCGCTAAAATGTTTTAAGCATTTTACAAATTAATTCTCTTATTCAGAGTAAGAAAGCTAAGCCAGCTAAGTGTGTACTTCCCTAATCGCCTAATACCCTAACGTGGATTTTAGCAGTAAGTTTTTTTGCTATTTATATTTATTATACAATACCTTCTATAAGTGTTATATAATTACTTTTCGCCATATATTTGAATTCTCGAAGCAGTAGGAACCAAATAAAATCGAGCAGTAACGATGTAAAATACCTAAATCCTACATTCGTTTTTTAATAAAAATGATTAGTAGTTATTATAAAAATGCAATCAAATTATTACGCATTTTTAAGCGAGAATCCTAATCGAGAAAGCCTTTAATTATTTTCATTGCATTTTTATTAAATTTTTGAAACTTGTTTAAACCTCTTGCAAGCTCTATTCCAGTATTTAATGCGGTTTATATTTCAGTTCTTAAGAATATATTCCGATATGAAGTTATTACCTGTTTTAAGGAATAATGAGTTCTTATATTTAATGAAAATTTTGCTTTTAAGATTAAGTGAATAATTATTACATTAGTATTGATGAACAGTACACGTCTGAAGTTACCTTCTTTTTGTGAAAGAGAATGAACTAGCAAATCTAATTGCTAAGTCTACTACAATGTCCAACCTTCTTGTCCTCCTCGTAGGTATCAGGGCATTGATCAAACCAAAAATTCTCAATAAATAGCAGATGTATTGGGATCATCAAGCAAAAAAGTAAGCTGAGAATTGTTAAATTTAGTACAGAGTGCTGGCCGTCTGTGTGGAATAGAACCGAAATATTCTCTTAACTCCTTTGAGGATCAGCCACTGTTGACTGACTCGTAAGCATAATCTCAAAAGCGAAAGCCATCCACTTCGTGTTAACTGCAATGGCATTCTGATATTCGCCATATTTTTCTGGAATGTCAATCTTTTAAATATTTCCGCTTAAAGCATTTTAATTGCTTCAATCTGTATTTAGGAAACTTAATATATACGCAAATGTTTAAAAGAAACTGGTTTTACCATAAATTGCAATCAGGTTTTTTTGTCAATTTCATCAAGTCTGATACTGTATTGTAACTGTGCACATGCGGTATTTTAATATACATTTTAAGCTGTTCGTTTCCTTACTTTCTCCTTCCTTTCATTACAGTTGGTGCTTTTTGTTTTCTACAGTTCTGTAAACGTTTGTTTTATTTTTCTGATGTGGGATAGTCTTGATGTTTACGATGTAGAATTCTCCATTTCTGCTAGCTCCTGTTTTACATGCAGCTTTATAGATTATTTGGTACTTGCGTGTTATCGCAACCACCTTAGTCGAAAAGTTGACAAATTTTCGGAATGTGCCAAATGTTGGCAACCATGCGCTTAACAACAATCCTTCAGTCAAACAACGGCGCTATTTTTGCATGTGTTCTTTTTGTTGTATTCCATAGACTACTATAACAAATCGCGATATTTTAAGCCTTAAAATCAATTTTAAAATATGTACCTGTGGAATTTGCCAGCAATGGTCAAATTTCTTCAGGAGACATAATTTTGACGCAAAACCTTTAAAGGGAACTACGAGAAGTTGCATTTGGTAGATAGCCGATGTTACTGGAGTTTGCGCGATGCCATATCTCTCCAATTCTCTGATGTCCTTTAAATGTAAACACATCTTTGTATAATTGGGGACAAGAATAACATAAAATTACAGAAATATTTGGATAAAAAGGTGTTTCATTTTAATATATCAGGTAATAATTAAAATTTGTATTTGAAATTATTAAAGTATGCTTCTCTTTCATATACACATAACGTCTGCCAACTTACAATAAATATCCATTTCCAATATTGTCTGGGAATCTTTTTATAGAAAAATCGCAAAAAGCACTCGACAAGTAGCTTTTATTTTTTCATCTATAAAAAATCGCCAAACTGTGCTAAGTTGGTTGCGGCAATAGTTAAGTACCAGTTATTTTAGCATTACTTGTTGGATTACTGGATTCTTTTCAATTGTCGACTTTAACTATTGGTTTGTGCAGGTAACCTCGCTAGGTTTTGGGGCCGCAATTGCAGTACAAACAAACAGACATTCTTTTTGCGAAATATCTGCTCAGTGAACTAATTATTTGAGAGCTATTTTAATGAACTATTACACAATAATTATTCTATTTACACAAGCTTTGCTTCTTAGCATTGTAGCAAAATGCTAAGAAGAAAAGTGTTTCTTAGCATTTTATAATACTCTTGTCTGTGAATCGAATTAAAATACTCAGCCCTAAATGGGGCCCACCAGCGGCCGAGCGGTAAAGTCGCTGAACACTGGTAGTTCGGTCCGAGGTTCGAATCCCGCGAACGGGCTGGCTGCATGGGCGTTTTCGTGGTTTTCCCCATGTGTAACGTGTATACGAGCCAGTTTCCCTTAGAAAGTCCTCCACGAAAGGCATCCCTCCCCTTAGGCAGATAGCCCTCGTGTGCTTTGCCATAATTAAATACACATACACAGCCCTAAATGGGATTATAAATGAGAATCGTAGCGAAGTGCATGTAAATTATGTATAGACGTTCTTTTTCACATTATGTGCACATTCTTGATAAACATTACGTAAAATTTAAAGGCTGTGGAGCTGTACACTTAGGCATTTCTTATACGACTATAGGAGCATAATTTAGGAATTCTTTTTAATTCATTTATTGTTTAAAAGCTGTTCCAAACGTTTTTTAGTTGTTTCATAAAGCGACCTTTTAGATAATACGCAAAAGTATTTGCGATTCAGAACTTAGATTCTATTTTTATTTTACTTTGTATTTCCTATTTAAACATTAACTCTTTTATTCTTGAAATAGAATTAACTTGGATCCTAATGTATTCTAAAAGAAGCACACTTCTTAAACTAATAAAATTAAAGGAACTATTCCATTTTGCCGGCTCAAGCGATAAAGTCGCCAGAAATGGTACAACCGATGCCAAAAGGAATATCCTCGCTGGTAACCTTTTACGCCTCATTTTCAAAACAAGTCGCAGCTTTTTCTTATCAGATTGATTATTTCTTTCAATACTGGCATACAATTACACAGAATTTTTACCAGATAGTTCAATTTTATGCCCTAGGGCCATTCACGGTAATTAAGTCAATTAGGAGGCAATCACACTGCTCACCCGAAGCCGAAAATATAGAAAAGGCAAAGTCAAGGGTTAAATTCATCAATTGTAATGAGAAATGCACTAGCGAAGAAAACCACTGCGGTTTTACATAATTTCTGAGTAAACTACTCGTACGAATTGAAATAATTCTTGCATTTAAACTTGTATTTCAAATTAAGATTTAACTTGAAATTAATGTATATAATTACTGAGAGAATTGGATTTTTGAAGCGTAGTTTAAGTGAGCTGAGGTCACTTGGGGTCACATGATATGAAACGGCGAATCAGGATCTTGTACCATGAAAGCATAGTAAATTCTTAATGTCTTTTTACAAATTTATCGTCTTTATTTATTGTCTTTTTACAAAATTTTAAACGATATTAAAATGTTTATGCCTTCAATATAAAAATTTCTTAGAACTAAACCTTTGTTAACCTTTTTTGGTTAATCTTTAGATTATGGTAACTTGGCGATTTTTTGGCGAAATTTTGGCGACTAACCCTGCTACAGCAACCTGCTAGTTTTTGTTTGGACGCCATTTTGTTTTCACGAAGTAAAGGCATGTTTTTTTTAATCAACATTTTTTTTCCAACAATCTGCTAGCCGAATTACGCTTATGCTAGAACTTTTATGGAACAAAAGTGCTTAATCATGACGAAGATTAGGTGCGAAATTGGGAGAAAGTGCAGAATCGCAAACTGCTTGCCGCGTTTTTAAGAATTGCACATACATGGTATCCATGTAAACGTCGACCTATTTTCACTTAAAAAAACATCCCAGAATTGCACAAAAATGGCATTGCGCACACTCTTGACTTTATCCGTGTACACTGCTAAAGTCCTAGCTAGTAACCTTTATCGCCTTACCAAAATGTTGCCAAACTACCTGTTACCATATTCCAAAGATTAGCCCATTTTTTATGTGTATACTGTGTGTTGTCGCCAATAAAGTCTGCTTGGCGAGATTTGCGCCGGCGAAACGGAAAAGTACTAAATTAAACATAAGCATTTCTTAGATTAATAAATAGCGTTTGAGCATTTGTGAAAACAGTGGTATAAATTTTTTCATAATTTTCTAAAATTATTTTTCAATAGAAATTCTTGTGCAACAAAATGTTTAGCATATCAATTTTATTTACTTAGTAATGCTAATAATTTAAACGTTTTCTTTAGCAAAAAATAATTCAATAGAATATGATTACATATTGTAAGATTGGCATCCAAAGTCTGTCTTTAACGTGTTTGGTATGTTTTTCAGAAAAAAATGTGGCTTCCTGAGATTATACTTCTTTCATTAACGTTCTCTCATCTACATGCAAAAGCTTTAGATACAGAATTAGGATTATCTGACGGTAAGTGTTCTTTAAAAAAAATTAGTAAAATTTTAATGTATGAATTTCATAAATATAACTCCATACATCATAAGAAAATTCCAAAAATTATTTATATCGAAAGAAATGATAGTTCAAATTTTGCTTGAAACTTTTTTACATTCTCATTTGTAATAATCGAGAAATTAAACTAAACCTGGTACTTTCCGTTTAACGGGGACGCCAGTTGTAATTGCACGATAAAGCTCCAAATGTAGTAGCTTGCTTTTATTACGTCATACTATATGCTATAGCTGTTCAGCAAACTCTTGTTCAGCAAATTGTAGTGATATCAGAAAAAGTAGCAAAATGAATTCTCTGATTGTTAGAAAACGTATAAAAAGGATGAGTTAACAGCTGCCTGATGGGAAAGTCTAGGAGATGAATGTCGTACGTACACTGGGGAAAGATGCAAAATGGCGAAATAAATGTCAGCTTTGTATTATAAACCACCAGCTAGAATTTCTGTTTAATTGAATTTATGTGAGGTCGTGGTAATGTTGGCAGAAATCACGGCTTTGTGCCTTCTGCGTAATATGATTTAATCTGGTAAATTCCATTTTGTATTCGCCTTTTATTGGTGAACTTTGGTTTTGTTTTTATTTTGAATTTAATATGGTAATAATTCTTTTCATGAAGCTGTGTATATCATTGGGACTGATTTAAAGTAGATTTTGCGACAACATTTACATTTGGTGCCAAGTGGCGTAACATTAACCGGAAAGTACTTCGAATTTTAATTATTTAACTTTATGCTTGAAATTCGAATTGAAATTTTTTGGTACTATTCCGTTTTGAGGACCGTAAAAAAATTACAGCGAAAATGTATCGCAAAAGCGCCAAATCTAGCAAACGCGCCCATTTAACAGCACGCCAAATCTAGCGTACGCGCTGATTTCAGATTGCGTAAGTTTATAAAGTTCTATATTTCTTAAGACGCCATTGAAATAATAGTTTAATTTTTAAATCCTTTTTTGATATCCTATGCATTTAACAATTTGGGAATTGCCCACGACGAAAAGTCTGCAATAGAATTTTGGGTAAAGTGCAGAATCACCCACTGTTTGACGCCTTTTTAAGAACTGTACATATTCCGTATCCATGTACACAGCAACTATTAACAATTAGCAGGAATTAAAATTATTCAGTAGTTAAATCATATCTCTTCATGAGTATCATATATTTTGGCATTAAATAATCTGAACTACTTGGAAAGTCCGCATACAAAACTATAGTATAAACTGAAGGTCATAATAATTGGCTCGAAAAAATACACAGTGGTAAAACGAACAAATAGCTAAAGTTCTGAATTTAAATATATTGGTAAATTTAGAAGCAGACGAATATAACTGTAATAAGAATTTTATGACGGCAATTATTTTGAACGCAAAATCAGTATTAGGATATAGGTCTACTGTGACGCATTTGAAATTATTTTGGTTGATCTTTACATTACGGTAACTGGTAGTTTGGCGACATTTTGGAGGCGATAAAGGTTACTACCTGGGACTTTGGTAATAATGTGAGCAGTACTGAGTTCCGATTACGCATTATTTTGTGTGGGGGAAATGAGAGATCATGGGATATGTCATGTGATATTAATGGACGATTACGGTTCTTTAATCGGAAGAGATGATGGGATATGTCATGTGATTTTAATGGACGAATTACTGTTCTTTAATGGGGAAAAATCTGGGAATTTTGTATTTGGCTTTATTCTGTGTTGTGTGAAATAGTGTTTGTGAATTTTTGGATCCCATGGCCGTAAGTAAAGTGAATTCGAAATGGGTATTTAGTGGTATTGAAAAGGATAGTAAGAAATGTTTTTTAAGGTTGTGTGAGAGAGAAATAAACATGTTTTATTATGTTATTTATTTTACGTGGTATCTTGCTTTGAAAGATAAGTATGATTTTAAAGATTCTGAAAGAGAATGAAGAAAAGTGTATCCGCCACGTAATGAAGATTCTGAAGGAGATTAGGTAAGTTAGTATTTTTAATTATTTTTATGCATTGTTGGAAATGTAAGAAGGAAAGGAATTTGGTATTATTGGGAAAATTGTTATTAGCAATGATTTAGTTTAAAGTAATTAGGATTGTAAGGTAATTTTTATTAATTGAATGTATGTGCTCATGTATATTTTAAGTGGTGTTTTTGAATTTAATTATATTTTAATGAAATGATAGTTATTTTGTGAATTTTATACTTGTAGGAATTTGGTGTATGTTTAAGTTGAAATAAATGTGCATGGAAATAATTTAAATATTTGATACTAAATATTTGTAATGCTTCATGTATGAATTCGTTGGTGACGTGTATAATGTAATAGATGATTTAGAGGTAAAAGTTTTTGGATATTTTATTTATTTTATATGTGGAAATGTTCATATTTGTAAAGGGTAAATACTTTTTCGCGATCATGTAATTTCATATATGTTCTTTTTACCGGGTTTAAAGATTGAGAAAATTGTCATGTATTTTCGTGAAATTTTTTTAATTTATGAGATAAAAGCAGTGTACATGGATATAGTGAAGAGTGTGCGCAATGCCATTTTTGTGCAATTCTGGGATGTTTTTTTAAGTAAAAATAAGTCGGCGTGTACATGGTTTATGTGTATGTGTTATTTTGAAAAACGCGTAAGGTGTATGGTATTGTGCACTTTTTCCGAATTTTGCAGTGAATATTTGTCATGATTAAGCAGTTTTGTTTGATAAAATTTCTAGCATAAGTGTAATTCGGTTAGTAGATTGTTGGAAGAAGTGTTCAGTAGATAAGAAGAAAAGAAACATGTCTTTATTTCGTGAAGACAAAATGGCGGCGGGGAAAAAAAAAATAAAGGGTTGCTGTAGGGGAGTTGGTCGCCAAATTTTCGCCAAAAAATCGCCAAGTTACCGTAATGTAAAGATCAACCATTATTTTTAGTCCAAGTTACTCAGTGAAGAGTTACTTTACAATGTTTTTATCGCCCGATACGTTTTAAGAGGTTAAAACGAGACTATCCGAGTTTTTGGAGCTTCTGAATGACAAAGCATAATAAAGATGAACTAAAGGCGCACTGCCCTGCAAAAATATCTTACGGACAGCATTTGAAGTTTAATAATAATAACCACAAAATAACCTGCATTACTTCTGAGGCTGATAAAATTTAATTTTAATTCCGAAGTTGTTCAAAAATATTTTTCCTCGCTTACAATATAAATACAAGTCAATTTTCTTTAGAATGCCTTCCAAGAAAAAAGTGGCAAAACGGTAAAATCGCTGAACACTGGTATTTCAAATTGGGTTGGATTTCAGGCGAACGGGCTGACTGCATGGGTGTTTTCCCCATGTGTAAGCTAGTTTCTCTTGAAAAATCCTCCATGAAGGCATCCCTTCGCTTAGGTGCTAGTATGCTTTGCCATAATCAACCAAGAAGACTTGCTCAAATAAACTTAGTAAGCTTTGACGTCTTCAATTAAACATACTAAGGAAACATAAGCACAATGCTTTATTAACTTGTTTTTAAATATGAATGCATTTTTATAACATACTAGGAAAATAAACAGTTGCGAAAGAGATGTTAACATTTTGGTACTTGCATATTATCGCAACCACCTGGGCGCAGTTTGAAACATTTTACAAAAGAAAAAGAAAATTATTTTTATTGTAAAGAAATTATAAATTACTTGCATACATATTTTACGTTTCAACCCTATAGTTACCACAAAAGTCAACTCAGTAAACGCAGTTATGTACGGGTTTTTGATGTGAAAATTTCCTAACGATCCTTTTCAGAAAAAACTTGAATCATTATTTAGCGATTTTACTGCAAAATGCTGTTTTTTCCGCAGAAATTCACCTCCTTCTTCTACTAGAGGAAAATTCTAGTACGAGCATGAATTTTAAATCGTGTTTAAGACTAAAAAAAACAGCATAATTTTTATATAAAAGCAGTTGCAATAATTTGTTCTGAAGGTCGTAATCGCCGTACTAATATTTTAACTTTTTTAATTTTGATCATAACATCGTAGGCTCGATTCAGTAGTGTTACTTAATTTTTAATACCTGTGTTAATAATCAATGTACCTATTTTCCCATCTTGCTCCTTAAATTCATAATTTCCCTCTTTCACCTCCCCAACTTGGAATTAAAAATTGAAAAAAAAAAAAAAAAAAAAAAAAAAAAAATTGGGCACTTAGTGACATTTTTCAGCTTCATATTAAAAAACGTCTAACGCGGATACCAGATGAGTTCATTTTACAGCCTATTAAATTTCACACACATTTTGCTTCACTTCATTAAACTTACTTATTCGAATGATTCTAATTTAATTAACCAGATCCTCGAAGCAAATATACAGTTGAAAATTACATCAAAAATTAAAAATATCCCGGTTAATTTTGTCATAGTTGAGTCAAGCTTCTTATACTTTTAGTTTTTACATAATGAGCATAAAACTTTCTCAAATTTAAATAGAGGAACAGGCAGATCGCATTAAAAGTTCCATTTCGTTATTTGTCCAAAATTAATTTTATTTGTAATTTGACATTGCCCAAACATGAATATTTTCGTCATTTAAAATACTTGTGTAACTGGAAATATGACAACGATAGCCAAAATAAAAGTCAAACAGGGACTTTTACACCTGGATAAGTGGATATATATATATATATATATATATATATATATATATATATATATAAGGTATACGCCTGGTATTATTATTATTTAAGTGTTCCCAGATGTATTTAAGGCACTGCACGGAAGGGAGGGATGCCTTCATGAATGACTTTCGCCCACCAGCGAGCGAGCGGTAAAGTCGCTGAACACTGGTAGTTCGGTCCGAGGTTCGAATCCCGCGAACGGGCTGGCTGCATGTGTGTTTTCGTGGTTTCCCCATGCGTAACGTGTATACGAGCCAGTTTCCCTTAGAAAGTCCTCCACGAAGGCATCCCTCCCCTTAGGCAGATAGCCCTCGTGTGCTTTGCCATAATTAAATACACCAACACCATGTATGACTTTCTAAGGGAAACTGGCTCGTATACACGTTACGCATGGGGAAACCACGGAAACGTCCATGCAGCCAGTCCGTTCACGATATTAGAACTTCTGACCGAACTACCAGTGTTCAGGGAATTTACCGATCGGCCGCTAGTGGGCCCATGCTTTTTGGTACTGCCGATTGAAATAAAAAAAGGGAGGGGCCAAATTAGATGTTATAGTAGTCCCATGCACAAAATTTCAGCGTTGTCCAGCTAATCGTTTTTGAGTTAAACGAGATACGTACGTAAAAACACCAAAAAAAAAAAAAAAAAAAAAAAAAAAAAAAAAAAAACCATTCTTAATCCATTTTAAAATCAGTTTTGGTAATTTGGTAAAATGAGCCCTAGTTTTTGTCCGCGTCCGCTCGTAGAGACATCATGCAAAAAAAAAGAAAAATCGTCAAAGTATTTCTATTAAAATATGATGCTCGAAATTTTACTTCGTGCAAGGAAGAAAAAAATAAATTTTGCAATAAATTCTATGCAAACTTTCTTAAATAAACTATTCCTCCTATTGAGAATTTTTTTAAATTTTTGTTTCTTCTTTTCGGTAAATATTTAGGTACTTTAAAATTATTTCTGAAATATTTGTACAAAATACTTTAAATACAAGCATAAGCTTAAATCCTCTATGCCCAACTTTAATGAATTGAGAAAATGATAACGAAATTAAAAATATCTACTGATATAAATTCGCAGATTTAAATGTTTTTAATTAGCTTTTCAGAAATGTTCATTAAGTTTTTATGCTCAAATTTTGAGTTAATTAAAAAAAAAGTAAAAAGTGCGTGGCTAAGAGTTTGAACTTGTTTTTTTATTTTGCATAAACTGATATGCAGAACTTCGTAAAGACGTTTTCTTTATCAAAATATCTTATGAGTCGTTGCTTTGGTTTGACTTGATTATGAAATACTAGCATCAGTTTAAATCTTTCTATTGATTTCAGAGGTGCTTTTCCGTTTTGCCGGCGCAGGCGATAAAGTCGCCAATAATGGTACAAAAGATGCCAAACGGAATATCCTCGCTGGTAACCTTTTACGCCTCATCTTCAAAACAAGTCGCAGCCATTTCTTATCGAATTGATTGTTTCTTTCAATACTGGCATACAATTACATACAAGTTTTACCAGATAGCTCAATTTTATGCGCTAAGGCCATTCGCTGTAATTATGTCAATTAGAATGCAATCCGATAGATATAGAAAAGTCAATGTCAAGGGTTAAATTCATCGATTCTAATGAGAATGCACTAACGATGTACAGCACTGCTGTTTTACATAATTTCTGAGTAAGCTATTCGTACGAATTGAAATAATTCTTGCGTAAACTGGTATTCCATATTAAGATTTAACTTGAAATTAATGTAGATAATTACTGAGAGAATTAGGTTTTTGTAGCGTAGTTTACGTGAAATGAGATCACTTGGGGTCACGTGATACGAACCTGCGAATCAGGATGTTGAACCATGAAAGCACAGTAAATTCTTAATGTCTTTTTACAAATTTATTGTCTTTATCTAATGGCTTTTTTACAAAATTTTAAACGATATTAAAATGTTTATGCCTTCAAAATGAAAAATTCTTAAAACTAACATTTGTTAAAATTGTTTATGTGTATACTTGTATAATACACCAATGAAGTTTATGTTGTCGCCAATACAGTCTGCTTGGCGAGATTTGCGCCGGCGAAACGGAAAAGTACCATTTTAAATTAATATTTTGTTTCCTAAATCCATGAGATAAAGAAATAAGACATGTTTCATGTAACTGCTTTTACTTGGTTATTACCAATAGCAATTTTTGATATTGAAGCAGATCAATATTCGGTACTTTTCTGTTTCGCCGGAGCAAATCTCGCCAAGCAGACTTTGTTGGCGACAGCAAAATAGAAGAGTACCCGATATTTTAATCTGAAGAAAACGCCCGTTTTCAAACCAGAACTTAAGATAATTATAATAAAAACTGTATATTTTATTAGACGGTTAATTTTAATCAGATGAAATGCAGTTTAATTTATAGCAGTTTTTAATGCACCAAAAGAATAAATAAGATCCTCTTCATGGCAGTAATAAATTCATGTGACTTGAATTCTTACGCCATCGACTGCAGGTAAACGAAAAAGCGTTGACTGTTACGTTAACTCGTGTATATAATCGCATATCTGTATATCATTACTTCTATTATTTCTATTATCTATATCTTATTATTTAGAGATGAGAAAATAAAGATTCGAAATTTCTTTCTGAGCTACTGTAAGAGGCTGGTTTTCCCCCCACTATTTAAAAGCTTTTCCAATGTTTTTTTTAATATTCATAATTCTGCTCATTTTTAGAAAATTTTTCGGTACTTTTCCGTTTTGCCGGCGCAAACGATAAAGTCGCCAATAATGTTACAACCGATGCCAAACGGAATATCTTCGCTGGTAACCTTTTAGGCCTCATTTTCAAAACAAGTCGCAGCCATTTCTTAACAGATTGATTGTTTGTTTCAATACTGACCTACAATTATACTATAAAAAGATAATTAAATTTTATGCCCTAAGACCATTCGCGGAAATTAAGTCAATTAGGATGCAATCACACCGTTCACCCGATGGCGAAAATATAGAGAAGGCAAAATCAAGGGTTAAATTCATCCATTCTAATAAGAATGCACTAGCGAAGTAAACAATGCGGTTTTACATAATTTTCGGAGTAAGCTATTCGTACGAATTGAAATAATTCTTGCATTTAAACTTGTATTCCAAATTAAGATTTAACTTCAAATTAATGCAGGTAATTACTGAGAGAATTATATTTTTGTAGCGTAGTTTACGTGAGATGAGATCACTTGGAGTCACGTGATACGAACCGGCGAATCAGGATGTTGAACCAGGATAGCAAAATAAATTCTTAAATTAATGTCTTTTTATAAATTTATTACCTTTATTTACTGGCTTTTTACAAAATTTTAAACCATATTAAAATGTTTATGCCTTCAAAATAAAAAATTCTTAGAACTAACATTTGTTAACATTTTTTTGTGTATACTGTATGTTGTCGCCAACAAAGTCTGCTTGGCGAGATTTGCGCCGGCGAAACGGAAAAGTACCAATTTTTCATATTTTAGAACATTATGTTAACGAGTTCTTTAATTTTCAGATACAAATCAAGATGTTGTCAATATTTTCTCACGAGTGTTAAGCAAGCTTATATTCCAACGCAATCTGAAGGCAAATAAAGGCAGTAATCGTTTGTCGCTTGTCGAAAGTAAACCAGAATACATGTCTAGGCTATTGTCAAGTGGGCATTCATCTTCTACTGCAAATAATCCAAAAGCCGAAGACAGTTCCAAAGACTTTTCTTCTGATATAACGAAACCAGGTGACGTAAATGAAGAAATCCAAATACCTTTAGAACCGTCTTGCTTTCACATGGACTCCTCACTTGATGGAATATGTGCTAGCGATAAAACACGTGAGGATGATCTGCATGAAGGTAAAATATTAAATGAAGAAAGCACTGAAAAGAACGCTGAAGTGGTGTTTACAGAAAATGAGCATCCTTCTATTGAAAAACTTGAAACGGACAGTTCTGACTTAACTGACAACAAGGAATCAAAGAACCGAGATGATGAAAATAAACAGACTAGTTCTAAAATAACACCAAACGATTTAGATGGAGAATTATTTAAAGCTACAGAGGTTTCACATCTCAACAAATTTATGGAAAAGGAAACTCTAGCGATATCTTCTAAATGTTTACTAAAGGCTTCTGAAGGAAATACGATTCCAGAAGATGAATTAGATCATAAGACTTGCCAAGTTGAAGAATTTGAAAACGAAATCACAGTAAGCAATGATTTAGAAGTTGCTTTAGATAAAAATGCAAATTTGGGAAATCATTTAACAGCAGGTTCTGAACCAAGTAAAACTTCTGAAACTCGAAAGGAAATTCTAGATTCAAACGAAGACTCGGAAAGGTTACTTCCCCCGCAGATTGAAAGTACAGGCGTTGACTTGCCACATTCATTGCAAATGGAGGTGATGGATATATTTAATAAAGACGAACGATCGTATGTTTTCAATCCATTAGCTCAACCGCAGGAAGTATTCCAAGATTGCATTACGCCAAAAAATGAATCTGGCCATTGCCGTTATGTACAACATTGCCTAGTTCCAAGCCTTTTAAGTTCATTGGATTCTTTCATGGATTATGTCTGTATAATTGATGAGAGGTACATAGGCATCTGCTGCCCTGAATTACCTGTCTCGACAATAAAAGTGAAGTGGGAAAATTCGGAAAATTTTAGCATTTCCAATGATTCTGCGAGAACAGCCCCAGGTAAGATACAATTGTTTAGGAAATTTTTCATAATCGTCATTTTTTGTAAGCATGCACTTTAAATTCTGCAATTAACTATATTATCTAAAGCATAATATTTTCGTATAGTAATTAGCTATACCGTGCACTGATTCTTTCACAATATTAAGGGAATAATGTTAATACAGATTCATTCTAACTCAGACGTAACAGTTCCTTTGCAATATAAAAATTAATAATAGATTAATTATGAATTTTTTTGGAACTGATTTTAAGTGAAAGGCTTATTTTTATTATCAGATCAAATTTTAATGTCCCTTTTGGGCTAATTATGTTGTCTAAATTTCAATTTATGTAATAGTAAACTTTAAAATGGTTCTCTTAAAACAGTAATGGTTTACCTTAAATTAAAAAATCTGATGTGTACACCACATGACTTCCTTGCACGGAATATTAAATTATACGCATTTTTTCTTGCATTTCGTTTAAACTTATTGGATTGAATTAAATCTACTTCGCCGACAGCGCATAAATCACAATAGAATAAATTCATTCTTTAAAATTCACTCTATTTGTTTACCATAGCGACATTCTGGCCTAGGTTCATAACAGTATTATATTTCGTTCATATTATAACTCAGAATACACAAAATTTATATCATTTAAAGAATTATCTAATCGTTGCCACATGTTCTATTCAAATACTATAATAAAGCTAGAACGATGTATAAATAAAAATTAAGCAAAAAAAAAAAAAAAAAAAAAGAAACAGTTTTTCACAGACGATTGAGCCTTTCTCACTTCGCGACCAGGCAGAAATACATAAAAACTCAAAACATCTGTATTAAAAATTACGAAGTAAATCTTAAAAACTTATTTCCTCGAAAAAATTCCAGAAAGGATTAAGCATGATTTAATTCGCAATAATAAATGAAGGCGTTATCTTTGTTGTTGCGAAGCTAATTTTTCCTAGATTGACAAGAAATCCACTATCCTGCTGTTTCAAATGTAAACAAGCAAGGGCCGCCATCAAGAAAACTATTAAACTAACTTAAACAACTTTAAAATTGTTTATAATTCTAAAAATATTGCATACAGATTTACTAAAGACATAAAAACCTTAATCGGAAAATAAGAAGAACAGAATTCAATCATTTTTAAAACAAAATATGTACAATTTACAAACATATAAGAGTAAAGAAACTGAGATCACTGAGCCGGGTAACAGAGTGGATATATATATATATGTTACGGTGAAACACCGAAATCTGGAGAATGTCGACTTTCACTGGTGAATGTCAACATTTACCTAGTCGCTTGGTGTATGTCCAAAATATTTTCCAAATTCTCTTATTTCTGACTTACACCGGTCAATGTCGACATTCACCATGGTGAATGTTGAACATATAAGAATATTATATTTTCTTCTCCGTAATTCAGTCGCGAAAAAACGCACTCGAGACTTAAAATAAGAACTTAAGAATATAAGAACATAAAACACATTCAAAATGAGAAAGGAAAATAATAGAAGCTAAAAACTTACTAAATTATGTGATTCAAATCTTATTTATTGCAACAACTTAAACTATTATGGCATTTTGTATTGCACAAGAGGCACTTGCTTTTACAACTGCATTTATTTGTGAAACGCTTCCTTTTGCAATGACAGGCGTGCACATAGACTTCTCTCTTTTCGACCTACACCAGAGCATATCTGTGATTGTCGACATACACCAGTAAGAGTCGAATGTAATGCAATATTCGATCTTTAACCGACGTATTTGGTGAATGTTGACATTCTCCGGTGAAAGTCGACATTATCTAATTTCGGTCTTTCACGGTAACATATATAAATATATTTATATACGTTTGGTGCGGCCGATTGCAACCAAAATACGAGGTGCACATCTACATGTTATAGCAGTCCTATATACAAAATTTCAACGTTCTGAGGCTACTCGTTTTTGAGTTATGCGAGATACGTACATACGTATGTACATATGTTCGTACAGACGCCACGAAAAATTCTCTTCAGAATTCCTTTTGACGCAGTTTTATAATTTCTTTGGAGGAAAAGAGTCTTTTATTCTGTCCTTACGCACAGATATCACGCAAAACATCGTTAAATTGCATTCAAAAGCGGTCAAAATGGATATTTTCGTTGAAATATGCTGCCTGAAACTTTTCGCGATTACAATACTTCCTTTTTACTTCGTACAAGGAAGTAAAAATGTAAGATTTTTATTTGCTCAATTGATAATTTGTATTCATATTGTACTTTCCGTCATGAGAGATGATTTCAATACCTGCATTTTTAAAGTCTCCAGCAATTGTGAGAAATGATAGTTTTGATCAAAATTGCATAAAATGACTTACTGTTTTAAAACACTTTTTCTTAATTATTAATATCTCTTCTTCAGACGTTTTAAAAGGTAATTTTAAATAATTATTAAACATTTCAATTTACAGAAGCAAATACATTTTTAACGTTGACAAACTTATGCGAGGCCCACAATTTTGTGTATACATTAGCACTTTAATTCATTAACGCAGACTGCCTATTTGTCATTTTCTAAATTAAGATTTCTCATTATTTTATACAAAAAATTCAATAATAACGAATGCCCTCTCTCTTCAAATGCGTATTTCGAGAAAGTTACTTCAGACAAATGTCGAAGTATTGAATATTTTTTCGTCAAAAAACAGTTATATCTTGAATGATCCATTAAGATGCTCTGCAGTTGGCAATAAATTATCGAATTTAGAGTTCCGTGTTTTTCTTCTTTGATAGAAAAACTAGTGATTTTGGTAGAAATAGTTTATACAAATAGATTACTAAAATGATTTAGGATTTTATCTAAACTTCGTTTATAAGGAAACGTTCGCAACAATATATAAAAATGCAAAAACGCTTGTTCTTAAGCATGTTTTAGCTCTGCTTTTCTGTTAGGGTTCTTATATGTTATGCAACTTCTTGTGTAAATATTATTACGTATTTAGTGAACTTTGTACTATTAGCAACATGGTCTATACATACACTCTACTGCAAAATGTGTTATGAAATTTGTACTTAAGTTTTCTGTGTGTACCACATGTATCATTTGCTTTCCTGTATATCTTTTACGTTTGCACAGGCAAGCTACCTTCCTGTCATCTCCCCTCTTCGCCTTATGAGACTCAAACCTCAGGACTACAGTCAGGCCAGCCAATTGAGACTTAAATTTAGTTGCTAGAAAATGCCAGCATACACCGTCTGTTCAAAAGGTTCCGAGACTGAATGAAAAGCAGAGCTGGAAATTAAGGTTTTAGTACTTCAAGTACTCTAGGTCTAGATAGTTTCCACTTGAGTACGACGTACACTACGTCCATACAGCCAATATGAAGCTGTCAGAAAAGTCATTGCTTGGGTTGTTATTCAACTTGCTTGTTACTGTGGCTTGAATGTTGGTTACGTCACGATAGCGTTGGCTATTCGTGTGAAGTCCAATTTTCGGGAATAAACAAAAGTCGCTCATCGCCAAATCGGATGAATATGAAGAGTGGTTAAGAAATGGCACATGCTTTATCGCTATAAACTACACCACAACTTCAACCGTGTAAGCGTGCTCATTGTGGTGTAGAAGAAAAGAAATCCTCCTTTTTATCGTTTCAGATAACCTGCTGGATTCTCTTGCACAACCGATCCATAAATTCTCAGTTTTATCCCAGTTAAGATTATACAGCAGGAAGAAAATCTGTCTTGAAATTTTTCGGGCAAACAATCCAAGATACCATTCCATTTTGAGGACCGTTAAAAATAGGCAAACTATTGTTGATGCTAGTGCTGCCAAAAATAATTGTGGCAACCCTAACGCGAGAAAGGAAGTATAATAGGAAATAACTATCTAAAGATTATTGTTGAAAATTATTTTAATTTATATGAAAGGTTAATTTCTTGTAATACTTTTTTATTATTATAATTTACAACAACAACAACAAAAAAAAAAAAAAAAAAAAAAAAACCTGAAATGTTTGATTTTAAATTACGTCCAAAGGGGCGTTTTTTTAACATTTTGTGTGTTACCTTTCTTTATTAAATATCATGTTCCTCGCACTTAAACCATAAGATCCAGTGCAACAGCAATATCGCAAAATAGTTTTAAAACGAGCATATCTTTAGAATTTCCGATACAGAGACTCACGCGCTGGAGATAAAAATGTTTTTTCTGCACAACGTTGCCATTGCTCGCTTTGAAATCCTTGAGTTTGTTAATCAAAAATTCGTCAAAGTTTTAAAAAATAGGAAATCGATCAAAAACAAATTTCAAATTTGGTCTTCCACATGCTCATATTCGTTGGAGGATTACGTTATTCAAAATTCGATGACTTTATGTACCGTTGTTTTATCACAATACGAGAAATATACATACATTTATGCAGATTTTTCATTATTTAATTTCTTCAAATATAATGCAGGACTCTAACATTTTGTGGCAACAGTTTGAAAAGTGAATCGACATTTGAGTCCGACGCAAAATACCAAAACGAAACTAATAGTCCTTCGGGATTCAAATCCCTTTGGACTAAAAAAAGGCTAAACATAACTGAATGGAAGCAAAAGAGTAAATAACTATTTCAGATCATTATTAAAATTTATATAAGAAAAGGCTAAACATAACTGAATGGATTCCTGCATATCGCTGTTTCCCTACCGAGTCATCGCTAAAGCATAATTTCATCTCGTTGGTTGTTCAAGCATAATTTTCTGTAATGAATGATGCCTTTTCTTTGAAAAAATTCTATTGGACTTTTCATCATGGGCAATTCCCAAATTGTTAAATCCATAGGATATCAAAAAACGATTTAAAAGTTAAACTAGTATTTCAATGACGTGTTAAGAAATATAGAACTATCTAAATTTACGCAATTTGAAATTTGCGCGTACGCTAGATTTGGAGCGCTGTTAAATGGGTGCGTTTGCTAGATTTGGCGCTTTTGCGCATATATTTTCGCTGCAATTTTTTACGGTCCTCAAAACGGAATAGTACCCAATCCAGCGTGTAACCTTAATGTCCAAGTTTTTCATGCGTACCAAGTTCATAAATTAAAGTTTTAATTATAACTCTGCAATAAAATATTAATAATTATATTGTGATAAAATACTAATACAGAATTTTATTACAGAATGTGGTATAGGAACGAATACCAGAATTGTTGGAGGCACGAAAGCGGATCCGAAAGCTTGGCCATGGATGGTAGGCAGAGTTTCAAGCCCTTCTATAAAAGAAGAAAGAATTTTGAATAGTGAATATTTCATAGTTCATAAAATATTTGTTGCCAGTTTCACAAAAGGCTTTGTTTGCAGGTCGCTTTGCTGTCAAAGCCAAAAAGGAAATTCTTTTGTGGTGGAGCTCTAATCAATGACCGTTATGTTTTGACAGCTGCTCACTGCACTTTTGGGTAAGTGAATATTTAAAGGTACCCGTTATTTTGATAGAACCTGACTATACTTTTTGTGAATGAATTTATTAGTTTGAAATTTTTGTTCATAAGAAATTAATTTATTAAAATAATAAGCGATACTTAACGTATTATCCCGTCGACCAGCCAAATTTCACGATTTAACATTTGCAGCGCAGGTTAACATTTTAAAGAAAGATGAAAGTCAAGCAATCGGTTAAATCTTGTGACTAATTTGCCTTTCTGGCACTCGTAAGATTAATACAATGTCTTTTAAATTTGACTACATGCAATATTCGCCTTTAACCTGTTGTCATCAGAAATTGGTTGCATTTCTACATTTGTCAGACTTGGAGACTGATTTCATATTTAAAAAAATTAAATTGGGTACTTGGTATTATAGCAATCGCCTTAGTAAAAGTAACCAGATTATCAAAATGTGCCGCAGCCATGCTCATAGAATTTTACAGATAAGCAACGTCAATCGGTTGTCGTCGTATACGTTCTTATTGTATTCAAAGTTCTAACGGTTTTTATAAATAAATCTTGATAATGTTTGGCTTATGCATTTGTTGAATTTTCCAGCAATAGAAGAAACTGTTTCTAAAACTTCTGTAGGCGTACAGTATTTTCGGCAAAATCGCTAAAAGCAACAATGCCGAGAAACATTTAGTGGATAGCCGTGACGTAATGTCTAGGTTATTCTCCTATATGTTTTTTAAAGCTAAAACAGATCGCTGTGTACAAGAGGGAGAACAGCAGAAAAATGTATTTTTAATGTAGCATTTAGTTCTTACTTTATTAATTTAAAATACTGATTTTAATTATTAAATAATGCTTTCTTTTAACAGCTTGATAATGTTTGTCAACTTAAGATAAATATCTATAGTTTGATAAAGTTCCTTAAAAAAGTAGTGAAAATCTTCAGCTTGCACTCGATAAGAAACTTTTACCTTTTTATCTGTAAAATAATTTTTATTAGGTTAAGGGATATCTTGAAAAATAAGATTTAAGGGGACTCGTATACCTTAAAACCCATAACATGTTCGAATAGGTGACTGTTGCAAGAATTGGGATAACTTATTTAAAGCAATTACTACCAACATTTTACAGCTGGCTACATAACATAGCTGCTTTCTGAAATAGTAATCAGAAAGTTTGTGTCGCCAAAAATATTTTTATAATTTAATCCGCTTTGTGACAACATTTTTCGTCATGTTTCCAACTTGCGCTCACAGTTTAAAACATTCTGTTTCATAATTTAATTCCATATTTAATATATAGCTTTTATAACATTTGGAAACTATTGTGAACCTAAAATTCTAAAAATTTCATTTTAAATTTTTATTTTATTTTGAGTCGAGTTTATAAAATGTATTTTATTAAAAAAATTTGTAATGTTTTCGTCCATAAAATTTTACAAAATTAAAATATTCATCAGATTGTTGGTTCATTAGTGAATAGTGCCCATATAAAGAATTCCATCTAATTTCAAGTATGTACCATTAGCCATTTTTAAAATATCATGCACGCAAGGTGGAAACATGGCGAAATATTTTGTCACAAAGAGGATTAAATTACAAAAATATTTGTGGCAACACAAACTTTCTGGTTACTAGTTTCCAAAGCAGCTATACTTTGTAGTCAGCTGTAAAAAGTTGGAAGTAATTGCTTTTAAAATAAATAAAATATCCCAATTCTTGCAACATTCACATATTCGAAAATCATGAGGGGTTTAAGGTGTATGAGTTCCCTTAAATGCAACGGTTAAAACTTGCTTTAGAAGATGAAACACATTGAGTGGATTGCTAGAAATCCTTTGCATGAATTCTACTTGATGAAAATTATAAAATTTTAGTTTTCTTCCGTTTTTCATTATTTATTTGCAATATGCATAGTTCTTTTGTCTGTTTTCCCTAAATCATGTATTTCGAATTATTGCTTTTATAAATTAAGACATCCAGTTTATACGTCATTAATTTCTCGGGTATACAAAAGTGGCAAACATTTTTCCTTACGTGAAGGATAGAAATAATTTACAGCATTGTAGTTACTTCTGTCAAATATAGAACAGTATAATAAAGAAAAGTGACATATATATGAAAATTTGGTATTCAGAGGAAAAGAATAATATTCTGGATAGCTAATATTTTGATTTTAGTACTTATTTTTGCATTTGGAGCTAAAACGCGAGCTTCTCTGAAATTAATTTACCTCTTTTTTCCAATTTTAATCACGATTTTTGGAAAAACGCCAATTTAATTTTTTATTTAATTAAGAAATTACTAATTACGTAAATTACGATTGTTTCTGTGAAACGAAGAGAACAAAATAGATGATTTAGAAAAAAAAAAAAAAAAAAAACAATGACCGTAAACATAATGTAAACCTGAGAAGGGCGCAAAAATAAAAAAACTTGCTTTAAAGTCATAATATTTTTATCGCAAGAATGCATTTTAAGGACCCCCATTTCCATTTAAATGTTGTCTAGGTTACATGCTCTAGATCAGTGGTGTCCAACCTTTGGCTTCTCGCAAGCACATTTTGGCTATCGCGAGCACATTTCCAAAACATCAACATTTTTGTTAAACATATTTCCAATCTTATGTGATACATCTGAAATATTAATTTCGGCAAGTGGGTTTTAGATGAATAATAATGGTTGAACTTTATGGAAATCAGAGAAGCGGAGTCCAAAACTATTTTTCAGTGCATTTAGGTTTTCCGAGTGTTTCTCTGTTTCAATTGCCTTGTGGTTATTAATATGGCTTGATAAAATCTGAAATTGGGTGAAATTTGTTTTTTTATCTGATTTATCCACAAATTTTATCTGAAAAGCAGGTACAATCCCAGTCAACCATTAACAGTTAAAAAGGGTTTTTCTTTTCCCTGGACATCAGTTTCGCTGTTATATCTGTGAGAAAATACAAATCAGATAAGCAATTGTTACTGTCCAATTCTTTAACTTTCGTTTGCGGATTCTATAAACTTCTTTATTGACGAAAGAAGTTCTACGGATCGTTGAAGTAAATTTCCCCTGCTGAGCCATCTAACATCGGAATGCATTAATAAGATTCCATGTTCGCTATCAAGTTCATCAGTCAGCAAGCAATTGTTTTATAACGTCTTGCAAGATATCTACTATAAATGCTTACCATATTTTAACAATTAAGAAATAAAAAGTGTGCCAAAATTAACGCAAGATTTAAATTCAATATAAAAGAGTTTTTAGTCTTTAGATATTTATTATTTAAGTGAATCATAAAGTACGTAGGATAGCGTTATTTATGGAATAACACATCGGGAAAATGGCCTCCACGGCTTTGCTGGCACATAAGCACCCTTTCCGCCGAAATGTTTCATGATCTTTTCTGCATAACTGTGGCTGAATTTCGTTGATGCAGCGTCTAATTTTCTATTGTAATGCACTTGGGGTTGTGGGATTGTTGACATAGACTTTTGACTTCAAAGATCCCTATAAGAAAAAATCTAATGGTGTTAAATCACATGATCTAGGGGGCCAATCCTGATCACCGAAACGAGAGATTACACGATCAGGAAATGTCTCATGCAGTAATTGACTTGCTTCATTGGCTTATGGCACGTGGCACCGTCTTGTTGAAACCACATATTGGCCACACAAATATCATCCAATTTCGGCAGAAAGAACTGTGTATGTCGCGATATCGAGCACCATTAACAGTTGCTGCTTGACCAGCCTCATTCTCAAAAAAGTATGGTCCGACGATGCCTCCTGCCCAAAATCCGCACCAAACAGTGACAATGTGGGTGCATTTGGTTTTCGCTAATCATACGTGGGTTCTTCGAATCCCAAACACGACAATTTTGGCGATTAACAAAGCCATCGAGGTGAAAATGTGCTTCATCGCTTAGGATTATTTTGCTCGAATAAACCAGCATCCACTTTTTAATGATTAAGAATCCATTCCACAAACTCTCTTCTCTTCTCATGGTCATTAGGCTTCAGTTGTTGTGTTGATTGAATTTTGTAAGCATGAAGACACAGATCTTTTGTGAGTATACGCTATAGAGAGCTTCTTGAAATTTGCAATTCTTGTCCAGGACAATTGAAATTCTTGTCCACGACATTGATGTTCCTGGGTTTTCACTAACACTCTCACTCACTGCTTCAATATTGATATTTGAACGGCTTGTTTTTGGACGACCGGTGTGTTTAGCGTCTCCAACTCATCCAGTCTCCACGAATTTTTTAATTAATCTTTTCACAGTTGACGAGGTTAAAGCACTATTTTTACCACATTTTGTATAAAATTTTCGAAATGTGGCCGCCAAACTTTCATTATTTTAAAAATATTGTTCAATAATGAAGACACGTTGTTGTATCGTATAACGCTCCATTTTCACTAACCCTAAACTCTCGGCTTTCAAACTGTTCTTTTTTCAGGGTTTCCAACAACTTAATGCAAAAATGGCCTCAAATTCAAATCTTCCGTTAATTTTGGGACACCCTTTGTAAATGACTGGATATTTTAAAAATATTTTTTGTTCATAATACCTAATCGGGTTGGCAAGCATATACAAAACGAAACTCGAGAGCACAAGGTTGGGCACCGCTGCTCTAGATCCTTGTTATTTAGATTATAAAATTAGAATTTTCGATATTTTTCAGTTATGCATCTATCACGCATTTTGCAAGTGCTATTGTATTGTAACAATACGTGTGTGCTAATTCCCGTTTGCAAATTAAAAACTAGTCCCCAGGTGGTGCTATCATGTGTCTTAACTTTTCCTTCACAAGGCACCCAAAAAAATGGCAGATGCCCAATGGAAAACTTACAAATTCTTCATTTGCATAAAATAAGTTTGCAAAATATGTGCTTATCTAAATTTCGTTTCGTGTAGTGTACCGAGGAATGAAATCATTGCCAGAGTTGGAGAGTATGACTTCAAAGATGATGATGATACTCACGAGGAGTTTATGGTTGTCAAAATCAAGCGACACGGCCGTTATAGTCAAATGACGCTAAGTCACGATATTGCCCTTTTGAAGTTAGACAGGCCAGTGATCTTCAGAAAGCTTGTCAAGACCATATGCCTTCCAGAGGCGAAGAAAGACTACGTGGGAGAAATAGCTACACTTGTTGGATGGGGAAATTTGGAAGGAGGTAAAGTATACGAAATAATATTTATGGAAATACAGTTTTAATTTAGCTTAGAACGTTTTTTAATAAAAATTTATATATTCTTTACATAGATATATGTATAATATAAAGAAAAATATTATAAATATCAGGTCTTTGAACTAATATGATAAATGCTTTTCTTATTAGGTTCGCAAGAAAGTAATTTCGATTTGCACAAATGGATAGGGTTATGTCCGTTTCGATAGTTTTCTGCCAATCTTATAATATTTTTTTTCTTTTGGGATTTTGCAGTGGACACTTTTAGGCTGCTATAGAAATCTGTGTATTTTTGCTTGCAACTGTTAGTTTGCGATCAATATTTGCATTGGCGGTAAATTAAACATTTTCGACATATATTACTTTTCCATTTTCATAAAAAAAACCGCTGAGGATTGCAAAGATATCTGTGAAGTTTATGGTGTTGATTGCTTAACAGAATGCAAGTGTCAGAATTGGTTTAAAAAACTGTGTTCTGGATATTTTTAACTTGAAGACGACCAAAGTTCTGGTCGAGATTCTGAAGCTGATGACGACAAAATTAAAGCCGTAATTTAATCGAGTCTTAATGCAACTGTGAAAGAAATTGCAAACAGATTAAATTCATTACAAACGACGGCTGAAAATGACATAAGATATCTTGGACTCGTTAAGAAGCTTGATATTTTGGTTTCGCATGAATTAAAGGATCATGGTCCAAATACGATGAATCAGTACAAATAATATCGAAAGTCAATTTGCATTCGGAAAAAGGTTATGCTGTCAGTTTGGTGGATTTACAAAGGTGTTGTGTATTTTAAGCTGTTTCCAAGCTAACAACGATCAACTCAGATGTTTACTGCCAACAACTTATGAAACTGGATGAGTCAAAGAGAAAGGGCCAGAATTGGCAAATCGCAAAGGAATTTTGGATCCAGAAATGCATGAATGCATGCCCGTGTGTATTTTGTATGTATGTGTGTGTATATGTATACATACACATACATTCGTGCTTACATATACACATGAATACATGAACATATACATTTCTGGATCCGGTCCTGATAACAGAACAGTAGCTATTGTTCCACCAAGATAGTGCGAAGCCTCATGCATCTTTAGCAACACATACGAAATTATTGCAACTTCGTTGGAAAGTGATGTCGCATTCCCCATATAGCTCCGACCTTTTACCATCGGATTATCATTTTTATTTGGAAGTTTACAAAACTTCTTAAACGGTAAAAGTGTCAGTAATAACGATGACCTCAAATGGCACTTAGTTGAGTTTTTGCAGATAAAGACCAGAAATTCTACGAGCTCGGAATCATGAAGTTACCAGAAAGCTAGCAAAAGGTCATCAAACAGAATGAAAGTATTTGAAAAAAAAGTTGATATTTTATATGGGAAAAATTGAGTTTTATTTCATATTAAGAAACCCAAATTACTTTCATGCTAACCCTATACGATGAACACACGCTTAGATTAACAGAAACGCTTTATCTCGTACCAACGACATAAAACTTGTACACGAAATTAACGGTTATATCTTAAGAATTCTCTCGTCGCTGTCAGTTTAAAAAAGGCATTCTTTAAAAATAAGCGGTAATGCATTTTACCGGCAGACGATGAATTGTTTTATTATCCTAAAGATAGTAACAATAACGAATAAAAAATAAATTCAAATGAATAAACATAAAGAAGAAAAATATACATACAGTGTACTCTAAATTATTCGAGTGCAGATTATCCGTTTTGTGGATATCCATTTGCGGATCACGCACATTCAAGGCTATGCACGTGAGTATGTTATAAAACAACGTACAGTGTAATGATAATTAAAGGCTCAACCGTCGTAACAACTAGACTTAACCCTCTTAGTTACCAGGTTAATTTAGCCGATGGACTTACGTATAATACCATCATTGAAACGACTGCTCTGTTCTCATAAATCTTGTTGAGAGATATGATTTAAAAAACGTTCTGGAAAATGTTGACTGTTTGGATATCATATACGGAGTAGCAAAACCGTCGGTTGAAAGTAAAAATACGAACGCTGGTTCCATGTAGCCAGATTCTTCCTAATATAGAAATCGGAGATTTATCTAATTGTGAAGAAGTTGATGCAATAACTAAATTTGCATGCCGAAAAATTGAAAATGTAAATTCTTCAAAATATTGATCGCGAAAACATCCAAGATATCTTGGATGTTTTACCGATCAATATTTTCAATATTTATCAATATTTTTTCGCGATCAAAACCCAGGATGGACGTATTACATTTATATTTATAAAAGTTCAATTTTTTCCTGAAAACTTTGAAATTGCTAATATCTCAAAGAAAGGGCTACTAGAATAAGCTAAATTTGAAAGCAGTAAGACTGTTATCAGATCTTGAAAGAAGACTCGGGGAAATATTTAAGAATGCTAACCGTGAGATTCAGCTCGTTTTTATTTTCAATAAATTGGTTGGGTGAGATTTTTTTTTGGGGGGAGGGGGTAATCCAGGACACCATTTTCTTTTGTAAAATCAGTAACTGGGTTGACACTATGAGTTGCGAATTTGATTACCAAGCATGCTGCATGTTAGATTTCCACGTGTAACGTATTTAGTGAGCCTTTTTTAAATAGTCAAGAATTGAGTCCTTTCAATCACAAATTACTTTTGTATGTTTTCCCAAATTCATTTAACTTTGATCATCAACAACTTGCTTGATATATAGCCAGACAAATATTTTCTTACTTTGACGAACTTAAACCGTGAATGTTTTCTATAGTTATAGAATTAAGTTAAATTATTGTGACCAACAGTAAAATGCTTCTCCAAAAATCTTCCATAGCTTCATAGGCGAAAACCTACATTTCAAATCTTTTCGCAAAGCATCTTGGATGTTAAAACAGTTATTTGAAACGCAAATAATGTTTTTAATGAAAACTTTCTACCCTAAATGTCAGAAAATCTGATTGTGGTCACCACATGAATTCCTTGTACGACCTATTAAATTACACATTTTTTGCTGCACTTCATTTGAGCTGATTTCCCTGAGTTATTGCGATTTAATTAACCAAGCCCTCAAGGCAAGGCAAGTTGAAAATGACATCAAAAATTTCAAATTTTGAAATTTAATATTTCGGATATTTTTTGCCGAACGGAAGTCAATAACGAGTATAAAACTTACACAAATGTAAACTTTGGAACCGGAAGACCGAGAAAAAAAATTCCTTTGGAATCCATTTCAAATACATTTTACAATCCGTTTGAAAAAAATTGTCCTTTAATCTGTGCATGTGTAAGACATCAGGCAAAACAAATCGGTCTAATTGTATTCATGAGTGGTTAAAATGGATATTTTTTGAAATATCCATAAATACCCGTAAAGTACCCCAAAAGAAAAAGATGAAATTATGAGAAAAGTAGGACAGTTTTGCCATTAAAATGAAATTTTACTCTCCTTAAAAAGCGTACTGTAGTCATGTTTGTTAAGAAAACATAACCGAATTACCAATTTTAATTCAGAACACATTTTAAAGTACTTTGAACTACAGACAAGATCTGAAACTAGTACCATTGGTTCTAAATACAGACCCGGTGATAAATTCAAAAGGAGTAATACCAGAAAATTACAGTTCAATTAAATGTTTATTCCTCTTTCTTACTTTTATTTTAATACAATTATTTTGAATTTTATGATGATTAATATAAACATTTTCATTCTTTTTGTGAACAGGTGGTGCCACAAGTGATATACTACAAATAGCAACATTTCCCGTCTTAAATAATACAGACTGCGAAAGAATTCACGGTCTACCTATAAGTCCATCTCTAATTTGCACCAAATCAAACGAAAAGGATAAAGGTGCCTGTAACGTAAGTCTATCTTTGTAAAACTTAAAACCTGGATGACTTATAAGTTACGTTTTAGCATTTGTATACAATGAGTTTATTTTAAACATTTGTCACTGTTACGAATTAATAAGTTTCAATGCTGTAAAGAATGTGATTGTAATTTTACATATGCTAATACTGCATATTTCAAGACGAGCTAGGCCGAATTGAACGGAGATACCCAGTAACTTCAGTAATATACCTGACTGAATTGTTTTCATGTTAAGAGAATTTTTCTCGAGAAACATAAATATAGGGCTGGTTTCACTTAAAATCCTTAATAAATGCATTTGTTCGAAAGCAATGAAACCTCGAATACTTCTTGGTGGAGTGAATGTGTGCAATTTTCTTAATTTGGTACTTACGCGTTATCCCGTCGACCGGCCAAGTAGCGCGATTTAGCGCCAATTATGGATGACCGTGCCCTTTAGAAATCTGCAGTGACGATTGGCGACCGTTGCCGAAATTTCCGCTAACGGTCGAGGGAATAGATGTAAATACCTTTAATTTTTTCCCCAAGTCCAATGTAAATACAAACTAGTTTCGGCTGATCTTTGGAATATGGTAACAGGTAGTTTGGCGACATTTTGGCAAGGCGATAAAGGTTACTAGCTAGGACTTACTAGTTACTAGTTACTAGCAATAATGTGAGAAGTACACAGTTCGAATCACAGATTATTTTGTCTCGGAGAAACGAGAGATCATGAGACATGTCATGTGACATTTTCCGGAAAATTCCGATCGGGATTTTAGCTAATAAGCACTTAGAAACAATTTCGCTGCTAAAGTGCAGAATCGCCCACTTATTTGTTTGGCGCTTTTTACAAGAGTAAGAAGAATTGGATTTTTGTCAATTTTCTTTGACTTTTTAAGTGAAAATAGGTCGATGTGTACATGGATAAAGTCACGAGTGTGCGTAATGCCATTTTTGTGCAATTCTGGGATGTTTTTTTAAGTGAAAAATAGGTCGACGTGTACATGGATACCGTGTATATGCAATTCTTAAAAACGCCGCAAGCAGTGGACGATTCTACACTTTCTCCTAATTTCGCACCTAATCTTTGTCATGATTAAGCACTTTTGTTCCATAAAAGTTCGAGCATAAGTGTAATTCGGCTAGCAGATTATTGGAAAAAATGTTGAGAGAAGAAAAAAAAAAAAAAAAAAAAAAAAAAAAACTAGCAGGTTCCTGTAGAAGGGCTTGTCGCCAAAGTTTCGCCAAAAAATTGCCAAGTTACTATAATCCGAAGATTTACCCCAGTTTCTCTAAGAATGCCCTCCAAGAAGGTATCCTTAGTAGCTGATAGTATAATTAATATAAAAAAGTATGGCAGCACTAATCTGTAAATACGATCATAGATCAGCTCACTGCACACAACATTTGCCTTTTCTAATGTATGATAAACATCTGGCTCTGGAGTTTATTCCCCCGTGTAACTCGTGTACCAGTCAGTTTCCCTAAGAAAGTCCTCTACGAAGGCATCACTTCCTTTAGACAGCCCTCTAGTGCTTTGCCATAATCAAATAAACCAAATCAAAGCAAATCAGAGTTATACAGCGAAGTTTAAACTGTTAATGGTGAACTGAAAGTGATAACTCAAATGTCGCTGATAATCATCAGAAATGTTTCTAGTGAAGAACAATAGTTGCCATTTTCAAATGAAGCCAATGATTAGCTTTTGCATCTCTTAGATATGTAGTGACAAATGTAAGGTGCTTTGGAATTTTAACTTTTTAAAATTCATTGCCTCTAGTAAATGTTTATTTAAACAGTACTGCGAATGCCGACAAGGTAGTTTCTAAATTTCCTATTAAAATAAATTTAGTGATTCATTTTTAAATATCTTAAGCGAGTTAAAATTTAACCTTATTCTTTAATTTCTGCGCTAACAAATCCTTAATTTGTGATTCAATCCTTAATTTGTTATTTGTTAGCTCCAAATTCTTTAATTTGTGAGCTAACAAATCCGAGATCTGAGGGTTTTATTACAGTAGGCGGAGCTTAATATGATTTCGTGTGTAGGATTCGTATTTCTGTTTTGGCAACACTGACAAAATGATAATACAAATACAACAAGAAACTTATCGTTACGTGCGTACTGGTTCCTAATGGATTAAAAGCAAGCAGAACCCCTGATAGCTCGATTCAATTTATTTTCTCAAACTTTAAAGTTCTGGAACTTTCCGAAAAAGCACCCGTACAGCTCTCTTCGGTATCGCAGAACACGATCACTGCTAAACACAACTATTAACAACGTTAACTTTAAATTGCTATGAACTTTAAACAGAGCTCAGTGCAAAGCGCATTTGACAGAGCGAAGCTCGCACGGAGATATCTCATAACTCCGTAGTCAACTAAGAATTGAAAAACTGACAACTAAGGTTCTCTCCATTCGTACATAGTTTTCCTCCAGCGGCCGAGAAATTTCCATTACCCTTAATTTTACGAAATTGCTTATACAGTTAGATATAGGCTCGGATAAAGTTACATATAAGAATCTGACCAAAATGTCGCCAAAACCATCGCTAGCTTGGATTTTGATTAGTCATTTACCTCAGTCTTAAATGGACTTGCCCCTGTAACATTTGTTTTAGCAAAGATTCACTCTCTTGAGGCCTTTCGTTACATTATGCAAGAGATATTACAACATAAGATATGATTTCATTAAAATTATGCGAATTATTTACGTACATACAAAATTCGTAACAATATAAGTACTTTCATAGAATTTTTATTAGCAAATTGCAAAAAATTGTTTGTTAACTATTCATAATGTCTTTAAAGCAGTAGTTCATTTATGGATTCTTCATAACACTTCTGGAAATTATTTGTCCTATGCTATGACCCCTAATCTTGATACTTGAAAGCCATTTCTTGGTTAATCGAAGAGAAAACGTAAATATAAAATTCTAAAAATTCAAAAAAGCAACATTAGTTTGGCCTTGTTTTGAAGGGAAATAGAATTCTTTAGAAATGTTTTTGTTCCTGAAGAACAGGGACCTGTGTCTGATTATCCTCAAAATCCATAGAGATAATCAAAATCTAAGCCAAATTAATGCATTTTTTGCCGAATTTCGAATGCTTGGCGACATAATCTCTTACTTGGTTACACTTTACTCATACTTGTCAAATTCTTATGATCTATTTTGACCTTATTTGGCAAATTTATCCCTTATTTGGCGACTTTACTTCTTTAAAAAATATTATATAATACTGATCACATTAAACGAATTGCTGATCACAATAAGCAAATTATATCTCATGTTTTCGTATACACAAATGAGAGAGACTTCGAAAATTCAGTAGTAATATCCGAAAGATATTAACCGGTGCCACACTGGTTGGACTTTACTGTAATATCTGTTTGGCAAAATATTTATTTCTATTTCCGCAGAAGGAGAATTTAATTGAGAATTTCATTTCAGGGTGATTCTGGTGGTCCCTTAATGCTGTTGGATAATGAAAATCACTGGAAAACTATTGGTGTTGTTTCTTGGGGAAGAAGAGGCTGTGATGCGAAATTTCCCACTGTCTATACAAGAGTGTCTCACTATCTGGACTGGATTAAGCAGCATTCAAAATGAAATTTTATTCAAAAACTGCATAATATAGTTCCTGCATCATATTTCTTGTGAAATAATTTCATGCCTAGCTAATTTTTAACATTTTTAAAATGTATAAAAGAGTGACGTTTTTAATAATTTTGAATTTGTTATTAAGTGAAATTAAAAGTTAATATAATTTATTTTATTTCATTTCGCCTAAGTTATTTATTGCGTATGCAATGTTTGAGATAAAGGTTACAAAAGATTTATTTCTTTTAAGTGCTTCTCAAACATATATTTTCAATCTCAAAATTTCTTAATGCAAACAATCTTATGAAAATGTTTAACATTCTGGTACGAGATTTTCTGGGCAGAAAAAAGTATCACATTTTTATAATTTCCGTAGAATAAAGTTCTCAATTATTAAAATAGTGTTAACCATATGCTTAAATGAATTAAAATCAAGAAATTGTGCAACTTTACAAGGGAAAATTCTACGAGATACTCCACTTAACTAATTATGGTACTTACGTATTCCGTTGATCTTGAAACTATCGCCAAGTTGTGCGATTTAGCGCCAATTATGCATACGCTTGACGCCATAGCACACTAATTTGCGCTTTCGTTTGATGCCACTTCGATTAACTCTCGGTAAATCACCTCTCTTTAGAAGGCCTAACAAAATAGTAGAAATAGACGAGAGCCTTTTACGAAGAATAAAAAGGAATCGTATCGAATACTAATTGTTTAATAAATAAAGCATCAGTTTCTACAGAATTTCGCAGGAATAATTAGTATTGAAAGTTGGCGAGATATTCGCCGACTTTCACATTTCAAAAGTCGCCAACTTTTACGGTTGACGGGATGATATGTAAGTGCCCTATTTATAAGCTAATTATTGAAAGAAAACAATGTTACTTAATGTTGGTTTATCCGATATGCGAGAAGAACACTCCAGGCCTAACCATGAAGACCACTGAACACTGGCATTTTGACTCAGGTCGGAGTTCTGGCAGACTGGCCAACTGCGTGATTGTTTTCGCCGCAAGTAACGTACGCTAGTCTCCTAAACGATGACAGAAATAAAACGTAACTGATAATTAACGAACAATTTATTGACCCTTTCGCCGTCCTTTCCTGTCCGCGAAAATTCCCCCCAGCGGCCGTCTGTTCTTCGTAGCGTATAATGTTTTCTCTGTACATCATAACTTTCCATACATAACTTTCGCAGTGGATGAATGTCAATGAATATTAAGTAAAATTATAAGGAAATAAAGCATAATGGAAAAATAATATCTCTGCTTATTTCTAACAGCAGGATAATTTGATAACATCTGATCCAAGCCAAAGAATATGTATTGTTAAGAAAGAAAGCTTCGCAGCAGTAGGAGTGGCTCCCTCCGAACGAAAAGGGACACAACTGCACCTGCGTGAAACATCTGTCGCCAAAATGCGTCGAAGTTCGAACAGGTTCGCCGGTCACGTTTATCAAGAGTTTAAAGCTGTGTGACTCCATTTTTGCCCCCTACATATTGACAGATATAAAATCAGACATCAAACTGCGATATGGATAATACAAGTTCAACTAGTAAAGCAAAAAAGCACGAAAATTCGAGCTTAAATTATCGCGAAAAGTCGAAGAACGATTCATCTTAACCCGCCTTCCTCAATTTCCTGTACACGTGGCGGAGATGAAAAATCTCGGCCAGGTACATCACAAAGGGGGAAATTCTCGCCAACAGGTTCCGTCGCCAAATCCCTTGGCGAATAGTCCCTCTTCTTTGCAGCGGCGTAAAAGACAAACTGGTTTACATTACGTCTATGGAGCCTTTCCTTCTTTACATAGACTTTCTTTGTCCATTTGTTGTAACTCCTCCCATTTTGTTGTAATCTTTTACAATTATTGGCTTTTTTGCAGTTCTTTTCCGTGTTCCAACATCCATCATCGAGTTATTATGGACTGTACTCATCAAACGTATATCCTTCTCTTTCCAATTCGCAAACTTATTTTTTCTCTTTTTCTGCTGAGTAGACGTTGAAGAAATCTCTCACTGTCTTGTATCTTATGTAAAATGGCGCGAATATACATAAAATCCGGGACAAATTCAATTACAGAATGCCTGATTAGTGCTACCCTATAGAAGGTATTAGAACAAACAAAAATAAACTCAAAGAAGTAAACATTTAGAAAGCGTTCTAAACGTTTAAAAGTTTTAAAATGTAGAAGAACGCTTGAGGCGCGTTACGGCGGCCCTGCGGAAGTTTCACTTGAAAACGCTAGACGCGTTACGGACGACGAAGAGGTTAATGGAAATGTGTACAAAAGCTAACATAAATTACTATGTGTGGCAGTTGATTATTGGCAAAATGTTGAAATTAAAACCAAATTTATGGAAACTGAAAAATGATGCAAAATTAAATCGCTTTTGTGGAAAACATTTTCCTTCAATATGGTGTATGGTCACCTCGGACAGATATGCATACCGCGCATCTTGATTTCATAGACTTTATGAAAGTTTTGATAAAGTCTTGTGGAATTGCACGCCACTCTTCTAAAACTACACTATTCAGCTGCAGGAGAGTGCGGGGGGGGGAAATCTGGCCCTGGGCATCCCACGCATGCTCAATTGGGTTCAATTCAACTCTGGGTTCTAATACCTCGCCCACATATCTCCGAGCGGTTACAGAACTTTCCTAAAAGATAATGCAGCTCGGTGAGATCATTTATCACGGTTCTTTCGAAACAACCGAACCGCGGTGGCGGAAACGATTCCAGAGGTTTCGGAGGTGGCGGAAACGATTTGGCGGAAAATATTTCACGGGAAAAGGTAGACGCGTTTCTCTTTCCAGGTCAAAACACGTCTAGAAGCACTGTTCAGACTATACCTGCACTCGTAAGTAATCCCCGTATACTCGGGCCCAGTGGTTTTGACACCATTGCACCAGTTTAACCGGGCCCCTCTGGACGTTGAAGTGAGTGAGACATAAACTATTGGTTTTCTCGCATACAGTTCAACCTCCTCAAGCCTTCGTGCAATAGTAGAACGGTTAATTCGAGTTACACATGGGGAAAACTATGAAAATGCCATGCAACCAGCCCGTTCTCCAGGATTCGAACCCCGGAACAAACTACCAGTGCTCAGCGAATTTACCGTTCGGTCGCTCTTGGGCATATTTGAATAAAATGTTGTTTATTGTTCGCATTACGTATTAAGATACAGGGTACTCCTTTTACTCTCAGTTTCTAGTTTTCTTATAGCGTGTAATATAATGGATATACTTTTTAACAAAGGCAAATGCCGCCCGCATGCGAGGGCAATTAGTGAGTCAACTCCGTACTGAAGGACTAGGTTCGAATTCCGGAGAAGGCATGGATATTTGTGGATATATAGTGTCTTTGCTGCATGCGGGCAATCTAAATATGGCGAGCTGAAAGTTCTCTGGCGTTTTTGGTTGTAGTGAAGTTAGATGGAAGGCCCTCGAACCACCCACCGGAATGCTACTTCAAAACTAAAAGCGAAAATAGGAAATCCACCTCTTTGACGTTCTGGCAACCATTCTTAGCACACAAGTGCTAGCTGTTTAAGAGAAGGGATGCCTTCTCTTGTGGAGGACTCTCTAAGGGAAACTGGGTCGAACACACGTTAGGCATGACGAAAGCCACCCTGTAGCCAGTTCGGAGCGTTTGGCGGCATTATGTTCATCTACTAGTAGGTACCTAGGTGTATGAGAAATGTGAACTGTTGAAAGTGCTCGCAATTAATATTAATGTTTGCCAGCGCACTGTACATAACTACTACAAAAAATCTGATGTGTACACCACATGACTTCCTTGTACGGAATATTAAATTATACGCATTTTTTCTTGCATTTCGTTTAAACTTATTGGATTCAATTAAATCTACTTCGCCGACAGCGCATAAACCACAATAGAATAAATGCTTCTTTAAAATTCACTCTATTTGTTTGCCATAGTGACACTCTGGCGCTAGTTTCACTTAACAGTATTATATTTCGTTCATATTATAACTCAGAATGCACAAAATTTATATAATTTAAAGAATTATCTAATCGTTGCCACATGTTCTATAGAAATACTTTAATAAAGCTAGAGCGATGTATAAAAGAAATTAAACAAAACAAAAAAGAAACAGTTTTTCACAGACGATTGAGTATTTCTCATTCAATTAATTCAGTTCTCACTTCGCGACAATGCAAAAGTACATAAAAACTCAATTAAAAGTTAAGAAGTAAATCTTAAACACTTATTTCCTCGAAAAAATTCCAGAAAGGATTAAGCATGATAAATTCGCAATAATAAATGAAGGCGTTATCTTTGTTGTTGCGAAGCACGTTTCTCTAGATTGACAACAAATCCAGTAATCTGCTGTTTCAAATGTAAACAAGCAATGGCCGTCATCAAAAAAATATTAGGCTTGGCTGCACTTAAACAACTTTAAAATTGTTGATAATTCTAAAAATATTGCATACAGATTTACTAAAGGCATAAGAACCTTAACCGAAAGATAAGAGCAACATAATTCAATCATTTTAAAACAAAAAATGTACAATTTACAAACATATAAGAGTAAAGAAACTGAGATCACTGAGCCGGGTAGCAAAGTGAGCATATATAGTATATAAATATATTTATATACATTTGGCGCGGCCAATTGCAACCAAAATACGAGGTGCACATCTACATGTTATAGTAGTCCTATATACAAAATTTCAGCGTTCTGAGACTACTCGTTTTTGAGTTATGCGAGATACGTCCGTACGTATATACGTTCGTACAGACGCCACGAAAAATTCTTTTAAGAATTTATTTTAAAGCAGTTTTATAATTTTTTTGGAGGAAAAGAGTCTTTTATTCTGTCCTTACGTACAGATATTACGCAAAAACCTTTGTATATCTCTTCTATCTTCGGGAGGTTTTAATTCCTTCTCAGCAGAAATATAATTTGTAAGTAGATTTGCCTTTGAAGCTTGTCTACACGTGCATTTCGAAACTCCAGTTTCTATGAAAGTCTATGTTATCACAGCAAGTCTGCTATGTGAGGAAACCCTTTACTGTGTTTAACTTCCTGCACTTGTGCGTTTAGCAGTTTTAGGACTCTTGAATGCCCGTTCAAAAATATTTCCGTTGTTTTTACATTTTGTGAACCAGACGTTCAATGGAGGATTTTGTCAATGGCTTCCATACTCCAAACTGCACAGTGAAGTGCTGTAACACATCTTTGTTGATTAAATTTTTTAGTACTTGGAAATCATGAATACGTCCTTTTCCATTATGTACCTTGCAATGTTGATAAACAAAATATATTCATGAAACAGAATAGCCACAAACTTATAAACACTTGCACGATGGCGTGCCGTCGACGAGGCGCATAGTAGGCTTGCTCTTCGTCAGAAAGGCAACACGCGAGCTAGAAAGTCGTCGCTCTTATCTTTTTATAACATTTTCAATATTTATTGCGTGATGATCTCGATTCGCGCAGCAACGTACGCTAAACACCTGTGTTTAACTTCATTAAAAAATCTGATGTGGACACCACATGACTTCCTTGTACGGAATATTAAATTATATGCATTTTTTTCTTGAATTTCATTTAATTGATTGGATTGAATTAAATCTACTTCGTCGACAGCGCATAAACTACAATAGAATAAATGCACTCTTTAAAATTCACTATATTTGTTTACTATAACGACACTCTGAATGTACAAAATTTATATCATTTGAAGAATTATCTTATCGTTGCCACATGTTCTATTCAAATGCTATAATAAAGCTAGAACGATGTATGAAAGAAATTAAGCAAACAAAATAAAAAAGAAACAGTTTTTCACAGACGATTTAGTATTTCTCATTCAATTAATTCAGTTCTCACTTCGCGACAAGGCAAAAATACATAAAAACTCAAAATATCCGTATTAAAAATTACAAAGTAAATCTGAAACACTTATTTCCTCGAAAAAATTCCAGAAAGGATTAAGCATGATTTAATTCGCAATAATAAATGAAGGCGTTATTTTTATTGTTGCGAAGCTTAGTCTCTCTAGATTGGCAACAAATCTACAATTCTGCTGTTTCAAATGTAAACAAATATGTCCGCCATGTTATTTAAAACTTAAACCACACTTAAACAAGCTTTTAAATTGTTGATAATTTTACAAATATTGCTTCCAGATTTACGAAAGGCATAAAATACCTTAACCGGAAGATAAAGAACAAACATAATTCAATATTTTTAAAGCAAAAAATATACAATTTACAAACATATAAGAGTAAAGAAACTGAGATCACTGTGCCGAGTAACAGAGTGGATATATATATAAATATAGTATTTATACACGTTTGATGCGGCCGATTGCAACCAAAATACCAGGTGCACATCTACGTTTTATAGCGGTCCTATATACAAAATTTCAACGTTCTGAGGCTATTCGTTTTCGACTTATGCGAGATACGTACGTACGTACGTACATACGTTCGTACAGACGCCATGAAAAATTCTCTTCAGAATTAATTTGAAAGCAGTTTTATCATTTTTTTTTGGAGGACACGAGTATTTTATTCTGTCCGTACGTACATATATCACTCAAAAACATCGTTAAATTGCATTCGATAGCGGTCAAAATGGATATTTTCGTTGAAATATGCTGCCTGAAACCTTTCGCGATTACAATACTTCCTTTTTACTTCGTACAATGAAGTAAAAAACGTGTGAAATTCTTCCATTAGAATCCGAAAATGTATCTCAAGTTTTTTTTCATCAAAATTTGAAAATGCTATAAGAGTGTTAGAAGAGAAAAGAATGAAATCACTTGCATAATAATTTTAATATTGAAATACTTCCAATTATCCGAGTCCAAACATCCAATTGCCAAATTATCCGGAGTAAACCTACTCCAATCAAGCTTGCCCGAGGGTGAAGCATCTCCGCCTGGCTTTGTCCTATCATTCGCACTCATAATCAGATCTAGTACAAGAATGCGGATCCCAAATTCAAAATGGCTGGGCTTATTATTCGCGAAACGGCATTTTGCGTTCCAATCACTATGAACGATGGGATATTTTAGTCTCGAAAAATCGGGATTGTTTCGGAACGATATTTTGCATTCAAGGGCTGTTATTCTCGAAATGGGATTTTGCGTCTGTTTACTATAAACGGCGTATTACTTTGCGTATATTGTTGCCAGCAAATATTATCGCCCTGTATTATTTTTAAAGAAACTAAATAATTAATAAAACTGCATACTTTTTGTTATACTTTTCTTGTGATTTAAGTTTATTTGTAATAAAATATTAATTATTCGTTTTAAGAATATAGCTATAAAATAACAATTATTTCTAAGAAGAAAATACTATTAAAAAAATCTGAAAGGTTTCAGGTTTTAAATTACGTCCAAATAGGCGTTTTTTTAACATTTTGTGTGTTACCTTAATTTATTAATATCAAGTTCTTCGCACTTAAACCAAAAAATTCAGTTCAATAACAATATCGCAAAATAATTTTAAATTGAGCATATCATTAGAATTTCCGATACACAGTCTCGTGCGCTGGAGATATATATATATTTTTTTTTACCCGTACAGTGTTGTTACCGCTCGCTTTGAAATCGTTTCGCAGCCAAAGCATGCTTTCATGGTGGGATATATCATTGGGAAATTAACTTGTATTTGCGTTACACTCGGAAAAAACTATAAAAAGAGGTACCAGTTAACCCTTTCGCTGGAAATCGAACACACATCGAATGAACTTCTAAAGGATCTAGTTTCATAAACTCTGCACATGCATATATATTAATTCTGAATTTGTGAATATAAAAGAAATTTCTTCTAGTAGATAGTTATCCAACTCGTAATACATATTTCGATTCCAAAATTGATTCTAGAAATGTAATTTTGCCTTGAAGAAAAGGCTCACGAAATCGTAATAAATGCAACTTAATTGAAAACCTGACCTAAAAAAAAAAAAAAAAAAAAAAAAAAAACTTAAAGGTTTCAGATTTTCAATTACGTCCAAAGGGGCGTTCTGTCTGTTACCTTTATTTATTAAATATCGCGTTCTTCGCACTTAAAACATAAAATTCAGTTCAAGAGCAAATATCGTAAAATAGTTTTAAATTGAGCACATCTTTAGAATTTCCGATACAGTCTTCAGCGCTGGAGATAAAAATGTTTTTCTCTGTACAACGTTGCCATGGTTGACTTTGAAATCCTCGAGTTTGTTGTTAATCAAAAATTCGTTAAAGTTTCACAGAATATGAAATCGATAATAAAACAAAGTCCAAATTTCAAATTTGGGCTTCCAGATGCCCATATTCGCAGGAGGATTACGTCATTCAAAATTCGATGGCTCTAGGTACCATTGTTTTATCACAATGCGAGAAAGATACATACATTTATGCAGATTCTTCATTATTTAATTTCTTCAAATATAATACAGATCGATAATATTTGGTGGCAACGATTTGAAAAGTGATAAAGCCTTTTAAAGGTTTCGACACAAAATGCCACAACGAAATTAATAGTCCTTCAGGGCAAGTTGTCCCTTTGGACTAGAAATCTGCATTTATGTATATCTGATTCTTGCACTAAGAAAAAGGCGACAGTTCTTACAGCCATCCAATTTTAAATAACGTATATCTATGTACGCGTGGAACTCCACCTATGTACGCGTGGAAGCCCGAATTTCGTATTTTTTTGTTTTGTTATTTATTTCATATTTTTTAACATTTTAATGAATTTTTGCTTAACTAACTCGGTTTGAAATCTTTCAGATTTTATTTTTGTTCAGTTATATATTTAAATAATTATTTATTATTATTATTATTATTATTTTATTATTATTTTTTTTTTTTTCGCGATGGGAATCTTCCTCAGTACTGTAAAATGAAGATATTCGTATGTGAAAAACTGCGTTATTTTTGCATGCTGTTTTTGAATTTTGACCGTTATAAAATGAAGGTATATGACTAATCTCTTACCATTAAAGAATTGTAGAATTTATTTATCAGTCTGACGTTGCATTGTCTACTTTCAAGCGATATGATAGCGCATTATCGGTTACAGTTTCCACCTCGTTATCTTCCAACTTAGCAAAAACCGTTACTCTGATAACTTCCTGGTAAGTTCCCTTTTACAACTTAACTATTGGAGGGTTCGTTTCTCTTTTATTAAGATTAGCCAATGGGAAAGCGTGAATAGAACAAACGGAAACTTTCCGTTTCGAAGATGAAAGTTTTATAATCGGGAAGCAGATCATGATATTTCTCAAACCTAGTTTGTTCACTACGTGTTTTATTTCGCATTTTGAAAGATATCGTTCGATTCTGCAATGAGAAAATATTTTCGTCTCGAAATTTTTTTGGACTATACGTTTTGGCTTCACCATTCAGTAAGCACGATTTTAGATATCTAGAATTGAAAATTGAAAGTTTAAAAGCTTAGTTATGTGTGCCAAATTTTAATGAAACACTAAAAGTTGATTTAAAAATGTTAAAAACTGAAAAATTGAAGTAATGTGTATTTTATAGTTAATTACTTATTAATGAAAATAATTTTTAGTGTCCCTTAAGTAAAAGTACAAAAAAATTTCTTGAGGTTATAATTATATCTTGGAGATTTGTTTTTTGAATTAATCAAGATTAATTTTGTTTTAAAAGATTAATAATTCGTTTCCGAATTAATCCTAGTATGCGTAAATTTAAAAAAAATCAGCAAAACTAATAGTGTATGTTTTGAACTGTGTGATTCTCTGAAATTGGTATACTTTTTTTTTCATATAATTCTTGGCTTGAAAATAAAAATTTAAATAATATTTTTTAGCCAATGCGCAGTATATGTATATTTTCGCTTTTTGAAGTTTTAGCTAATATTTAGGAATAAATAAATTGTTGTTTTTCTGCTTTCGTTAGAAATTAATACAGAAAATTTAATTTGCTAGTTTAGTTTTGATTACATATTTCTGTTTGTTTCTCATTTTAAAAATAGTTCATTTTAAATTTTATCTTTGTTTGCATTCCTAGTGATTGACAGAAATAATTATTAAGAGATTTCCGGAAGCTCCCCGTGCCCAGATATCTCGCGAAAGCTTTCTTCTTATGAATTATATCTACCAGTATTTCTTGCTTATCAGTTGCGTCAGGCCCACCAAGTGGGTGAACGGTTAAGTCCTTGAACACTGGTAGTTCGGTCCCAATTTCGAATCCCGCGAAGCCTGTTAGTCTCTCCCTCCTGTTAGTCCTTTACGGCGAAACATGTAAATAATAATAATCAGTTGCATCAGTAGCGAGAGGATTAAACCTTGAAACAATGCTTGTTTGTCCCAAACTCAAAAAGAAACAAATGACATTGGATTTTCGGGATTTTTCCCATGTATCAGCTAAATACGATCAGTTTTTCCCACTTGAGCGTTTTCCAATAAGCTGCCCAGCCAATTAGTGTTAGCGATTTTGACTGCCTTTGCGATGGGCGCGGATTCGCGGAGGTGACATGGTTGTAAATGTCCCAGGAGGCAACGGTATCACCTGTTAGGTACATCCATTACGAAATGGCCACCAACCACTTCCAGTCCTTGTAGAGTCACAAGGTTAATTAATATTAAACAAAGCGCCCGGCCATTAAAAAAATTGTTTCGGTAAGTGTTTACATTTGGGTGCCCCTTGTTTGTTTGGCGATTCTTTTTTAACGCCAAGAAGGAAGGGATAATTTCAAGATGGCCGCTACACAAAACCAAAATAAGAAGTCAAATAACTGCTCAAACTCGGTATCCATGTGCCCATCGATCTATTTTAACTTGAAAAAAAAATATATATATCAGAGAATTGCACAAACTAGGCATTGCGCACTACCTTTGTGCTATACATATCGATTTATTTTCACAAAAAAAAAAAAAAAAAAAAAAAAAAAAAAAAAAAAAAAAAAAAAAAATCAGGAAGCTAAAACAAAGTTAAAACTATCACGCTAACCAGAAATAGGATTTCATAGCCAAAATTGAACAAAATTTGTTAATCGTAGGGGCACTCAATTCTACGCCACAGCCTATTTTTCAATAATAATAAGAAGAAATCTGAAAGTAATCCCTCTTTTTAACTTTCAGATTTTATATTACGCCCAAAGGGACTTTTTTAACATTTTGTGTGTGTTACCTTTACTTATTAAATATCATGTTCTTCGCACTTAAACCATAAAATTCAATTCAAGAGCAATATCAAAAAAAAAAAAAAAAAAAAAAAAAAAAAAAAAAAAACTCGCGCATAAAATAACCGTGCTTTGGAAGATACACGCCATGTTAATGGAACGCTTTGAAATCGTTGAGTTTGTTAATCAAGAATTCGTTAAAGCCTTACAAAATATGAAATAGGTCATAAAACAAATTCAGAATTCCAATTTACGGTTTCCACTTGCCCATATTCGAGTGGAGGACTAAGCTATTCAGAATTCGATATCTCTAGGTAACGTTGCTTTTACATCCCATACATTCACGCAGATTCTTTATTATTTAATTCCTTTAAATATAATACAGGGCTCTAACATTTGGTGGTAAGAATTTGAAAAGTGAAACGCCGTTTTATAGTGGACAACGCAAAATTGCCAGTACCAAATTATTAGCTCTTCTAAAAAATTATCCCGTTGAGCTATTTACTTACATGGAAGTATTATTTTTTCTGTATGCGTCATAGAAAAATCTAATATGGAAAGGAAGAGGAAGGAATAAAGGACAGGAATGGAATAAGGAAAAGGAATGGAATTCAATACTCCTGGAAAGTTTAAGAAAAGCCCTTCTACATAGAAATCAGGATGTTGACTGATAGTCCAGAAAAGAGGCTATGAGATGGAGCATTTAGAGAATACGCTTTGCATTCTAAACGGCCACGAAATTATTCTAAAAACTTGTAAACACCCTGTTTCCCTATATATAAGCAATGAGAAAATCCTCTTAAATTTTTAGTCCAAAGAGGCTTTGTCCTTGAAGAACTATTGTTTTCGTTCTGCGATTTTGCGTTGAATCACTTTTCAAACTGTTGCCACCAAATTTTAGAGTCCTGCATTATATTTGAAGAAATTAAATAATGAAAAATTTGCATAAATGTATGTATATTTCTCGCATTGTGATTAAACAACGGTCCATAGAGCCACCGAATTTTGAATGACGTAATCTTCCTACGAATACGAGTATGTGGAAGACCAGATTTCAAATTTGGAGTTTGCTTTATTATCGATTTCATATTTTGTAAAACGTTAACGAATTTTTGAGTAACAAACTCAACGATTTCAAAACTAGCAATGGCAACACTCTACGGTTTTTGTCTCCAGCGCGCGGAACTCTGTATCGGAAATTCTAAAGATAGGCTCATTTTAAAATAATTTTGCGACATTGCTACTGAACAGAATTTTATGGTTTAAGTGCAAAGAACATGATGTTTAATAAATAAAAGTAACACTCCAAACGTTAAAAAAACGCGCCTTTGGACGTAATTTAAAATGTGAAACCTTTCAGATTTTTTAAAAATTTTGTACAAATATTTTATTTTTGTGGTTTCTATTTTCTGCTTTTCTTCTACAGCGGTACGCGTGTGGACATGAAGCATTCAGTTCTGTGGAATATTGTGGCACGCCTAATTGTGCAAGTGGAATTTACAAGAGTGGAAGTCAATCAAGCGAAATAAAAAAAAACAAGTAAGGCAATTCTTTTTCAAAATATGCAGCAAACACTGTTTCGGACATAAGTGAATAATTTGATGAGCCAATTCAATAAGTCACTGAGATACACTAGAAATCCATTACTTATAAATTTATATGCTGTCTTTCTGGTAACTCGATGTGAGAGCTAACATTTTTCAAAGAATTTTCTATCATACCAAATTGGGTCAATATATCACACTTTTATAAACTTGAATATACTTTTAAAAATGATATACAGTTCATAATGTGTAACTGATTTACTTTATCAGTAATAATACAATATGCTTGAAAATACAAACGAATTACTGTTCTATAATGCCAATTTTTTCTTTCATTTTTGTCATGTAATAATAATATAATATGACTTGTGTTTTTGTCATGTAATAACAGTGCCTTATATCTCAGATAAACTCTAAAAAAAAAAAAAAAAAAAAAAAATACTGTCCTCGTAGAAAGATTTTATACCAAATCCAATACAAATATGCTCTCTGAAACAGTATGTGCAACAATGTAGAAATTCCAAAAATGAGTAGTATTATTGTTAGACATTGTTACAATGTTATTCTTATTATTATCATTATTGTTGTTGTTTTGCACATTATTATTATCATTATTGTTGTTGTTTTGCACTGTGTTATTTCGAAACCGTGTGCAAAGGGAATCCCGCGTACATGTAAAAATGTCGAATCAAAGTATTTGTCAATAAAATAATTTTAAAATTCAATTTAATTTTTAAAAAATGGATTGAAAGAATATTTTTATGAAAACTGTACACAATTCGCTTTGTTGAAGTAATATCAATTTGTATGGTTTTATTTAAAATGATTCACTCGAATTGTGTTGAAGAGTGTGTATGCCATTTAATATGAATAACATGATAAATACAGGATTATGTTACAGAAACTGCTACAGGATTTTAAAGAAATTCATTCAAACCTTATTTACTTGAATTCAGTCACTGTTAAGGACAATATCTGAAAATACAGAAATCCGTAATATGTTTACAGGTTTTTAATGCAGCATTAATTTTGAGCTTTACTCTTGCTAGTATAGTTCATTTAAGGCATACAGATTATTGTCTTTTTTGGAATATTTCACAGTTCTTTTACATCTTCTAAAATGCATCAGTGCATATTAAATTTTGTTTATGGTATGCTCGTCTGGTACTTATTATACTTGAATAAGGGAATATATTACTAGTACAAATATATAGAATTTTTAGGCCAATAAGATTGTAGAAACGTTAGGTTATTTCGAAGCAGGAGACATGAAAAAGAAGCAATGCTCTCACCGAGACTCGAACCTTGGACTTCTCGAATATGCGCCGAGCATGCTCACCATTACACCACGAAGGCTTGCTAAGAAGGCGGAAGAAATACCCTATATGCTCCCCCTTTTAAAGGGCGACTGGGGATTAGCGGACCCAATCGCCAAACCCTGGTGGTGGAGTATCATCATCCACCACATTTTTAGTTCGGGCGCCACTGTAGAGACATTAGGTTATTTCGGAGCAGGAGACATGAAAAAAGCAGCAATGCCGTGGCCGGGACTTGAACCTCGGCCTCTCAAATACGCGCCGAGTGTGCTGACCATTACACCACGAAGGCTTGCTAAGAAGGTGGGAGAAATGCCTCATAAGATAAAATCTTATTTTGGGAGCATGCTCTACATTTTCCCATTTTTTTCATACATTCTTTGAAAACGCTCTTCCTTTACAGAGGGTGCTTACACATTTTTAGAAACATTTCGAGGCCATTTTAAGTAATGTTTAAAATGTAAAGACTATTCCTTAAATGTACGATCTGATTTTTTTTTCCCTGGACTGTACATCGTCATTTCCATGATACAAGGGCTTTTGGTAAAATTTCCAGGGGTAATGATTTCCATTCCTCTTCCTTCACTTTCCAGAATACTTCAATAGTGGTAGGTTTGCGCTTAGAAAGAGTTGTTTTCAAAAGATCAAAAATACAATATTTCATACTTAAAACGTCAGGAGACTTCGGAGAAATACGTTGAAAAGGCATATATGCAATATCTATTGCAGTCTTTATTTTTTCAAGAGATGCCGTGGTACTTTTCTAACTATGATCTGTTTTTTTGTCTTTATGAAGTTTTCCTCTTTAAAATTCGTTGGGATTAAAAAGAAAATGGCATTTCTTCAGTAAATATCAGATCGGATGTAACTTTCTCCTTATAGTATGTTACGTTGATTTTAACATTTTTGTCCACTCTTTTTATTTTTAATTTCCCACTGGAAGAGAGTCCTGGGACAATAATAAACGCCTTACTGAAACCTTTTTTGCATTGACGAAACCAGGTTTGAACATGTTTCTTTCTTCGTTTCCCCCACTATAAAGTAAATGCATGCCTCATCAAGAATTACAATGTTTTTCCATTTTATCTCCTGCTAAATAATTTTCGCACAGGATACTACCAACTATTCAGCGTTAAGCCCCGTGCCTCGGTAAAAGCTAGTGAACATTCTGTATTTTAGCTTTTTTAAATTCTAGATCATGGTTTATTATTTCTTTATTTCTGCAAATGTATTTAAAGACTTTGCAATTTATTTCTGAGTCGGTGGATTTGCTCTTGTTACCAACGGCCTAACTTTAGAAATATTCGAAACAGTACCTTCTTTTTTCGAATATTCGTTTGAAGTCTTCTTTGCATGTAAGAAGTAATGACTGACTGTTTTTCGCTTTCCGATTAATAATGCTCCTGCTTTTGCACTTAGTAATATTAATAAAAAAAAGCGCCCAGAAGAAATCGAAACACAATTGCGAAACTCGGCAAGAATGTAGTCTGGTAAGAGATATGCATTTGGACGCCAATGAGACAAGGGTAAGTGCGGTATCCGCATATGAGTTGTGCAGCTGGAAGAGTTTAAAAGCATTGTTTCTCGTCCCGCAAGGCTATTCAAACGAATCTGTAGACTTAGCTGGACGGTGCTGTGACTAGAGATACCTCTGAGGCGTAATCGACGGCAGTACGAAGAGTTGTCGGATTTCGAGGAGGGATGTATAGTAGGCCTCAGAGAAGCAGGTTTGTCGAACAGGCGTATCGGCTGCCACTTCGGTCGGTCGGAGTGATATGGTAGTTGCTCGGTGTTGGCGACAATGGATCACGGAATGTCTAGTCTACAGTTGCGGAGGGTCAGAGTGTCCCAGGAACACAAATGAGCAAGAGGATCGCGAAATCATAAGAGCAGCCACTTTCGCATTAACAACGCCGCTAGCATCTATTCGACGCCATTTACCACCTTCAAGGTATCTGGTGGTATCAAGGGAAACCATTCGGAGACGACCGGCCGAAGCCGCCAACATCCATTAAGACGCCTACATCTGATCCCACATCATAGGCAATGTCGAACAACCGGGAGTGAAACCGACCGGAGGGGTGTGATCTTCAGCGATGAATCCTGAGTCAGTTTCAATACTTATGACCAACGCACACGCGGTGGAGGCGGCCAGACCAGTGGGCCGACACGGCATTTGTTGTCGAGGGCATACGGCGATTGCAAAGGTGTGATAGTGTGGGAGCAATTTGTTAGGACACACGATCACCTATAGTCGTCCTTCAAGGCGATATGACGGCTCGCAGTTACGTGGACGACATTTTAACGCCGATTGTACTGCGTATGCTATCAAGCCGCCCAGGTGCCACCATTTATCAGCAAGCCAACGCTCGTCCACCTACTGCGCAACTCTCTCAACAATGTCTTCAAGGATATGAAGCACTTCCGTGGCCTACCAAGTCACCAGACATCTCGCCACTACAACATGTTTGGGACACGTTTGGAAGGCAACTGCTCGGAGTATTGGTGAATTAACTGCCCATTTGCAAAGATTAAATCTCGCGCAGGGAGTCATAGGTTACCTACTTGATTCGATGCCAGGCCCTGTTTCGGCTTGTGTAGTCCTTTATCATGTTAAGTTTCGTGATAGTAGTTAGTTTCCTTGCGGGCGCATATGCTGTTGCCAAAATTTTTACTCCAAGTTATTTTTTAAATAAAATAGCTCTGAAAATGTGTAAACACCGTCTGTATATTCTGCAAAAACTCCTTGAAAATGAGCATGCATCTTTTTCGTACATTAAATAAAGCATTTTTAATGGAAGATGGCATGCATTATTGTTATTTGATAAGGAATATTTAAATTGCACTTCAGTTACTTTACTTATTCCTTAATTTAAACCTTAACTGAACTGTACGTATAAATTGGTAAACCGTCTCTTCTGATCTAAGTCTACTTTTTAATTTATTAACAGGAACGTCAGTTTTTTGTGAATGAATTAACAGACAACACCATGTATGCCTATGCCTTTCAACTGAGATTGAAATTTACAAGAGTGAAAGCCAATCAAGCGAAATAAAGAGGTAAGTAAGTTATTTACAGCTGCGTGCATTAAACTGTGGATCAATATGTAGTTTGTTCTTATGTACGATCTTATGAAAACTCTTTTTATTATTATTTTTATTATTGTTAGTCCAAAAGGGACCTTAACTCCGTATAAGATATCAGTCCTGAATTTGCGTTGAATCACGATAAACGAGCATAGAGTGACTAATGGACATGGCGCTAACGTCTAACTTCTTAGCAAGTTCTCGAGTAGTTGCATACTGATTTTCTTCCACAACTTCTTGCAGGCGGGCCTCATCAACATCAATAGGCCCACCAGAGTGCACTGCTTCTTGAATGTCATAGTCCTTGTTGTTTTTGAACTTTCGGCCACCAAACCTTCCACAGTATCAAATGATACAATATTAGTACCTAAAGCTATACACATGAATTGATGGCATTCTGTAGCTGACTTTTTGCGGCAGAACTGGAAGTAAATGATGATTATAATCTGGTAGTGTGATAGTTCCATTTCGGACACATGTACTTTATGATAAGAATATTTTTTTTACAAGTTTCACAATACGGCGTTCTAAAGCAAGCCTCTTTCTTTTAAATGCCAAAAATCGTTTCACAAAATATGATTAAAGCCAACGCGAACTGTTTGCGCAGACGATACTTGCGGTGGTGGAAAACTTTCGTCAAAATCCGATATATGGCGCACTTGTGAAGGAAATTATGCTTAATAATACAGCTAAAAACAATAAAGAAAATGGGTAGCAGGAGTGAATGCAACAGCTGATTGGTAGCCTGCGAGCTCATCGAAAGGGTAAGAAACCTTAACAAACCATTTTAGGCGTTCGTTAAAATCTGAAACCTTTCAGACTTTTTTTGTTTTTGTTCTCACTATTATTATTATTATTATTGCTGTTATATAATTACTGTCTCTTTTCTCTGAATTCTGAAACTATACGTTTATACCTTAATTGCACTTAATTTACAATCTGAGTAAACTCATTAAGCTGTTTAGGGACTTTTCGTCCTTCATAATAACCACAATAAACAAGTGAAGTAATAAAATATTTTAGGTACTTCAAAATAAAGCGCACAACAAGGAGAATAACAAAAATAAACTTCCTCCTCTGCTAATATAATAGTTTTTCAATATTTGAATACCTAAATATTAAACACTCAGAAACCTAGTTGCTATCTAAAATGCTTTCTCGCCGAACGAATAAAAATTTAATTCGCCAGCAATTAAGCATTGCATTAGAAAAACGTAGGATAATTGTACTGCTCGCCTAAGCTGCCAAAGATCTTTCTTTCTCTCTAAATTTAGATTATCAGAGGCAGAAACAGTCGAACACTGATCGTTCGATCCAGGTTTCAATGCTGACGAATGGACTGGCTTCATAGGTATTTTTGTGGGAGTATCTATGTTAGAGAAAAATAAGCCAGTTTCTATTAAAAAATTCTTCATGAAGGCGTCAGGTTTAGAGATACAATTCTTGTGCACTTTACCAATTAAAATAAACAAACAAAAGCTAAACGTAGATTCTCGCGCTAATGTTATTTAATTTAATTTTTAATTTTGGGGGGCAAAAGACGAAGTAGTTAAAATTTGGCAAGATTTAGCATGCTAATTTAATGCACCGTAGAAAGCCATACAGTTACAGTTAAAACATTTTAAGATATATTTTTTAATTCGCTTTTATCCTAGATTAGAATTTTGAATGAAAACATCATAAATATTTTTGCTAAATATTCGCTTTTAAACGTTAATGCTAACTCAAATATCTTTATTTAAATTAACGTTAATTAACGAACTTTAAGAAAGTCTTTTTTTTTATGTATAAAGTAGTATTATAATGGAATTTTTATCAGACATAATTTTCTAATTCGTTTGCAGGGACATTGATTGGTAAGCAATAATGTGCATGGAAACCCATCGATAAGAAATACGAAGCTTGGCACCATTTCCATACAATACTATGTATGGAAATGGATTAACAAACATTACATGTGCAAAAACGAATTGACAAGCCATACTATGTATGGAAATGGATTAACAAACATTACATGTGCAAAAACGAATTGACAAGCCATACTATGTATGGAAATGGATTAGGAGACAATAAGTGTGCAAGAACGGATTGACAAACCATGCTATGCATGGAAATGGATTAAGAGACAATACGTGTGCAAGAACGGATTGACAAACCATACTATGTATGGAAATGGATTAAGAGACATTAAATGTGCAAAAACGAATTGACAAGCAATACTATGTATGGAAATGGATTAGAAGACAATACATGTGCAAAAACGAATTGACAAGCAATACTATGTATGGAAATGGATTAAGAGACAATACGTGTGCAAGAACGGATTGACAAACCATACTATGTATGGAAATGGATTAAGAGACAATACGTGTGCAAGAACGGATTGACAAACCATACTATGTATGGAAATGGATTAAGAGACATTAAATGTGCAAAAACGAATTGACAAGTAATACTATGTATGGAAATGGATTAGAACACAATACATGTGCAAAAACGAATTGACAAGCGATACTGTGTATGGAAATAGATTAAAGACATTACCACTGGCAAAAATGTGTTGATTAAGAAGCAATGCTATGCGCAGAAATGGATTGACAAGCAATAAATACTACATCTTGCTTGTCAATCCGTTTTTGCACATATTTTTGCACTGACACCTTTCGCATAGAGAGCAGAATTGTAACAGTGGAAGGTAATCAAGTGGAATGAAGAACTATGTAAGTCTGATTTTACAGTTTGCATAACAAGTTTAAAGAATAATTAACTAAGTTTTTTTTTTAATTTCCGGAAAATTACTTTTTAAATATCTCATTAATATAAAATGACAATAATTTTGCATAAATTAGTATTACTTTAAAATTTTGAAATATACTGTCTGATGAAATTTATGTACTTATATTAAGGCATCTTGGCACCATTTGGCCATTTTTTATGGAAAATGCAAAAGTTATTATGAATGCAATTTGGTGGATTTCGCAGCTTTTTTTGAAAAGATTCTCAAATGATCCATATTTATCAAGCAATCCAACTTTATAAACATACATTAGCAATTTAAGATATCAATTTTAATTACTAAATGAGAATTACGTGGTGTATTAAAAAATAGAACACTAATATTCTTCTCCAAATCTTTCCGTAATTTGTTTTTCTCTATTTCTCCTTCCCAATAACAAAACGATATGTTTTCAGTTAAAAAAACATCAAAGAATTGTAGAATTGTGAAAAGCTAAGGTTCAGCTAGCTATCTACCAAACGCCAAACACATCTTTTCGTTGTTCCCTTTAGAAATTTGGCGGCAAAATTCTATATTCCCACAAAAATTTCACCGCTGTTTTCTTCTATACTAGCACACTCTACAAGCGCATATTTTAAATTTAGTTTTAAGGCCAAAAATATCACGATTTGTTTATAAAGGGCATTGGAACTTGGAATACAACAAAAAGAACGAATATGATAATAGTGGTTTTAACTAAAGGACTGTTATAAGCATGGTTGTCTGAAGAATGGTAATGGACATAGTTGCCAGATTGTGGCATATTCTGAAATTTTGGCGATTTCTACAAAGTAGTTACGGTAAGAACGTAAGTACCAAATTGTAACTACAAATGTATTTTTGGGTATTGTTTTCATTAAAATGGTCTTTTAGATCTTATGAGATACCATTTGATTCTTTTTCAGAATGTACTTTTTTATGACAATTTTTTAAAAGGTTCTTTTATTCCTTTAGAATAAACATTTCAGTAGGAATGGGAAATAAATGTAATATTTTGGGAGCTATTTATATGTCTTAAATTTTACTACTGTACTTTTAGATTGGTTATTATAATAAAATGTTAATTATATTCAGCATTTATCGTGCTCATGAAAGTCTTTAAGTATCCTTTATTTTCGCAACCATTGGTAGTAAACATTTACTTCCATATACAAAAAATGTTTTAAATAACGAAAATATTCATTTTATGGTATTACTAAAGTTGAAAAATTCCTTTTATAAAAATTGCAAAATCTAACATCTATGTGACCCCTCGATAGCTATAGTTATTAGTTAGTAAATGTTTGCAGTTATTCTAAACAATAAAACACAAAACTTTTGACTTCCATACGACAAAAACTGGACGAAATATTTAATTTAAGTTTAAGATCGTTTTCCCGAAAATTCGATTTCGGACACAAATTAAAGAGCGAGGTACTCAATTTTGAAGTTCATAAAATTTAAATACTCATTTAAAAAATGGTTCCTGATGTTAATAGATTAAGTAACAAGCATAAGTGACTTTCATTAAACGTTTTCCAAAATGCTCATTTATTGGATCTTATCAGAGTTCATATTCTAGAAAACAATGGCAAGTTTCACATATTAAAGAAATTATAAAAAGTATTATGCATTGCACATAGCAAATTCATAATATTGCTGCGTTTTACGGGTTCCTGGATTTGGAGTGATTGAAGATAACACTTGATGAAGAATCAAAACACAATTTATTCATCGTCAATATTACATAGGACAGTTCCAAAGACGCATTACAGTCGTCGAAAAACTAATTATTCTTTTAATATTCTGAAAATAATTTCTCATTTAAGAATGATAGCATAACAATACGATATCACTACTTTTGAAACATCAAATGAGAAAACAAGGATTTATGTAAGGCAAAAATGTTTTGTCAATATCTTCATATTGTCTATCTATTACAATAAGAAGCAATATACAATTTACAATATGAAATTTCAAATAATTCGCTGTTCATATTGTGAAACTATTTTTTAAAAATAAACATCTGCAGTAAGCTCATTATTATTACACAATGAAGTTCATATTCTTAAGGCTAGCTGCTAGCTGTTGTTGAATCATTTTCTTGTTCCAAGAAAAGGCTTGGAATGTCTTTTAGTGAGCAATTTAAAACACATAACACATACATTTAGCATCCAATTTATTGTCATCCTTCAGTGGGATTAAGAACTACTATCATGTATATTTTATTGTCATGCTATTATCTTATTACAAAAATGAATGTCTCAATTTAGGGCTTTTAATTATAATAATGTTCCAAAGTTATTCAATAGATAGAGTCAACAAAAAGCATGTTAAATCAGATCTAAATTTGCATACATGTATATTTTATTGTCATGCTATTATGTTATTACAAAAATGAATGTCTCAATTTAGGGTTTTTAATTATAATAATGTTCCAAAGTTATTCAATAGGTAGAGTCAACAAAAAAGCATGTTAAATCAGATCTAAATTTGCATACATGTGTAAAAATTTTAATTAAACAGGACAAAGGAATTTAAAAGGTTTAGAAGAAAAAAATAGTACAAACAAAAAATTTAGTTTTCCAATTAATATAAAATAGTACTAAAATAAATGTGCTACATTAAACAGAAATATTTCAGTGCTGATGGCTTAATGCTTCAAAGTAATGTTTATCAAGTAAAATTTTTTTTAAAAAGCAAGTAAATAATAATCTTTTTTTTTTTTTTTTTCCCCTTTTTTTGTTTGTTAATTGCATAACAAGAAAACATTCTTGTTATGCGAATATTCTAGAGTCTACGTTCTCTAAAATTTTACGAATGAACTGAAACCTTGTGTCAAGCTTAAAATTATCATATGCTTTTCTGGTGGTTCTGGGAATGAAGCACCAGCTTCTTCAGCAGTGATTTGATTGAAGCTATTTTGAATGTTTCATTATTTCTCTCCAAAAGAGAATTTAGAATCTGAAATTATGTACGCATTTCCTGCAAAACAAGTACAAAAAAGGCAAGTGAAATTATCTCTATGGCAAATTATAAAGGACAAAGCACATGGATGAAGTAAAGAACCATGTAATTTTGATTTTGCTTATTACACAAATAACTTAGAGAGACTGCTGCATAATTAGAAAGATGATACTCAAAGGACAGACAGAGAGATGTGTGCAAATTGAGCATAATCTTTATTGCCAGACACAATCTAATTATCAAAACTATATTTTTCATTACTTATGATCATGAACACATTATTCCCACCATAATTTTACATAGAGTATCACATTTTAAATAATGCTGTAGTTAGCAGCAAAACAAAGCACGGTGAAATGAAATAGAGTCCAAGCAGCAACAGAACTGCAAGCTAACTGTGCATTTATCCAATCTGGCAGTCTGTTAAGAGAAAGGTTTTGGTTTCCAAAGGTTAGAAAAGTTTCAGTTCTCATGTTACATTCTCGTGCTATGAGTTATGTCATCAGCGTTGTGCAGGCCATGCAAGATGGAATGATCTAGAAATGATGCAATCAAAAAAGTTATTACAATTTTTAGAACAGAGAGGGAGAATTAAAGACAGTTATTTAAATTATAATTTTGTTTTACATATTTTTTACTTTATATACATATATATATGTAATGATTTCAAATGCGCAGATGAAAGCAGTGGAACTCTCAAGATACTGCGTAGATGACCGAGAAGACCATAGTGGCTTGATAGGGAATTCAGATGAATAGTTACCTTTTTTTATTTTATCCATTCTTTAGAGGATGTGAGATTTGTTGAAATAAACTGCACTTACGTTCCACGCAATCGAGGTCGAAAATAGGGTCGAAAATCGGCTGCGCCATATTATTGTAAAGAAACTGTGGTTTGAAGGTGGCAGAGTGGAAAGCATGATGATGCAATTTAGCACAACATATCTTGAAAAATCACAATCTTTATTTTTTCCATGTGTATCAAATCATCCTTTTTCAGATAAGATACTTCCTAATTATATTTGAATAGAATAACTCCCATTTTGAAGTACGACGTCATCTTAAGCAAGTAAGTGGCAGCAGAATGGATGAAATGCATCTTACCATTTCCTGTGCTTTTAATATTACATATATATAGAGAGACTTAGTTTATCCTTTGTAACTAACCTTGAATTTCACACAAAATTCAAGTTACCTAAATTAATGGTGAATTTTACACATACTTTTAAAGAGATTTTTCAACTGAATCATTAAATTAATATTCTTCAGATCAATTTTTTTCTATAAATTTTCTTGAGGAAAATAAAAACAATGCTAATAAATTCTAAAAAACTCAATTAAAGAATTATGTTTCACAGAAAATATTTCTACACAGGTAAATTTATACTTACATAACAGACATATTTACTCGAGAGAGTGAATGTTTCGATGTCAGGTTAAGGTTAACATTCCCAGTTTTCGAAAACTGCAATCCTGTAAACCCATACAGACTGGTTGCCTCTGAAATTATACTTATTTTAACTGTAAATGCAGGCCAAACAAATTATTTGAAATATATGACATGATGATGGAACAGAGACAGATTTCATGAAAACAACACATGGATTCATTCACGTCACTCTTAATAAACATAAACACATATCATTTTGGGTGATAATCACACCCTCGACACTTTTAAATAATAGTTTACATTTTTAGAAAAATAAAGCAAAGTGATGAGAATATACATGTTGTCAGCAGCAAGCAAAGCAAGGAAAAAGGGAACTGTACAATAGTAACAGTGGTATTTAAAAACCTCGATTTCTTTGTTTAAATTTTAAGCTTTGATATTGGACAAGAGCTAACTGCTGCAGTGCAAGATTAGGGATGACATAATTTTTCAAGTGATGCAGTTAGTTTTAAAACAGGAAAGAATGAAGGAAAGCATCTAAATTAAAATGAGTAATTAAAAGAACTATTGCTGAATTAAAGTTAATTATTTTGAGTTACCTATCTTATACATATATATATATATGTGTGTGTGTGTAAGATAAAAAATATGAAAACAAACTTCTAAATTTAATTGTCTGATAACCTTTTTTAGTTTTAATTTAATTTGAGGACTTCCTCTGTCTGTCTTAAAAATAGCACTATAAATCTAAATTGCGTGATTCGAAATAATCATGTGATCTTACATAACATTTACTGCAGATATCTCTTGCCCAATCAAAATAATTGTAAACCCAAACTAACTCAAGCTGAAGCTTGACTTCTTTCCTTCTTCCTCTGAAGTACTGCGACACTCTTTCCTTTTTCACTTTTGCTTTCCTCGTGGTCAGATGCTTTGCTGCAATCCTCTATGTACTGAAATGATCGTTTATATAACAATAGTATCAAAATTGTGCTGGAAATAGGGATGATTGGAGTGCCAAGTGAATTATGGCCACAAAATGTTAATTTAAATAAATGTGGAATTTGATTTGGCTTGATTGTTTCTTCTTCAAAATGGATGGTTACTCTAAGCATCAAATCTTCGCCATCAGTACTTCTACGCATCTACATCTCAACATGTTTACATTCAACGCTTCAAATATGTTGTGCTATCATTAGATATACAGTACAAAGTCTTTAATTCGGAATTATAAGCCGTCGGGACTTCGGTGATTCCGGATTATACATCATCAATTTAAATCTGATAAGATGGCATGCAGAAATTATAAATTTAAAAACATGAAACTGTAATTTATGAAATAAAGAGCAATTATGATCTAAATGGTATCAAAATTTACCAAAAAAAAAAAAAAAAGGTTAATATTTATTTGTTTACTTTATTAAACATTTCTTTCAATGCACGCATGCGTAAAGCATACATTACGCATAGTCGAAATTAGAAAATTGCAACCAGAAAACTATTTGATGTGTGTTCGTGATATTTATAATGAAGAGGAATTTTTTTAAATCATATCAAAGACAGAGTACATCGAGATGAAATACTACATTTAGTAATGAACTATAAGCCGAATAAAATAAAAACATCTGCCCCGAAGATAAGAATAGTGCTGACAAATCAACTTCCAGTTCATTGCGCACCGCGACGTTCCCCTCCCCCGCAGAGCAGTGTGAAATTGATAAGCAGATTTTGGAATGGTTAGAGAAACAAAGGATATGCGTTTATCCATTTTTTGCAGCAATTCCACTTTTTGTTTGATGGACATCGAAACATGCTTTCACTTTGTAGATCCTTTGGCAGTATCCAGCATCGGAAGTTCTATTTGACATAATCGAAAGTTCAAGCTTACTTTTATAAAATTGCTCTAATAGTCTACAAAAAATAATAAGCTGAATCCAATTCGAAGATTAAGGAATAATGCAATCTGCAACATTAACTGAAATAGATAATTTTAGCTTAGCTTATACCATCCGTTATACATTAAACATGCATGCGTAAACATACTATGCGCATGCGTACACACATATGCACATGTATAAAGGTATTACGCGAATGCGTTAACGCATATGCGCATGTGTGAACGCATTATGCGTTGACGCATGCGCAGAAAGTTTTTAACTTTGAGGTCCGGATTATAGATCATTGCGGTTTATGGGCATCCCGATTAAAGACTTTGTACTGTATATATATTGGGCCATATAAAAAGTATCCATGGTCTTTTGGTACATTTTTGAACAAAAGATTTCTTTATTCAAAATCAATTTTAATCAAGTACATATTGACCATTATTATATGTGACCTCTTGCCATTTTTTGAGTAGCTTCATGATTGCATCGGTGTAAAACTTCGGTGGTTTATCATCGAAAAGCGTGGCCAAGTGATTTTCTACGGCATTTTGGTCAGCCAATTTTTTTACCATCAAGAGAGTTTGCAGAGATTGAAACAAATGGTAGTCAGATGGTGCAAGGTCTGAGCTGTATGGTGGATGCATCAAAACTTCCCAACCAAGTTCCATCAATTTGTTCCAAGTCATCAAAGATGTGTGTGGCTGCACATTGCCTTGATAGAACACAACTACCTTTCTTTGGCCAATTCTAGTTGCTCCCAAAGTTATATTGAGTGTCTGGTAGGGCCAATCCCACCAAACACCCAACATAAGCTTGTTTGTCAACAATCCATGCTTTGAAGTCATTTGTGGAGGGTCACCAGCCTTTGACCATGATTGCTTGCATTTGATATTCTTACATTTCACCCATTTTCCATCACCTGTAATGATTTGCTTCAAAAATAGTTGTTTTGCAATTTTGTTGCATTTCAGCAGCATTTCACTGATCATCATTTGATCAATCAAATTTTTTCGATTAATTCATGTGGTACCCAAACATCAAGCTTTTCTTCATAGACTGTTTTAAATGATTCCAAACTGTCATGTGGTTGATATTTAGTGCCTCCGCTATTTCCTGACAGCTTGCGTGCTAGCCTTGCTCCACCAGTTGCAAAATTTCATCGACCTTTTTCAGTGACTGGCTAACCCACAGCAAGGTGCATCTTTGACATCGAAATTTCCAGAACGGAATCGAGCAAACCACTCCTGGGAATTTCATTCACTAACAGCATTCTCACCGTACACTTAACAAATTTGTTTGGCATCTTTTTGCAGCATTTTTACATTTTTTATAGTAAAAAACTGCTGTGATAAAGCAGAATAAATTTAGTAGTGTATTTCTTTAGATATTTCACTTAGTGTTTCAAGATGCACTTTCATCACATAGTGTATTTCTTCAGATATTTCACTCACTTTCAAATCAACACAACTTTTTACACTAGCAATGAATTAGAACAAATTAAAAAACTATCTTCAAAAACAATGGAAGTTGAATGTCACCTTTTAAAACACATGTTCGTTTGAGACAATTGGGTGAATGTTGCCAGATATATAGGCATTAACACCATCTAATGGCAAAAACCCACAGACTTATATGACTCAATATATATAAATTATAAACTTTTTTTTAGATGTTTTTATGGGGTGTAAAGGTTTGTCTAATGGTTGAAATACAGTGAGCTAAAGTAAGTCTCCAATGAAAACGCATTTTGAAATATATTTGAAATACATGCTATTTATATACATTTGCCTTTTAGAATTAAAATTTTCACATCACTGCACCTGCACATAATAATAAGAAATTTGCAGTAAAACATATGCTATTTATATATATTTGCCTTTTTGAATTAAAAATTTTCACATCACTACACCTGCACATAATAATAAGAAATTTTCAGTAAAACGTAATATACTAGAATAAAAGTACTACAATTCAGAGTAAAAGTAATATTTTTTAAACTTCACAATGAACAATGTCTCAAAAATAATTTTTTAAGTTGTAAAAAGTTTCTATCAGAAAAATTTAAGGAATGGATTTTTTATTTTAAGAAAACCACATGGTAATGATCGAAGCTAGAACAAAATTTTGGCTAAGAGCTACCCACGGCCTCTGTCCAAAGGAATTCAAGGGACCCCAGTCCCAGCCTCTGGGATGTACTTTAGGCATGACCATTTTTAATACATCAAGTGCCATTTGTATCCAGATATGCATTCCATATTTTAATATGCATTCCATATAACATGTCATTGTATTTGTTTGGATCGTGTAACATGTATTCAGATTCGCCCAAAGGAAACACATTTTATATGTAATTGAATAAATGATTTTAAGTGGCTAATGGTACATAAAACTTTGGCAAATAAAATATAATTTTTGATCATAGTGGCCTTACCTCTACTGCTAAATGATTAAGAATCTGTATATATGCATGTATGTTGGTATGTATGCTCGTGCAGTGTAGAAAAATGTTGGCACTTAGACATTTAAACATACAGTCTTTGTTCAGAACATGTGCATTCTGAAGCTCGAATTTCAGGTCTGCTTTTTATTTATTTCATATTTAGTTGAAATTTAAGGAGCTTTTGATTAACAGCTTAAGAATATATAAGCTGTATGTTGGCACTCTGGAAAGCAATGAGACTTTCAGTTTCAAATTAAATCAGAAAACTCAATGATTTAAAAGAAACTTATTAACACTGGTTCCTAAAATATTTTTATCTTCTATGCAGTGTGTTGTCATTCAGCAATGAATTTATCCTGTTACTAATTAACAAAGCAATTTAAAATCAATAAATGCAGATTCAATTCAATTATTATTAATTACTAGCTGGATACATAAAATTACATAAAATTAAACTAGCCAAATTCATTAAAATCATTGCAAAAATTTTCTTTTTCACATTAACTATTTTAGGTGGCTGAAAGCATAAGCAGCTAATGTACTGAAACGAATACAATCTAATTATGGTCTAAAAACAGATATAAATGTATTATGTTTCACAAATATGCTACATGACATTAGGGAACATTTATGATATGCGAGTCAAAAAAAGAACAGTGGCTAAAAACAACATTTCATATACATATAAATACATATGGCAGCACATTGTTAAATATTGTTATGACACAGACACTACGGTCAGAAATGCCATCCTTTATCTAACATTAAAACTTGAACTGAAAAGCATAAGAATCAATAAAATCCAGTCAACAACTATGCTAATTGAAATAGTCCACTTGAGAAAATTTTATAATGAAAATGGAAGATATCGATTAAATTTTGTTAAAAATACAAGCAATATAAAGAGAATTCTCCCAAACTTAAAATAATAAAAATAATCCCACAGTAAAAATTGACACACCTTTTGTTTTGCACAGATTTTAATGAAAACTCAATAACTGAATCAGTAGAGTTTTGATTAGAAATCTATGATTCTTACGGCTGATATTTTGCCTAATTTACAAGTTTTAAATTGTGTCATGCTTTACATGTCACATAAAGGTTCAAATTTCTATTTGAAAACAAAGATAAAATGATCATAAAATTTTCAGCATTTTTATGATTTTCCCCTTTCTAAGTTAGACATATATATATAAACTTAAAGCATCTAAAGCTAAAATTAAATTGGAATCAAAGCAAGGCAATTCCTCAACAATATTCATAATTGCAACCATGTGTAAGAGGTTTAACACAATTTAAAACTAAAGAGGAAGCTAACCTACTTTACAGTTAGTCTTTTTGCAAGGAAAACTAAAAACCTAAAAAGCAATCGATATTAAAGGGAAAACACTTGCAAATTAACCAATTGGAAAACAACCAAAAAAAAAAAAAAAACCTTAAAAGGAAACAGGAATAATAGCTAGCACTGAAAGCTGTTAATGGTACTAAGTGCAAAAAGAAACACAATAATACTCTAAAAATTAAAAACAAAACTTTTAAACCCGTCCTGAACTATAGCTGCAGTATTGAAGTAAAATAAACTTAAAGCAATTTAGAATTAAACATGAAAAAAATCATTAAATTTGTTTAATCAGCATTTAAATATTTAATGACAAATGTTATTTTACACATAAGAAAAAACATACTTACAGTTCCACTTCCAGAAGGCTAAATGCTTCTGGATTCATATGAACAAAATTTACATGTGGTTGTCTTTCTACATCAGGTACTGAAATTCTTTGACTTCACTAAACCATTTCTGAGAGGAACAAAAATGAGACCAATAATTGCTCATGTCATATTTATGTTAAAAAGACACAAACATAATAGTAGCATCTTTATGTTAGAAAGACACAAACATAATAGTAGGGGAAAATATATTTTAGGGTACCCCTTGGCGAAAATGTGGGATTTTTTGGCGTCATTCTTGTTTACATGCAACGCACTCCCAAGTAAAATAGCATTAAAAAACCTAATAAAATAAAACATTATTAAAACATAAAAAAATTATAACCTCAATAAACCGCATTTTAATTGAAAATAAAACAAGGAAATAACATAAAAATGGAAATACATGTTTTCTAATCTGTGCAGTATAAAAAGGAAATATCAATTTCCCTTACACAGAAATTTTTGTGTCTTTGATGTGTAGTGCATAGAATTCCTTAAAAGCATCCAAAAACTATTTAAAATTATCTGAACTAGAATCCGTATACTGCCGTCATCACATAAATTCACAAAAGTTAAGACAAAAAATATCCTCGGTTCTACGGGACTATTGGTGGCATTTCTTTCAAAAATCCCATTTTATTACACCCATTATTCTTCCATAGTGTTCATAGGAGTTCCGGTTTCCGAATTCTTAAATGTTACTGTGTAATTTACTGAGAGCTGAATGAAGCCATTTAAATCTCCATTTACATACCAGTCAATCAATGTTTTCTTTCTCATTCGTTTCAAATTGTACAGAAACTCCAGGTTAATCTTACCACTGGCAGCCATTTTTATGGTGTACAACAAAAAATAAGCCCTGAGAAATATTTTCCCAACAATCAAAATCACTGCAGTCACCCATTACAACTAATCCTATCATAATAGGGTTTCTAAATCATTCTTCATAGGATACTCAGGTTACCATAATTGAAGCTACAACTCGGCAATAAATGAAACAACATCTTGCGGATAATAAAAGGGGTACTCTAAAATATAGACTACCCATTAGTAGTTTGTATGTTAAGGTTGTTAGATGTAATTTAACAATTCAGCATATTGTGGCAGTCTGATGTCCACATCATGTGGTTTATGTAAAAACTGCTAGCGCAATGGTGAACTCACCCACTTTGCGCTTAGCTCGAGTGTAGGATGTACAAATTTTAGTTTAGTAGTTTTCTGTTATGTTATTTCGTTATGTTATGATAGTTGTGTATAAAATTATGGTGTGCATGAATAAAAGTTTTGTTTAACGAAATGGAGTCATGTCTTTTAAGGATATACACCAAGCCACAACCTCCATTCACCATAATATATTAAAATATGTGAACATGCATGAAAATTTTACTTACAATACCAATGTTCTTCTTTGGTAAACACAATAGCTGCTGCCAATATAAAATGACCGTAAGACAAAGCAATATGAAGCATGTACATCAATCTAAGTTCAATTTACAAAAATACTCACAACAATTTCATAAATATAAAATCGTTTAACATATCTTAACTATGAATAATTTATAAACACAAAAACTACAAATGAATGTAACACCTTTTATATTCTGTGCACTCATACAGAAACATGATTGCACTGAAAATTATTAGATAATAGAGAAAACAAGATATGTGAAATTCGAATGAAACATTTGAAAAAAACTGAATTGCAATCTGATAACTTCAAATCACAATTCACTTACCTATTTTGAATTTCAACTACATTTGATGCAAGTTAAAAAATTTAAAAACATATTTCAAACTCATAAAATTAAAATTTTAAAACTGCAATATAATGTTTATATATTAATGCCAATTCCTAAAATAATTTTAAACTAAACTGTTATGCTGCATTTAATGACTACTAATTTAAGAATTAATTGCTCAGAAATTCATCATATGGAATATAAAATCATATGTTTAAAATTAGTTAAGGAAAAAGTTAAGGAAAAGCAATGCCAAACCATGAGAAGAAATTTGCTATTATATCATTCTGTTAATCACTGACACATGATGATTCAATAATTATGAAGAGATTTTACTATTCAAAACATAGCTGTACATTTATTTTAGTGGATAGATTGTGCATATGGTTTGCATCAAATGCTTTCTTTAAACGACAATACATTTTCTTGCATTATATGAGGACACCAAATCTGCTTCCGGAAACAGTAAACAACTCTGATAAATTTCCTTAGAAGTGCTTACAAAAATCATGATAATTCAAAGAAATATACATTTTCAAAAGATGTTTTCATGTTATGAATAATTAATGTAGCAATTAAACTAACAGCTATACTTAATTTTAATCATTAGAACATAGTTTACCTTTAGCTCCTCATTAAAAGTTTATGCCATGACCAAACATAATAAAGTATTCAAGAGAAAGAAATGTTTTCTGTTTACAGTGGTAACACATTTAGCCTTCAATTCCTAAAGATAAAGTGGAAGTTCTTAGTATTTTCTCATTATCCACAATTCCACGAAACTTTATAAACTCGCTGTCAGTTTTATGTATTAGCGAAACATACTTGTTTGATTAATTTTAGGGCTCATAAGTTTTATTCATAAAATAATAATAAAATGAAATACTTCAAAAGAAATTTATGAGGAAAACATATTAGACTTATATTCACATTCATATACTGTTCAGCCACACGACAGTTAAATATAAAGCATGCAAATTGATATGGATTTAAACACACGTATAATATGCACATGCAAAGGTTAGTTACTTGAAAATGCCGGAAACAAGGAAAAGACCAAATTTTCTTTTCCAAATAAACTCCTTTCCTGTGTAATTTCATTTATTTTCAATATTAGTTGCACATCTGAGGTTGTAAAACAGAATGTACAAGAATTTTCAGGTGCAGAAACATAAAGTACCTTATCCTCTAAAACCTAAGAATTATTTAAATGCATCTAATTTCTTTGCTGTGTGATTTTCTTTTGTGGTTATAAAATTAATGAAATACAGCTACACTGAAAACATATAAATTTCAAACCCATACCATGTTTAAATTATTTTCCAAGATATTTTATGTTGAAAAAATAATACTGAATTAAGAATTCTGAGAAGGATATGCTGGTATAATAATAAACATCAAATGATACCTCTCACCCATATTTATCTGAAAAGAACTGCAAAATATTATAAAATTTTTAATTACAAATTTCACCTTTTGCATCAAAAGATATAGATTTTAACTGTGTTAAACACTTTTAACACTCCATTCCTGAAAAGCTGGCTAGAAAACTTTTAGTCTTATATTTTTGATTGAATACAATAAATGATGATTTAAAACTGAGATACATCGCCAAACATTTCTAATATATATGCAATCAGATAAAAAAAAAAAAATCCTGGCAGCATGCAACAGCTAAATTTAAGACAAAATTGATGTAAGGAAGAAAAAAAGCAATGAACTGCAGTAAAATATAAGATGTGACTTTCAATCTTCATGATGGGTTATTCATGTTGTGTTTAATAAAGGTGCTGCATTCTGCATAGAATCACTAATAATAAATTTACTCTGATGTTAATGGTTACACTGGCTCACATTTTCATGGCAATAATTTTTTGATAGTGAAATATTTCCTGTAGTATTTTGGTAATATACTTATATGTTTCTTACCCTATATGTTGAAAACAAGCATTGGCATTTTGGTCTCTAGTACAGAATATATGCTACAAATAATCACAACAGATATAAAACACACATACCTAACATCTTTTACACATAACCTAACATCTGTTTAAATTTTGTATTGGAATTATATATAAGTTAAAATAAAATACAACCAAATTATGAATACTTACTCATCCAACACATCAAAACCAAGATTTTTGAGGGGCTGCTTCAGAAGTACAGAATTAAACCATCTCCTAAAAAATAAATTTTCATGGGCTTATGAAAAACCATAATTAACATAAAAAATAAGTAATTAAATATCTAATATCTCAGTGCAAAGTTCTACTCAAGAATTTTATAGATACACATCTTAATACATGATACTTTACAAAAACCTATGCAGGATGATGGACAATTAATCTGCCACTAATTTTTAACAAAGCAATTCCAAAACAAAGAGAACAAACCTGCTATCTCATCACTTTCAGATATTAAATCTGTTTAATTTAAAAAATTCAGGATTTTGGAAATAAAAGTGATTACAATTTTTATTAAGTCATCATTCATGCCTCCTGATGGATTAGTAATCTAGCAAAATCACTTACCGAACACTTTATCAATCCAAATGAGCCTCATCACTTCTGAAAAAAAAAACTGTCTTAAAGTGTAAAGTGTCACATTTTCTCCTATCGGCAACTTTTGGAATTATTTCTTCATGGATTTCTTTTTCCCGTATTGTCAATAGTCCCTGTACAAAATTTCGTGGCTTTGCGGCTGATAGTTCAAGCTACAGAGGTCTCCGAGTACTGTCAGTTTGAAAAAAAAAAAAAAAAAAAAAAAAAAAAACCACCCTGAACATTAAATTCACATGAGAGAAATGCAAAGAATAACCTCAGCCTTGCTTTATATTCTTTGGTATCATTCATCAGATGAGTCACAGTCATTTTAGAACAGGATCACCATGTTTTTGGACATATTTCCTCTCTCTCACACACACAATAATAATTAGGCATACTATTTTATCAAAAACAGAATCTTAGTTTTCTTTCAAAAGTAGTTTAGTGAAGATTCATTTCCAACACCAGAAATCAAGTTTTTTGATGAATATTAAACTAATTAAAAATCATTAAAAATCCCAGAATAACAGAAAAACAAAAGAAATATAGTGGTTATCAGATTAATGAGAGGTTAATTGAAAATTGGAGGTTTCTTGCCTAAGTGGTGGTGGATTTTCTGGTGCAAAAATTTAATGGTTACATGCACCAAAAACATGTCTGATACTTTCCTAATAAAATCAGGTACAAGCATATGCTACAGCCAAACACAAATTTAAAATGACAGCACATATCGAAAAACGATGGGTATGATAAAATGATAAATTCTGAAGTGAACAATTATGTAAAACTCGGATAATTTCAGATATAAAATGGATTAAAAAAATTAATGCCAGGTTAGTCACTTTAAATTTTTATTCTTCAGTAAAATGCAATGCAAAAAAGTTTAGACCTTTAAGTATTTGATTACACTGCTCAACAAGATTTTGCAATAGAATAAGTATAATGAAGATGCAGGGAATTTGTATACACCAATTAAAGATATGAACTCAGATTTTTATCACGTGCAATTTTTACATAGTATCTGATATCAATAAACTTTCATCAGGTTGAAACTTAAAAAAAAAAAAAAAAAAAAAAAAAAAAAGCAGGAGAAATTTTTATGACCAAAAATAACACTTAAATAATATATCAGTAAAATATATAAATAAGTATACCAAAATAAACTTTTTTAAAAGAACAATGAACATGTTTACAAACAGTAGCCCTTAAATGAGTGCAATAAAAAAATCCCAATGACAAATGATTCAGATTAGAAATGTGTTTAATTTCTTTGATGAAATAATACTAGAAAAGTCATCTGTGGAAATCTTACCCATCATCTGTGAATCCATGGAAAAAAAAAAAATTAGTTCTAAAAGTTACCGATAGGGGGAATATGGTGCTTTTGATCTAAATTTTAAGTTTAACTACACAAAAAATTTCTGACCACTTTAAAAAGTTATTAGAGTAAGTAGATAAATGAATAACAAAGAAATAATTTTCCACAAATGTTCCTTATTCTAAAAAATAATTTCTGTAAATGGTTACAAATTTAAAAAAAAGGGGGGAGGCGAGAGAGAACATTCTATTTGACTTCGTTTTTTATCCTTGTTCTCTTGTTTTTATTCAGTTGAATCGCTTTCCCGGGAAAGACATCAGCTATTTTCAATATGACCTCCATTTTCTTGAACTAAGCATTGCATTCTGTTCACTGTACTTTCTACAGGTGAATGGAACATTTCAGGATGTATGTTCATAACAGCCTGTGTTAAGTTTTCCTTTAAAACTGATAAGTTAGAAACTCCACCATGATAAAACGTAGATTTTAAATAACCCCACAAGAAAAAAATCACATGGGGTTAGATCCAGGGAGTGAGGTGACCATGCAACACGAAAACAGCGACTATGGACTCTTTCTTCAGTAAATTGATGGTACAACAGTTGCTGAATGGATGTACCAATTAGTGGTGGTACTCCAGCCTACATAAAGACAATTTTATCTAAGCATTGCCTTTGCTGAAGTTGTGGGATAACAAAACTACTCAGCATATCATGATATCCTTGAGTGTTTACAGAACAGGTCTGCGGTCCTGCTTGGGTAATAGTCTCCACAATAGTACGATCTGATGATAAAATCTGCAGTAAAAACATACCAAACAGTTATTTTTAGGGAATGAAGTGGGATTTCTTGAACCACATGGGGTTGTTCAGACGCCCAAATTCTAAAATTCTGAGTGCTGACAGTCCCATTCAAATAAAAATGAGCCTCATCACTTCTGAAAAAAAGCTGACTTAAAGTGTAAAGTGTCACATTTTCTCCTATCGGCAACTTTTGGAACTATTTTTTCATGGATTTCTTTTTCCCGTGTTGTCAATAGTCCCTGTACAAAATTTCGTGGCTTTGCGGCTGATAGTTCAAGCTACAAAAGGTCTCCGAGTACTGACAGTTAAAAAAAAAAAAAAAAAAAAAAAAACCCTGAAGATGAAATTCACATGAGAGAAATGCAAAGAACAACCTCAGCCTTGCTTTGTGTTCTTTGGTATCATTCATCAGATGAGTCACAGTCATTTTAGAACAGGATCACCATGTTTTTAGACATATTTCCTCTCTCACACACACACAATAATAATTAGGCATAATATTTCATCGAAAACAGAATCTTAGTTTTCTTTCAAATGTAGCTTAGTGAAGATTCATTTCCAACACCAGAAATCAAGTTTTTTGATGAATATTAAGCTAATAAAAATCATTAAAAATCCCAGAATAAGAGAAAAACAAAAGAAATATAGTGGTTATCAGATTAATGAGAGGTTAATTGAAAACTGGAGGTTTCTTGCCTAGGTGGTGGTGGATTTTCTGGTGCAAAAATTTAATGGTTACATGCACCAAAAACATGTCTGATACATTCCTAATAAAATCAGGTACAAGCATATGCTACAGCCAACCACTAATTTAAAATGACAGCACATATCGAAAATCGATGGGTATGATAAAATGATAAATTCTGAAGTGAACAATTATGTAAAACTCAGATATTTTCAGATATAAAATGGACTTAAAAAAATTAAAAACATAGCATTAAAACATCAAGAGACAACATCAAACAATAAAACAAAATCGAATTAAATAATAAAGACCCATCTCTTTTAGGTACTGAAACAAATTATCAGTTTATTATTACTATTATTAAACAAATTTTTATTATTATTATTAAACAAATTATCAACCTCTTTCCTTATAATACAGTCAAGAGGCTCACAGTCACTAAAATACTTCCATCGATGTTTGTTAAAATGCGAATATTCAATTAAAAAGTGAAAAATGGAAAGAATGCTATTATAATTTTACCAAACAGGTTCACTCTCAGCCTTCAAAAGGTAACTGTATGTGACTTGAAAAAGGCCACTTTCTAGATTTATTAACAAGACTTCTTCCCTCTGGTTTCTAGAGGTCACCCAATAATCTACTTTAGGTTTGGTACTTCTCATGCAAGTCAGAAACTGAATATCCCAGAATAATTGCCATTTATTCAGCATTATGTGCTTGATGACCATTTTAATATCACTGTACAGGACAAGCTTATTCAACAAAGCAATTGCAAAACTTGCTGTTGTGTCTGCCAGCTCATTAAGTTGTATACCTACATGCCCCAGCAGAAATGAATCTGATACCTGTGGCTTTTAAAATTTTGATGTGATCTCAAAATGTTAAATAGATAAAGAAACTTTCCAAAGCTTTTACAGCACTAAACAGGTTGCTGTAAATTACAAACTTTTTCTGGTATAGGTTAGAGATGAATGTAAGAGCAAAATAAGCAGTTAATTCAGCACTAAATACAGTGGAAACATCATGCAGCCATTAGCCCTCTGTATGGTTTCCACTCATAAACAACAGGCCTACATAACCATGATTTTGAACCATCTGTATACACGGGAATGAAACTGCTGTGTCTGTGCTCAAGAAAAAGATGCCTGTATATTATCTCTATGTGTTTCTCTTGCTTCAGGATGTTGAAACACAACCAGAAGCTCAGGTTTCAGGTTATCACATGGCAGGATTTCTAGATGCTTTACTGCACGGACCTTCACATCAGGCAAGCAGTTTTTTCTAACAACAATTTACATCTTTTTAAGAAGAGAAGTAGGTTAAGAGGCCATGCAGGAAATAGAAGGTTGTAATATTCATCACGTCTACAGATCTGGAGAGGGTGAACAGTTTGTGACTTAATAATAATTGGTTTATTTAATTATGGCAAAGCATACTAGGGCTATCTGCTAAGGGAAGGGATGCCTTTGTGGAGGACTTTCTACAGGAAACTGACTTGTATACATGTTACACATGGGGTAAACCACGAAAACGGCCATGCAGCCAGCCCGTTCACGGGATTCAAACCTCAGACCAAACTACCAGTGTTCAGGGACTCTACTGCTTGGCCGCTGGTGGGCCCAACATAATAATGAAATACTGATGAAGAGACAATTGTTCACAACACAACTGAAGTGATGGTTCATAAGAAACCCCATGTTTCCTTCGAGAAACAATAAAAGAAATTTTTAAATTCCTCTACGTACCTTTTTCATATTTGTGGCTGAGATCTATCGTTTCACCAAATCATTCATTTTACTCAAAACTTCCATCCTACAAAATATTTTTACACTGCAAAACTTACCTCTAAATAACATTACATAAAACATAAAAATGTAATTATGTGCTTGATACCAAGCACAAAAAAACTGCATTAATTATGTTCTACATTACTTGTGAGCAAATTCTTTACCTGATTTGAAATGATGTTAATGCTTTAGCACTTCTAATTCTTTGGTGTTTTGGATGTGTCAGGATGTGCATATTAATTGGAGAGATGACACACATTATTTTAATTGAAGTTTTATTGCCAGCATTATCAGGTATCTTCTTTTTTGAGGAAATGCACTATAAAGAAAAGTAAAGTGCTTACATTTTTGTGTTATCAAAAGAATATTTTAAACACTGGTTATGTAACAATAGCCCACAGAATAAATATTCAAACATAAGAAAGCCCACATGAGAAAATAATGTTCCCTCTATTTCAGATTTCTAGAAAATAAATTCTTAAATTAATTAATTTAAGAATATTAATTAATAATTTAATTTAATTTCATGTGTTTTAAATTAATTAATATTTTTAAATTTATACTTAATTTCATTTCATGTGTTTTAAAATAAATTCTTAAAATTAGGCATTTTATTTTAATTTATGTAAAGCTTTTTGGTGACTGATATTTAACACTCCCACTGAAAACTCGCAAACTCATTGTCAACTTACAGAGAAAGTTTGCTTGGGTATCTTTACGTATATTTTAGTGATGCATCTAATCACTAAAATATACGTAAAGATACCCAAGAACGAGACCCTGACAAGAAAGAAGAGCAAGATGAAAATGACAATGCACAGGACGACAGTTACATGGTAAGAAACCGATGAAGAACAGCAGATTTTCACACGATCTGTCAAGAAAATGTTCATCTATGTTCTAACATGAATAATTTTTAGCAACATGGGAGAGATAAAGTAAAAAGCAAAAAAGTAAAAAAAATCCAGAATTCACGCTATCTCCAAACAACATTCATCTGTGGCTAAGGTTATTCAAAGCAGCTATAATGCTTAATTACTGGAAATTAAGAACACACAAGCATATTTTAGAAGATTGCATGTCATGAAAATGACTAATCATGAATATGAATATGTACTTTTAAAGAGGAGTGTATTATATAATATGCTGCAGCCACAACATGAGCATAAGCATGCATGCTCTATCTAGACCAATTTAGTCACAAAATAGGATGGATGGACATTAAATTCCACAACAGGGATTCTTCCTGTTCTTATTTTTTAACTGTTTTTTCTGTAGCATTCAAAGAGCATAGACTTACGGAAGCAGAATATCACTTTTAAATAATCTAAGTTGAGATACTAATCATTATTTGTAATCAAATGTTTCACTCACATTGTGTTTAATTTTGTGCATTTATTAATTTACTTATATATTGGTTAATATATGAGTGTTTTTTAATTTTAATTTTGCTATGCATACATAATTTTATAATAAAGTGCAAAAAATAACTATTACTGTATTATAATTGCTACTGTAATTATTTAATTATTATATTTCATTGCATAAATTTCATTACAATGAATACAGGGTGGAACATATATGTCCTATGCACTAACTATATTAAATAAGGGTTTTAGGCCTCCTTGGAGACATCTACCCTTATCTCTATACATGGTATTATGAAGCTTCATTTTATACTCAGCCAATTTTTAAAACTACTACAACAATCTTTAAGCAGGCAGACATTCGAAGTTATATGTGTTAATACTAAGAAATTCATAATTTTCAAGTAAAAGTACACATGATAGTTTTAAAATGTTGCTTGAATTTAATTTTTCTGGGAGATAAAAACCATAGTGTGTTTTAATTTTAAATCTTTTTTTTTTTTTTTTTTTTAGATTTCTGATTTTATTTATTTAATAGTGGCCAACAGATAAAAAATTATGACCACTTTGGGCTCTGCAATTTGTATGGATAGCACTACAAAGCATAAACAGATAAGTGATTACATGGGTTCAATTATCTGTAAAAATTACTTATTCGGAATTGGTGAAGGCCAGTTGCTACCACGTAAGAGAGATTCTACTGTACTTGAATATTAGGAGTGCTAAATATTGCACAGCATATAAAATAATAAAATACATGTAATAAAAATTTAAAATCCATTAGACTTTAATCTATATTCAAAATATTTTTAGTGAGGTTTACAATCTATCCATTTTAGAATCTAATTCAATTTTACTCGGTTTATGTACAGAATTATACACAATCAGTTAATCAACCATAAAATTACATCTGAATAATATCAGTTAAAAAATTAGTCAATCAGTTTTTAAGTTTCCCATTTAAGGTTACAGAGACGACAGATGTTAAATAATACTGGTGAATAAATTTACATTAAATTCTATGTCTTACCTCAAGGGGGAAATACAGAGGATTTAACTCAATTTGCAAAATCAAATAATTCTCAGGACTAGTGTTAGCAAAATTTCAGCTATGCTTCTTTCGGTTGATCTTTAGATTATGGTAACTTGGCGATTTTTTTGGCGAAAATTTGGCGACCAACTCTGCTACAGCAAACCTCTATTTTTTTTTTTTTGGCCGCCATTTTGTCTTCACAAAGTAAATACATATTTCTTTTCTTTTTATTTACTCAACACTTTTTCCAACAATCTCCTAGCCGAATTACACTTATGCTAGAAATTTTATGGAACAAAACTGCTTAATCATGACAAATATTAACTGCAAAATTGGGAAAAAGTGCAGAATCGCAAACTCCTTGCCGTGTTTTTCAAAACCGCACATACACAGTAACCATGTGCACGTTGACTTATTTTTACTTAAAAAAACATCCCAGAATTTGCACAAAAATGGCATTGCGCACACTCTTGACTTTATCCATCTAAACTGCCATTTTCTCAAAATTACAAAAATTTGCACGAAAATGCAGGAAAATTTTGTGAATCTTTACACTCGGTAAAAGGCACATATATGAAATTACCTGATCGCGAAAGAGTATATACCCTATCCAAGGATGAACATTTCCACATATCAAAATCGTAAAAAACAACCTTATATTTAGCGTAGGTATAATGAAACAATCGATTTCGAGGGCAGCTAAAGGTCCCTCCTCATCAGGAGAAAGAAATACATAGAAAGAAGAAATAGGAATCACAGAAACACGTGGTGCTTATCAGCACTGCACGTGGTTATAACTAGATTTTTAATCAGAGTTGCACATGGCCGCCTACTTTTACTGAGCCAGGCTGTCTGATCAAGCATAAAGAAATATTAGCGAAGTTAAAATAGGGAGCGAGGGGCAAATGCACATTACGCTCAAAATCTGAACTTCAAATAATGGAAAGCAACCACTGAACGGATTTTTATAACCCTCTGGTAGTACCAAGTGCGAGGAGGTAACGACATCTATCGGCAAAAATAATTGAATTAAGACAGTAGAATTTTAAAGGCTTAGGAAGGACTGGATTGGACTTCAAATCATTAACTAAACTTTCTAAATCTTTGTGAATGTGAAAAGCCTCAAGAAAATCCAATTCGCCTATGGAAGAGCCTTTTGGATGATTTTTGCAGACCCAAAATCAAAATTATGGTTAAAAGTCCAGCTATGATACGCTATTGAAGACTTGTTAATTTCCCCTTTTTTGACATAAGATTCATGTTCCTTGATACAAAACTTCAACGCTCTTTTTGTTTGGCCAATATATCTTAAACCACACTGACATGAATATACTATAAATTCCCCAAGAATTCAAGACAGAAACGCAATCTTTTAGAATCGAAGGGTGAATTTTATTAATAGGGGAGAAACCGACTTGAAAATTGAATTTCTGGAGAATCCGTGCAATTTTATAGCTAACAGAAGAATAAAATGGAAGCACGACAAGGTCATTGATATTATTTCTAACAGTTCAATTGATCCAGCCATCCAATTCACTCTTGAAATTGAATCCAACAATTCCCTCCCCTTCCTCGATATTCTTATAATCCGCAACGAAACTGATTTTAGCACCACTGTGTACCGTAAACCCTTTGCAGTTTGTTTACCACCCCATGCCAAGTCATGCCACCCTGTTAAGCAAAAAATGGCTTCTTTTTACTATTACGTTTTCCGCGCGCTAAAAGTTTGTTCCTCTGAATCTTTGCTTACCAATGAACTTAATTATTTGAGAGCAGTTGCGATTGACCATGGATTTTCTCCCGTGATTATTGATAAAGCTGTCAAAACATTTTCAGATTCCCATCAAAGAAGACATTCCACTGTTAGAAATAATATCAATGACCTTGTCGTGCTTCCATTTTATCCTTCTGTTAGCTATAAAATTGCACGGATTCTCCAGAAATTCAATTTTCAAGTCGGTTTCTCCCCTATTAATAAAATTCACCCTTCGATTCTAAAAGATTGCGTTTCTGTCTTGAATTCTTGGGGAATTTATAGTATATCATGTCAGTGTGGTTTAAGATATATTTGGCCAAACAAAAAAGAGCGTTGAAGTTTTGTATCAAGGAACATGAATCTTATGTCAAAAAAGGGGAAATTAACAAGTCTTCAATAGCGTATCATAGCTGGAACTTTTAACCATAATTTTGATTTTGGGTCTGCAAAAAATCATCCAAAAGGCTTCTTCCATAGGCGAATTGGATTTTCTTGAGGCTTTTCACATTCACAAAGATTTAGAAAGTTTAGTTAATGATTTGAAGTCCAATCCAGTCCTTCCTAATGCCTTTAAAATTCTACTGTCTTAATTCAATTATTTTTGCCGATAGATGGCGTTACCTCCTCGCACTTGGTACTACCAGAGGGTATAAAAATCCGTTCAGTGGTTGCTTTCCATTATTTGAAGTTCAGATTTTGAGCGTAATGTGCATTTGCCCCTCGCTCCCTATTTTAAACTTCGCTAATATTTCTTTATGCTTGATCAGACAGCCTGGCTCAGTAAAAGTAGGCGGCCAGTGCAACTCTGATTAAAAATCTAGTTATAACCACGTGCAGTGCTGATAAGCACCACGTGTTTCTGTGATTCCTATTTTCTTCTTTCTATGTATTTCTTTCTCCTGATGAGGAGGGACCTTTAGCTGCCCTCGAAATCGATTGAGTGTTTCATTATACCTACGCTAAATATAAGGTTGTTTTTTACGATTTTGATTGTCACATTAGCGTGTTTCTCTTCTAGTCTATTTCCACATATAATATTAAAAATATCCAAAAACTTTTACCTCTAAATTATCTATTATAAACGTCACCAACAAATTCATAACAAAACATTAAAAATGGTTACTGTCAAATATTTAAATTATTTCCATGCACGTTTACATCCACTCAAACGTATACCAAATTGCTACAAACATATAATTCACAAAATAACTATCATTTAATTAAAATATAATTAAACCATGTACACGTCAACTTATTTTTACTTAAAAAAAATCCCAGAATTGCACAAAAATGGCATTGCGCACACTCTTCACTATATCCATGTACACTGCTTTTTTCTCATAAATTATTAAAATTTCACGAAAATGCATGAAAAAATTTTGAATCTTTAAATTCGGTAAAAAGGACATATATGAAATTACCTGATCGCCAAAAAGTATATACCCTTTCCAAAGATGAACATTTGCACATATAAAATAAATAAAATATCCAAAAACTTTTATCTCTAAATTATCTATTATAAACGTCACCAACGAATCTATAACAAAACATTAAAAATGGTTACAAATACTTAGTCTCAAATATTTAAATTATTTCCATGCACATTTACTTCCACTGAAATGTATACCAAATTACTACAAACATATAATTCACAAAATAACTATCATTTAATTAAAATATAATTAAACCATGTACACGTCGACTTATTTTTACTTAAAAAAAATTGCACAAAAATGGCATTGCGCACACTCTTCACTATATCCATGTACATTGCTTTTTTCTCATAAATTAGAAAAATTTCACGAAAATGCATGAAAATTTTTTGAATCTTTAAATTTGTTAAAAAGGACATATATGAAATTACCTGATCGCGAAAAAGTATATACCCTTTCCAAAGATGAACATTTGCACATATAAAATAAATAAAATATCCAAAAACTTTTACCTCTAAATTATCTATTATAAACGTCACCAACGAATCTATAACAAAACATTAAAAATGGTTACAAATACTTAGTCTTAAATATTTAAATTATTTCCATGCACGTTTACTTCCACTGAAACGTATACCAAATTACTACAAACATATAATTCACAAAATAACTATCATTTAATTAAAATATAATTAAACCATGTACACGTCGACTTATTTTTACTTAAAAAAAATATCCCAGAATTGCACAAAAATGGCATTGCGCACACTCTTCACTATATCCATGTACACTGCTTTTTTCTCATAAATTAGAAAAATTTCACGAAAATGCATGAAAATACTCAACGTATTCTACTCAAACGTATTCCAAAATACTACAAACATATAACTCACGATCATTAAATCAAAATATAATTAAATTAAAAAACACTACTTAAAATATAAATAAGTACATACATTAAATAATAAAAATTAGATTACAATCCTAATTACTTTAAACTAAATCATTGCTAATAACAATTTTCCATAATACCATATTAATTTATTTACCTCTTACATTTAAAACAATGCATAAAAATAATATCCTCAAATGATTAAAAATACTAACTTACCTAATCTTCTTCAGAATCTTCATTACGTGGCATGCACACTTTCCTACAGAAAGAGTTCCAATTGGCTGTAGTACTACTGCTAATTTCTTTCACTTTACATAGCGCCATGCAATCCGAAAATTAATCAACAGTATTTCACACAACACACAATGAAGCTTAATACAAAATAATATATTACTACCGATATTTTTCCAAATTTTTACCCCCTTTTCCAATTAAAGAACTATAATTCGTCCATTAATGTCACATGACATATCTCATGATCTCTCATTTCCCTCACAGAAAATAATGCGTAATCGGAAGTGAGTACTTCCAAAGCCGCCTGAAATAGAATTATCTTCAGGGGGCTTTTGGTACTTCTCACATTATTACCAAAGTCCTAGATAGTAACCTTTATCGCCTCCAAAATGTCGCCAAACTACCTGTTACCATATTCCAAAGATCAGCCCTTCTTTCTTATTTAAATGAATCAATTTTATAAAACTTTATTTCAAGACAGATCAAGGTCTCTAAATGGTATCACTTGCAACTTAACAACCAATTTAAAATTTTATTGCTTTTTTACTGCATTTTTATAAAAAAATATTCATTTGTATTTGATGTGCATTAAAATCATTACAGTTAAAAATAACGGTAAAATCCTAGTATACGGTGCAGCCTTGGCGCGACTTTGAAAATTATCTCCAACACCAAAAATGACCCAAAGAACGTCTATATATATACTATACACACATAGTATATGTATATACACACATAGTATATATACTATATACATAGTATATACTATGTTTAACTATATATTTTCTTTGAATGACCCGTTAACTACTCATCGTATATGTCCCGTTTTCACAGCTCATCATAAAGTCGCCAAAAGTAGTCAAATCCCGTGTGCACCGGATACTAGGATTAAACCAAAAAAAAAAAAAAAAAAAAAATGTGTACCATTCTACAGAACAATCAAATTACGTTCCAAACATTAAATAACAATCTTAAGAAAACTATTACAACTACTAGTAGTTACATTTCTTCTTTTATTACGAAAATAATTCCTCCTTAGAATTAAAAAATTAAAGAAAACTATCATAAAGAATTAAAACTACCAGTTACTAAATTCGACTTTTGAGGAATTAATTTTATTAGGCAATTAATAGAAAAAGAGACTGATAAAACTGAAGATATTTACATACAGTCAAGCATCATAAACATCTTAGGAGACAGAGATGTTCTCTTTTGCATCTGCTAAGTCTTTTTACCCGCAAGGTGAAAAAGCTCAAGTGTGTAGTATAGATGAAAAAACTTCAACTATGAACTAACTAGATGAAGAAACTGCGTATTCTTAGGAGCAAATAGAAAGGAAATAATTTTAGCATTTGATACAAAATTTTTAAGGTCAAGTAAAAAATATGGATTAAAATAAACAAAGGGAAAATTCTCAGACTAAATAAAAATAGTAGTAATAATGGACCTAAGGTGGAGAAGATGAAATAGAAGTGTGAAGAAAACTGAACATGAACGTGTCCTGATGTGAAATGAAAAATATGTCAAATTTTGGAGGAGACCATGTCATCTATCACCTAGTAATGAAAGCCCTAATATGATGTTGTATATGTATAATAATATGTTGATTAGGTGTTGAAAATGCTAAATAATCGAACTGAAAAAGAGTTAAAAAAAGAGGGGAGGTTGCTTCGTTCCCGTGATTGAGCACATCTGAACATTTGTTTCTTATCAGAGGAAAGAAAAAAAGTTCTAAAACCTCCGATTAGGAGTGTGGCACTTTGAAAACTCTTTAAATGCGTCCGAGCTAGTTGAAAGCGCTGGCAAAAAAAAAAAAAAAAAAAAAAAAAAAGGATGTCCAGTTTGATAACAATTTAAACTCTAGTTAGGAAACTAACTTAACGCTAAGTCAGTAAAGTTAAAATAAATAACTAAATAAAATAAAATAAGTAAATAAATAATAATAATAGTAAAATAAACCGTAAAAGGTGAGGAGTCCAAATATGGCATACAATGTTGGATTTCAAAACAATGTAGTTTGTATTTTGTACTTACTTTCCTTTAATTTTTTACTTAAATTATACTTATAATTTTACAATACTTATTACTTTTACTTTTTGGCCACTAATAATTGCTGTTAGTTTGGTTTCTTGGAAGTGGCAGCAAGGAAATTCATATAATTAGGAAAATATGTTTCTGTAGTTAGTTAGGCTTATTGAAGATTAATTGTATGCTATATACCTGAGTGATGTTTTATTAAATAAATGAATACTTTAGAATATAGTAGTCTCTTTAGAGTCCGTGATACGCTGGTAGCGTAATAGTTTGACGCGTAAGCGAACATACAAGGCAAAATGCTTCCTTCTACCATGAGATAAAACAGCAAGAAAGAAGCAGAACGTCAGACAAAAGTAGGTATGCATATACAGTCCGTAACCATATCAGATAAAAAAATAGAAGCTATCCATACACAGAAGATGCATTCAAAGTAAAAAGCAGTAAGTTATAACGCATTCTGAAGCTTCGGATAAAAGTACTAAGTATTTGGAGTAAATCACCAAACGTTACAAAACAATCTCAAAATCCTAAATATCGGAATTTTTAAATTCTTTAAATCACTTAGATTCTTATGAGTTACAGTAAAAAAAAAAAAAAAAAAAAAAAAAAAATTGCATAATACGATTAAGAGAAACCATCTTAAACACTTCCACGTAAGATTTCTTCAACAATGATACAAAAACAAACAATGCTAAGAAGAAATCACGAATACTCAAGTAAGCGCTTTAGAAACGGTACTATTTATTACGGAGCAAACAATCATTCCTGCGAAAGGGATAAAATTTTAAAATTCTACGTACTGATATTTTTATATCAGAAATAAATGAAAAAGTAAAAGAAAGAATGGCTCCATGTTCGAATGAATTCTTAATTTCAAGGAGCAAAATTTCCCCATTTTTTTCTCTTGCAGCAAATACTGAAGGTCAATGAATTGACCGTGGGATTTCAAGTTATAAAGGGATATTTTAAATTCTTGGAACCAATAAACACAAACAAAATATTATCTTCCTCTACAACTAATGAAGAGCAATAATGCTTGTCAGTGTTGTTAAAATAGTTAAATAAAATTTCTTAACTTTCGAATAAGAACATTAAGAAATGAAGAATCGAGTAACAACTCCAATATACGTTCCCAACCTTGGCTATCTTTACACCTCCACGCGATTCAACAGCCTACCAAGACGACATATACCGTGTAATTGAAGATCGTGGCTAATTCCAGTGGCAGTTGAGTGTAAATTCATTTAGTTACATAATGTAAAATAGTGAAATGTAATGTAAAATAGTATTAAATATGTAAATAACGGAAGAATAAATACCATAGCAAATAAAAAATATGTAAGAAATTACATTAAAGAACAATATTTACAAGCAAACATTAATAATGAGTTCAAATTAGCTTAAAAAAGCTGTTTTAGTATTTTTTTGGGTGGTGATTTGTAATCATTGTTCCGCTCTAAACAAACTAAACCTTTTTATGTCAAAGCCCGGCTAATCAGCAATCCAAAACAAGTTTTATTAAATGAATTTAAAAAAACTCATTTAATAAAACATACATAAAGAAACTGCTAGAAAGATTACTTTTTAAGGAAATACATAGAAGCATACAGCATAATATGAAATAAAAATAATTACTAGGTTAAAATACCGCCTTTTGAAAATTTTTTAGGCATTTTAATTGCGAAAATACTCCAAAGTGATAATAGATGTATTAAGTATGCTAGTTCGGTAAGAAAATAGAGGCATCATACACAAAGTCATAGCTAGGATTTTCTGCGCCAGGACACAAATAAAAATCTCGAGCCTTCTCCTGTTTGCCAAGAATAGAAAGCATTTTATTCCAAAATCATAACATCAATTTGGCCCCCTCTGGGTGATGCGCACGACGGCATATAAGCAAAATGTACACTTCTCGGACGACGGTTTTAATTTGGCCAACGACAATTCCGATGACCATCACCATTAACTCCGCCTACGATGATGTCACAAGACCTGAAATTTATTTTAACGACATTTTATGTAATAGATATTTTAGTTTGTAGTATGACCTCTATATTGAAAATTACCGACACTGAACTTCCTGATTCATTTGAAAATGTCGAATCATTTCACTTAAGTTCCGACTTTTCGTTTTAAATTTTATTTTTATATGTATGTTATAATTATAATATTAATATATAATTAATATATATATATATATATATATATATAATTACAAAAAAAAATTAAAAACATATTATAAACACGCATAGTATTTTCGAGCATTAAGCTGCTGGAAAATTATCAGCAAAGACATAAAGTAAGAAATTTAGAACTAATTTTTCGGAAAGGGCAAAAATTGAAATTCATAATTAATAAATTTCAAATAATAATGTAAATGCAATAAATAATTTAAAAAATGTTAAAACCTATCCTTCACGCAAACACGCAATACCGAAATTCAAAAATTAAAGAAATTTAAAGAAAAACGAACGTAATAGAAGAAAAATTTAATCAACTTCAATGCCACTTCGTCAGGAGGAGGAACACTGAAATCAATTGAAATCTCTCTTCCACAAAAATCCTTCCTTTTCTGTATCCAGAATAGTCGATGAACCTATTCAATATATTTTAAATGTAAGAGTTCACCAGAAAATTCTGGGCCCTTCACAAAGCAAAGCAAAGAAAACAAAGTAAATTCTAATTAGAATCTTGTACCTTAAATAAAGAGAATTCTAGTTAAAGAATGAAAAGGTAAGTGAAATAATAAAATACTTCAGTGAAAAATTGAAATGAAAATTTTTCTTTTAAACAAATAGCATATAATCCAAAGAATTTAAAACTTAAGTGAAATTACAAAACTTTAGTGAAAAGACTTAAATTTTTATATATATGTCTCTATATACACGTAACCATAATATTTTAGATATTAATTATTACTATTATATATATATATATCTTGCAACTATTATAATTTTGTTATTAATTGATTAATAAAAAATTTATTATTAATTAATTATATGTGCAGTACATTAATATTTGTAATATAATTTATTATAATTATATCTAGTAAATTAATATTTTTTTTTTCTTCAATAAATTAATATAAAGTCTGTATTTTTTCTTTAATTAACATCACTGACCACTTTGAATTGCAGAAAATGTAGGTACTTATATTGATAATCCCATTTTCAGAAAGCAATTTGTATGCGTCACAGTTCTCGCAGGAAAGTTGCTAGAAAAATGAGCGGAAACAGTGTCTCCAAAAAATACAGATTGTAAAGTTTTGTGAAAATAATGATTAAGAAAGACACAAGATATATGAGCTACAAGGATAAATTTGTCAAAGGTTTGTTTGTTATAATAAAAGCGATAGGAGTTTTTCAATAAGAACAGATTAATTATTTCCCCTTTATTTCTTATTGGAAATGAAATTTCGGCATGCGTCCAATTTAGTCTATGTCAGAAGATCTGGAATGGATTAATGACTTGCTCTGAAGTACCACTGTACTATAAATTATATTACATTTTGGACCTACATTTGTAGAGACATTAGTTATTTTTGAAAGCAGGCAAGATGAAAAATTAGCAACGCCTTCGCCGGGAATTGAACCACGGACCTCTGGAGTACCGGCCACCACGAAGGCACGCCAGGAAAGCGGGAGCAATACCTTATATACTCCCCTTTTTAAAGGGCGACTGGGGTTTTTAGGGGATCCAATCGCCAAATCCTGGTTGTGGAGAATCCTCATCAAACACCATTTTAGATCGGGAGTCACTGTAGAGACATTAGGCATTTTTGGTCGATGCAGGAAAGATAAAAAATTAACAATGCCTTTGCCGAGAATCGAACCGCGGATGTTTGGAATATCGGCCCAGCGTGCAGAACCACTACACTACGAAGGCACGCTAGGAAGGCGGGAGAAATTCCTTATATACTCCCCTTTTAAAGGGCGAATGAGGTTTCTAGGGGAACTAGTCGCCAAATCCTGGGTGAGGAGAATGATCAATCCACCACTTTTTTAAATTCTGGCGCCACTGTAGAGACATTAGGATTTGTTGGAAGCCAAAAAGAGAGATGAAAAATTAGGAAACGCCTTCGCTGGGAATCCGACCACGGACCTCTGGAATACCGGCCCAGCGGGCAGAATCACTACACCACGCTAGGAAAGCGGGAGAAATACCTTAATAAATCTTTCGTGGTCAATTTGA